CGAACCGAAATACTACGATACTTGGTTTTTTTTTTATATATTATCCGACCCAAATTAAAAAGACCTGAAATTTTCAGGTCAGGTCGGGCTAGGCCGAGTAATTTTGACACCCCTGTCATCTAGAACTTGGAACTTACCTGTTAGAATAAGTTACTGATTTTTTGAAATCTAGAACTTACCATGCATACCTTGAAACCTATAACCTACCATGTCATAGGTTCCGGGGTCGGTTCCGGAGTCTACCAAAGTTCCACATGTATTATTAATTGAACAATTGCAGTTAAACATCACATTTTATGACCACCACTTACTTCTACAATCCACTTACCATAATTTATATTTAGGCACACAAAAAATATGAAACATTAACAAAGTAAAAATCTCAATCATAAAATGAAAGCTCAGACTAGTGATTTCAGATTATACACTCATCATCGGACGTCATGGAATACTGCAGAATCACACGAAGACACAAACAAAAAAAAAACACAAAAACTTGCTCTAGGTCCCACCTACCTAGAACCTGAAACTTACCTATCCGTCGAAATAGGTTCTTCAATTTTTTGAACCTGGAACCGGACAGGTTCCCACCTGTCCGGTTCTCAGATTCCAGGTTCTACCCTAGAAATTTACTCATCCCTAAGTCTGAAGTGGCCATGAAGGTTTCAAATAAGGGCATGACCTCTCTAATGACTTAATATTCCGATTGGTCAAAAGGCATTTTCGTTGACAATTTTAACATAAATTAGATTAAAGCTTAAGAAAGCTAAAAAAATTTGAAAAAGAAAAAAAAATGCAAGTGAAGCCTTCTCGCTTGTGGCCATTGCCCCATTACCGGTGGGGCACCGGCGAGGGCTGGCTGGGCCTCGCTAGCACCCTCTCCCAAATCTAGGCGAGAGTCACCAATCCCTACCAGCAATGGTGCGGCAGCCACAGGCGGAGGGTGTGACGCCCCAGAACGTCACACACGACATGTGTCCTTTCCAATCATTAATTATAATTATTAAACAAGCGGAAGCATATTAAAGTATTTACAAAATTCCCATACAAGTTTAATAAAATACATATGCATTTTTTTATATATATTATCACTAGTTGTACAATACAACATTCAGCCCAAAAAACAAAATACATAATTCTTGGGAAGGGTCAGGGTCACCTACCTACAACATTATACTTCTACACCCAAAAGCCTACCTATACACTGTCGGACCATCAACCAAGGGTTCCTAACTTCACCTGACGACGAGCCATCATCACCAAAACCTGGAGGGCCATCAAAGCCTCTAAGCAGTCCAATTAACTCGCTCTCGATATTAACATACCAAGCGACGTAAGGATGGAGTATATACTCTAGTAACCTCACGTCGACCCATATAACGAAAGTACACCTAGTATAAACTATTGGTGATCCAGGTACAATAATATCTTCATAACTATAATCAAAGAACATGGGAGCTCTAAAACGTGACAGTGGCAAGAGATCCATCCTACATATCTGAAAAATAAGGAGTGAGTCGAGACCCGGTAATTGAAATATCTAAATCTAAGGTAGAAGATTCGCTCACCACTCAACCCGGTATCAACAATAATTGTGAGTTCAAAGCAGTGCAAAAATACATGAATAATGTACTACCCTTCCAATCATGACACGTTAATGAAACAACAATAACATTGCATAAAATCAATCACTCATGTATAAGCGGATGGCAAATTATATATCATAAATATCACATAACATCTCATCGATTCACGCAAATGAATTCATATTCGTCACTGGCCAGAACCATCTCGATTTACGAGGCATTTCGACTAATGAGGCATAGCCACTTAGCCTATTTATCACGGGTATCCTCTACATTAACGAGGATAAATACACCACCGTATATCCGCATGATGTTAGCCATTTCTTAGCATCATACCATGGCTACACAAGCCATGTCATACCATGACTACACGAGTCATGTCATCATAAAATTTCATGTCATCTCAACCTTGCAGAGGACCGTCTCATATAGTAAAATATTTGGCTGACTCCAAAGTCTTATATACATACTCATACAAGGGAATTCGCTCGGTGGCGAATAGGCCGTAGCAAATGTCTTAATCACTTAACATCAAAGACATACATAATTAATTACAACACAAAACATGTCATGCATTTTCATAATTACAATCGCAAACAACGACATGTCAATCTATTGACATTTCACATAATGTACAAGACAATCAATTAATTATGCACCTTTCAACATAAAACATTTCCTTTTCTTTTCACCAAGCCAATATCATTTAGAAGAGAACTTTTACAAGTTCTATAAAATTAAACATTACTACTCCACAATTTAGTATCTCATCTAATTTTCATTTATTTATTATAAACCTCCTCTATTAAGCTCACTTTTACCACATATAATAGAGATTATTTCTATAATTCCTAATTCTTAGAATTAGAATATTTTCCTAGTAAATTTCTCACTTTATAATTTTACCCCTAATTTTCGATTTTTATTCCGCCAAGCCATAATAATTAAATTAAAAACTAAATGCTATTAATATGCTATTTAAAACACACAAGCATTTTATTTATATTATAGACAAAAAAAATTTCAAAATTTTCAAAACTGCCCACTTTTAATTAATTATTACAAATTGCTCCAATATGCATTGTTAGACATATGTCATAATTAAGCAATTATTTCTAAAAATAACTTAACCACTTATCAAAATGAGGTTCGACATGCTGTGAACAGTCCCCAGAACTTTCAGTTTTTACAGATTCGCCCCCTCAACTTGGTGAAATTACCAATTTGCCCCTAAATCTTACAAACTCAATTTTTTCCAACCGGCTTGATTTCCTTTAATTAATATTACTTAATAACCCTGTAATAAACACTAACAATCACAAAATAACACTGTTCACAGCCCCTATTAAATTCTGTAAATTCGAAATTCTCCCTTACCTTGACAAGAAAATTACCAAAATACCCTTTTATGCCTAGTTTTACCATTTTCACACTTTTCCTACTCAAAATGGAACAAAACCTTTTAGTAATCTCTCAAGGACCACATAAACATGTGAAAAGCTTTTTACTTCAAGCTCAACAATCACCATAGCTTAACATACAACTATTGAAACTTGCTCATACATAGAAAAAGATCCAAACTAAATAAACAAACAATCAATCAACCAACCAAGCTCAAGAGTACTAAATAATCATTCTAGCTTAGTCTATTTTCACTTACCCAAAGTGAAATCTTGAACAAAGCAAGCCTCTAACCACCTTGAAATCAAAATAGATACTAAAATAAATTAACAAGCCTTATTCTTTAGAAAACAACAAAGCTTATTTGATAAAGAAAAAGGAAAGGGAAGTTTAACAATATACTTTGTCAAGAAACTAGATTGAAGGTGAGCTTGAACTTTGATTTTTTTTTTTTTTTTTGAAAGAGAGTGGAAAAAAGAAAGATTTGCAACTTGAAGAAGAAGAAGGGAGTGATGTCCACGCCAAGATGAAGAAGAGGTGCTTTTTCGCCTCTTGTCTTCCAAAATTTTGCCACAATGAAGAGTATTTTGGGGTCATATTAAATGGCTTGGATTAAAAACAATAATAACCAATAACTAGAGTTACAATTAGATAATAACTTACTAGAGTTAAAAATGTAATATGTCATGCATGAGGTGATAAGCTTAGGTTCAATGCATTTCAATTAGGCGTGTGGCAAAAAAAATAGGGTGAGAATTAAGACATTTGTCCATGATGATATAGTGACAAATGGTATAGTTTAATTGAAAAGAGGGAGATATTAGGTTATTTTGGGTATACATTGCGGTAAATAAATAGAGAAATCGGTATTCGTTTGGAATGCCGGTAAATCAGAAAATTATTTTGAAATCGCTAAAATTATTAATAAAAGTATAGAACAAAAGTGACACATTAACTTAATAAAATTTTTAATGTTTGAAAATCATTCGATACGTATTTTGGAGCGTATCGGTCCTCATTGACAATTACTAAACTAATTTTATTACCTTAATGACTCTCACTACTCAATATCTTAAATATCATAAACTACGAAGAAAATTTCGCATGTCATAGAGGGTCTAGGTTTTTTCTTTTTTAAGATTTAGCCTTTTTTTCTTATTTTAATTTGTCTTTTTATGGAATTTTTTATAGATTTTTTTAACCTAATTTTATTAAGATTTTGTGTAAAAATTAGGATTTGAATCAAAATGATATCGTTTTAGTGCTTTGTTAACCTTAACGCTACTTATGAGAGATAATTTTAAAATAAAAATCGTGTCAACATTTTTCGTCGGCATTCTCCATTAGCGAGGGTTGCGGCCCTCGCATAGGCCCTGTTGCCTCGCTTAGCCCTCTCTGGGCATCGCCAGTGGCTAGTCTTAGGCGATAGCCGACTGCCGGCGAAAAGGAAAGAAAAAAATAGAAAAAAGAAAAAAAGAAAAAAAAAGAAAAAAAGGGTAAATGGCAAAAATGCCATTGATCAATCGGTGAAGTCAAGCCCTTCTTTAAGATTAGCACAAGCCCTTCTTTAAGATTGCCACGGTCACTTCATGCCCTTATTGATAAAATGAGGCATTTCATGTTTTTATTTGGAATTTTTCCTACGAAAAACGACATAAAAAAATGATCTATGAACTTTGCTTTAATGTGCCGTCATCAAGGACTTTTAATTTGTTAAATGTGATTTCCGAACTATTAGTGAATGTTTAATATAGTCTTTCATTTTGCTCAAATGAAAAATGATCCATGAGTGGATTATCAAAGGTTAGACACCATTCGTGTCATTTTCCCGAGAAAATACGGCCAACTATAAAATATGGATTTATTTTGATTTTTATTTAGGATAGAGAATTTTGTTCTATTTTAAAGCCTGGTCCGACCCAGGAGCCCACACAAAAGCCAACACGTGCAGGCCCGAATCGGAGACCCGACCCGTGATGGCCCGAATTTCAATTTTCAGCAGCACCCGGATCGCTTATAATCGCCAAACCCTAGCTCCGACTATCTCTCAGCAGGCGGAGGAGCGGAGCATCGAGGACAGAGCATCGAACAACAATGGTGAGTACGCGTCGAAATCCGACGAATTCAGCTTCCGACGCTTCCGCATGTGTGATCGAATGAGGTTTCTGTTGATCTTTGTTTCTGTACGTCTCTCCGGATGCCACGAAATCTCACGGTCGGTGCTGTGACGATTCTCTTTTTCAGGTGAAGTACTCGAGAGAGCCGGACAATTCCACCAAGTGTAAGTACATGGCTTCCGTGTTGTGTTTCGTGATTCGCTTGCTGCGTTAGTCGACATCAGGCAAAAATCCCATCTTTCCTCGTATTGTGGAATGACCCTGCAAGGGCTGTTTAGTCAATCAAAATCAGTCGGTATCGAATCAGGGTTTGTGCCTCCTCTTCGATTTGTGGCGGGGATGGCTTTAGTGTATGACGGGCTATCGCGGATAATTATGTGGATAGTGACTAGATTCAGGTTGAATTGGTACTTGAGTAGACGTGGTCGCGCAATTCAGGTTAAAGCTATTGTAGAGTCGAACTTTCTCTTGATATTGTATGTGTGGTCATCTGCAGCTTGCAAGGCAAGGGGCTCTGATCTCCGGGTTCATTTCAAGGTACGGTTAGGTACTGTGAAATTTCAGCATGTGATGGTTAGGCAACAGTGATGTCTTGCTTCTATCATTGTCTTGATGAATGAGATGCGTGATGTTGACTGCACTGCCGGAGCCCGTTGAATCAGTTTAGAGGAAAGCTAATTTATCTGCTGTCCGTGTTCATTCTTAGAGAACAATTATCTGGACGCATTGAACATTTGTAGACACTTTCTAAACCATGAAAACTTTGCTAGAATTGCAAGATTTTCCTGTTGACTTATTAGTCGTCTTTGATTGACTTCTGCATCCCACTCTATCCCATGGTTTTGTTTCGCGAAATTCTCAACCATGATGCGAAGAATACCTAATGTCAGTCTACTTGGTTAGAGAAGCTGTCACTTCTTTGTTTTTAGGTTTTTTTTTTTTTTTTTTGGTAAAAGCAAGAAAAGAGGTTATAAAATTTATTAGGTTAGAGATAGACCCCCTTGTTTTGTAGTTTCTAGATACAAAAGCAGTACGGCAAGAGAATGCATTTTCCATTTCCTTTTTCAATTGAAATGAAATGAAGGCGAAACCTTGTGGAGAGTATCTTGTTTTGGATAATTCCAGGTAACATCAAGTAATAGAAGTACATAGATGTATGACGTGAAAGCTGGAGATAAGAAAGATAAACATTCCAGGGAAGTTGGAAAACTTAAAAACAACTTTTGTTTTCAGGAAATCTTCGGTGAAAATAAATAGTGGCAGATTCCTCTTAGTTCAAACGGAAATTTTATTTTCTTTTTCGCTTATTTGGAGCAAATGCCCTGTTGTCATTTTTGAGTGCTCAATTGCTCTTCATTGCTGTCTTGTTAATTTCTCTCTATCTCAGTGTTTTTTATTGTATCTTCTATCTGACAGTTGCTTGACTTCTATTGCTTTCTGTTAGAATACTCGGGAGACTGCCCATGCTATTAGGAAATTGCCCTTGATGAAGGCTAAAAGATATTTGGAGGATGTTTTGGCTCACAAGCAAGCCATTCCGTTCCGGCGCTTCTGTAGGGGTGTTGGACGGACTGCACAGGCTAAAAACCGTCATTCTAATGGCCAGGGGCGCTGGCCTGTCAAATCTGCAAAGTTCATTTTGGATTTGCTCAAGAACGCTGAGAGTAACGCAGAAGTATGCATTATCTTACTAGGACGCGTAAGAGGTTGAACTTTTGTACTTGTCACTGATGACAGGCTGTTATGTTGTGAGTTTCCAGGTGAAAGGTTTGGATGTGGATACGCTATACGTATCTCACATACAGGTTAATCAAGCTCAAAAGCAAAGGCGCCGGACATACCGAGCTCATGGGAGAATTAATCGTAAGTCATCACCTGGTTGAGTTATGTTTTACCTTCGGTAAAATTTCTCTAGATTCATGCGTATACTGTTCTTGGCAGCTTATATGTCATCTCCATGCCACATTGAGCTGATTTTGTCTGAAAAGGAAGAACCTGTCATGAAAGAGGTAATTTCCTTCATGTGTTAATGTAAGCTAGAAGTTGAAGATATTTTGATGCCTTTCCATGTAGTATTATGGGATTATCTTGCTTTTTGGCTGAATTTACTTCAGATGACAGCCTGTCGAGATTGGTTGAGTTGTTTGTCTCTAAAAGCAATCCATCAACTGATCTAATCTTTGTTGATTTTGTAGCCTGAGACCCAGCTTGCTCCTAGGAAATCAAAGAGCGCTCTGCGTAGTGCGGCTTCCTCTTGAAAGTTGGTGCGTCAGGGTGGTTCAGATTTCACTTCAGTGTTCTTTAGCTAAATTCCATCCTCGGGATGTAGGGAACAGTTTTGCTCTCTCTTTGTTAAGTGAGAATGTGCGATTTGGAGTATTTAGATTGATTTCATGGCATTCTTGCCGGTATCTTTCAGGGAACTCAGGTCATGATCAACTCAGAAAGTTTTTGGTTTTTATTTTGTCAGTGGAAACTTGATTTTCAGTTGCATTTATATGGGTGCTCTTATGCAAAAGCATTCAAAGTTCATGCGTCAGTTGTTATTTTTGCAAACTGCTCCTTGTAATTGGGGGTTTTCACTCTTAAGCCCCCTTGCTATCTGCTTTAGAAGAGATGCGTGCATCTTAGACGCTGCATGCATAAGGATCGGTGCTGGTAGTTCAGCTGTAGATTTGACAAAATTCAGATGGCTGGATGTTATTCTGTGGACGCAAGTGCGAGTCAATCCAAGTGTTTCTGGACAACCAAACCTCTACTTTTTGTTAGTGAGAGCAGTCAGTTCGTCAGAATTTGATCATCTCTCGAAGGTGGTTCGTTTGTAGGATCTCGTCGGAATATCTATCCAGGAAAAAAAAATTTAGAGTCTTGTCAAAATCCCCATCTCTTCGAGCGAAGCCTTTGCAATCAAATTAATCATCGAAGATCTGTATTTCATGCCTTACTCGTGTGGGTTGTAATGCGATGCGTAAAGGTATTGTACAGACTACTAGAGTTAGAAAACGATACCAGTCTGAACTGTTCCGATTAGGAATCGAGATCTGTAACCAGAGCCGTGATCGTGTCTAATGTCTATCATTCGATGGTTGGACCCTGAATTCTTTCCAAAGAAGACAAATTTGTAATTGAACCCCGAGTGCTCTGCCTTTTTCTGGCTAAAGGAAAGGGAAACTCTGCCTTCATCTCAAGTATCAGGGAAAGTCACTAGAGGCCCCCTTTTACGTCGCCCCACGACAGTCCTTGCATAAATCGAGAAAGGCCAAAATGGTTGTTTGCCCAGCATGATTAGTCGAAGACTGGTTGTTTAGCCATCATCAGGCAGGTCACCGGAGACGTGTTATTCAACGTTCGTGCATGCTTTGACACCTTTGAACCGCGACCGAAAAGCGCTCGTAATGTCGCGCTTCAGGATCACCCCACTTTTGAGCCATTTTTGTTTTTGGGTAAGACCTTTTGAGCTATTTTCGTGGCTCACTTATTGACTAAAAAGTCCAAAGTACAAAGCCGGTGAAATCGCCTCTTTTTCCCCCTTTGGAACAAGCACACCGAGATGGCATTCAAATTTGACGCATACTTCCGTAGCAAGTAGTTAGGGAAAAGTGTCAAAAAGAAATCATAAACCTTTGGCATTGATACTAATTTAGTCATAAACCTTTTTTTTATGCCAATTCAGTCCTAAACCTTTTGCATTTGTGCCAATTTAGTCATAAACCTTTTTTTGGTGCCAATTCAATCCTAAATTGGCACCAATGCAAAAGGTTTAGGATTGAATTGGCACCAAAAAAAGGTTTAGGACTCAATTGATATAAATACAAAAGGTTTAGGACTGAATTGGCATAAAAAAAGATTTATGACTAAATTGGCACAAATACAAAAGGTTCAAGACTTGTTTGACACTTTTTCCCGAGTAATTACTACTTGCGGAGGAAGGAGCTTTTTTGCCTCGACCAGCTTTTGCACGCTAATATTAACATTGATTACAAAACCACGGCAAACCCAGGGCGATCTTATCAATTTGGATTCGACAAGTTGAGGTTATTGGTCCAACTTGCTAGGTTATTTTACCGTACGAACGAAAGCTTTAGCAAGTATTTACTGGCAGTAAGTTACTACTTGCGGAGGAAGGAGCAGTTTTGCCTTGCCTGGCATTTGCACGCGAATATTAACGTAGATTACAAAAAAGAAAAAATGACGAACCCGGGATGAAATCATCAATTTGGATTGGACAAGTTGATGATTATTGGTCCAACTTGTTAGGTTATGCCACCGGCCAAAGGACGGCTCGAGCAGGAATAGATCTGTGCCTATTTAGTAAGTACTAGTGGTGAGGTATGGTGCGAATGACTATAGGTGTACGTATGCGGGACACTGATTTATGTGACATTGGCTCGTGAACTTGAGGTGAGAATTGCTTGCGCTACGAGGCACACCATTTCCACCTTCGAAAGAGCAACTTTTGAGTTCAAGCCTTTGGATGACAAAAAAGAAAAGTTCAAGCCTTTGAACTCGATTCCTTCGTACTCTTTTAAATCGGGCACCTTCATTTTTCGTTCAATGTCAATATCGGGGAAAATTACCTGATCGGTCCTAAATCTATTATACGGATACTAATTCAGTCCTAAACTTTTCAATTTTGTCAGTTTAATCTTAAACCTTTACGTGAAATTCCAATATAGTCATTCTGGTTAATTTTCGTCGGGAATAACTGACGTGGCTGTCCAGTCATCGTCGATTGTCCCAATGGATCAACCTTTGGCATAAGAAAAAAAAACGGGGATATCTTGCGCTATATTTGTGGGATAATATTGATGAGGAAACTGTCCGATCGGTCCTGAACCTATTGTACCAATGCCAATTCAGTCTTGGTTTTTTTTTCGAATTTTACCAATTTAATCGTAAAACTTTACGCTAAATTCCAAGGCAATCTTTCCGGTCAGTTTTCGCCGGAAATCTCCAACTTGGCGGTCTAGTCATCGCCTGGCCAACTTATATGACACACCGTCACGTCGAAGATTTTCAACGAAAACTGACCGGAATGACTACACTGGAATCCATTGCAAAGTTTTACACGACCAAATCGGCATAATTCGAAAAGTTCAAGACTGAATCGGCATCCGTACAATAGATTCGGGATTCATCTGACCAATTTTCCCGTCGATATTATCTCCGGACATAGCGCAAGAGATACCCATTTTTTTTTTTTTTTGTCTAATGCAAAAGGTTGGTCCATCCTTCCGAGCCCCACGCAACTTGCATCTCCTTCTCTTACGATCCCCACTTCGGGCAAGGAAGGGAAGGCACGAGAGGAATCGAGTTCCGTTGAATATTCCACTACGTTCGCACGTTCAAACCCCCCACCCTTGAATATTCCAATTCACGTTCCACTTTTGGGAAGGGAATCGCTTTCGAACTTTGGGATTTACCGACCGATGTTCAAAAGCCTTATTACCGCATCCGACGCACGATATATCTCCTTCGTCTTTTGGTACGTCGTCGGTTCAAAGCCACCAAATCGCTTTCTCGTTCTTCGAATTCCCGTCCCGACGACTCGTCGTTTTTAGTCACCCACCCCCGTTTCTTGTCGTTTAATCAATTTTCCCCGGGAAGCCGTGAATCGATCGACGTCGTTTCTAATCGCGCGTGTGAACGCATTGTCGTGCCAGGGACCCAACACCAAACGCTCGCGCCCCATCCACGTAGACAAACCATAAAGGCACAGGCGACATGTCAAACAAGCGAAAGCTTTTTGTCTTCTTTTTTTTTTTTCAAATACAAAATCCTGCTGCCCGCTGAATTATTTGTTTAGGTCGATGTATGCGGGAAACATCTCGCATCCCCTGATATAGCGACCGCGTAGCAAAACCATTTTGTATAGCGATTATACCGTCCGTATAATTAGTGCCGCGCCATATTATTTTTTCCTTTCTATTTTTTTTTTTCCTTTTCCTTTTCCTTTTCTTTTTTTCTCTTCCTCCGCCGGCCATAGCCGGGGCCGGCGGAGGTCGCCCGCCTCAGGCGGAGGCAACCCTCGCCGGCGTCGGCCGAGGGCCGCCCTCGCCTGGGCTGGGCAAGGTCAGCCTCACCAGATCTGGCGAGGTCGGTCTCGCCTACAACGGCGAGGCCGAGCCCTCGCCAGATCTGGCGAGGCTCGACCTCGCCGGCAACTGGTGAGGCTGACCTCGCCCAGCCCAGGCGAGGGCGGCCCTCGCCCGACGCCGAAAGAAAAGGGAGACTTTTTGAGCACTTCGGGTCCTTATTTGAGCACTTCAGGTCCTTATTTGATACCGTGTCCACTTTGGGTACCAAATTGAGAAAACGCTTCCACTTGGGGTACCAAAATGAAATTTTCCCAAACCATTTTGTATAGCGATTATACCGTCCGTATAATTAGTGTCACGTCATATATTTGTTGCATAAATGGAGACGTCCCTTATAAATTCTTAAATCTTGCAATTACTTATTGGTCAGGAAATAATCAGGGGCTTTCCTTGGATACTTGATGTTTAGTTAAGAGTTAACCTCACCAGAGGAAATAGGAGCTTTCGCTATTACGAAAGGCCTCTGCGGCCTGTCCTTATCTCATGCCTGCATGCCTCGTGCCATCAATTCCCCTCTGTATCTTTATCTTCTCTAGGAAGAGAAAATGACCTCTGAAAGTTTTACATCTTGATAATCTCAATATCTAAATGAGGATCGAGACGAAACTTTTTAAGGACATACTTAGATCCTTATAAAATTCCAAATAAGGGCATGAAATTGACTTTATTCCAAATAAGATCATCATTTTCTTAAATAAGGAAGTGAACGTTATTTCAAATAATGGCCTGAATTACCCTATTGCCGGTGGGGCGATGGCCATGGCCGGCGACCCTCACCAGAATCGAGAGAGGGTCGTGGCCCTCTCTCAATTATGTCGAGGGCTGGCAACCCTTGCCGAGGCACCGGCCATGGTCGCTGCCCCACTGGCGATGGGGCGGCAACCACGGGCGGCCCCAGCCCTCCCCCTGTATTTTTTTTTTTCATTCTTCTTTCAAAAAGAACTTTGAACTTTCTTAATATTTAATCTAATTTAACTTTAGGTTAAGATTGCCTTCGGACAAAAATGCCCTTTACCAATAGGAATATTTAGCCAGCCGGCGATGTCAGCCCTGATTGTTTTCTTTGGTATGTCCTATTCTTAACTCTCTCTCTCTCTCTCTCTTGTGATACTTTCAAATTGTAAACAGCAGTGTGCTTCCACTATCAAATTATCACGGTTCACTCACTGCTTCGACATTAATCATCAACTTGCCATCCTACTTTCCCCCTTAGCCATGTACCAGAACTCAATAATACGTACATATCGGCTTCTCGAATGAGCTCCACAGCCCCAAATATTCCCACCCCCTCAATCTCTTTATCAACAAGGTTGCATGCTTATTGCCATATCGGGCCCTTATTTAAAAGCCCCCCCTTTTCAAAAACAAGATCCACCGTTTTTGGAATTTCCCCCTCTCCGTGCACAGTAATAATGAATTATTAGAAAAAAGAGAGAGAAGGGAAATTAGGAAAAGGAGATATATAAAACGCGCAACAACGGGAAGAGCCGAGAAGAGGCCCGTAAAAACGGCCCTCTCCCCCCCCACCCCATGCACACAACAATCTCGGGGGGGCGCATACCCGGGGAAGGGGGTTTGTGTGGAATCGAACAAAAGAGCGCTAACGTGCGCACGCGACCTCGGACCAACCAAGCCAACGAGTCTAACCTGCGCCGGGTCTCGCAGTTCTCTATAAAAATTTCGATCCTCCCCACCGCCCCCCCGTGTACCAAACCAACCAGACACCATTCTTCGATATTTTTAATCCCCTGGCTTTCGCCCTTTTCCACGAGACGAGAATAATACAACCTCTCTCTCTCTCTAACCCCCCCAACCCCTCGACATTTGCATTACAATTTCATTGCATTTCGCTCAAACCCATCTCTCTCTCTCTCTCTCTCTCTTCTCGCTCTCGCTCTCGGTCTCGCAGTGCGCGAGACCAGAAACACCACACTTGCACAGACCAGGAAGGCAGGCAGGGGGAGAAGAAACCAGAGCAAGGAAGAGGCCGCCGGAAGATAATATAAAAAAAAACAACAAGGAAGGAGGAGGAGGAGGAGGAGAGACGGAGAGCCATGGTGTCAACGAGGCGCAGTGGATCTCTCTCGGGCAATAATGGGAAGCGATCTTCTTCGTCGGAAGACAAGTCGCCGTCGCCGAAGCGCCAGAAGGTGACCCGAAAGAACGAACCAGCCATCGATTGGCGATTTCGTCCCTAATCTCTTCTTCTCGCCGTTTTTCCTACTTTTGCGTGGATGTTGTTCTTTTCCTTCTCTTCTTTTCTTCTTCTTCTTCACCAAGATTGTCTTTTTTCGCGTCGCGGAGTGTGGGATTTTTTGGGTGGGTTTCGAGGCCCCCCCACCACCCATCTGATTCGTTTTTCCTCGCCTTGTTTGTGGTTTCAGGAGGACAGCAGCGGTGCGTCGGACAGACCGATGCCGGCGGCGGATAATTCGAAGGAGCTGTGCTCGCCGGCGGCGGCGACTGATCCGGCGGAATGTGCGGATGGGGATGCGGCGGTCGCCGGGGACGATTGCGTCAGCGCCGCCAAGGGAGAGGCGGCGCCGGCCGACGCCGTGGCGGCGCCGATCCCTGAGGGTAAGCCGTTTTGCGTTCTTGATCGGCTCTATGCATCTGATTGGGTCATAAAGCTCGTCTTTTTATGCTTCACGTATGGGTTCTTGTGGGTTTTTACTGGCAGGTACTTCGCCACTTGGGGTGGATAAGCATCGGAGTTCTTTCACTTCTTGGAATTTATACCAAAAACAGAGTCCGAGCTTTGAGTCTTCTGCGCCGTGGTGTCGGCTTTTGCCCCAATCGGGTCAGGTAATTGGAGCTCGAGATTGAATGCAGTCTTGACTAGTTTGGTTTCTTGTAATTGGGATTTTTATATATTTCTTGTGGTTTAATGTGTGTTTTCATGGACTGCAGAATTCAAAGGTTCCTATTAGCTCCCCTACTTTCACAATTGGTTCTAGCAGACACTGTAACTTCCCATTGAAGGACCAGACAATAAGTGGTGTTCTTTGCAAGATAAAGCACACTCAGGTATCATTCGCTTGCCGGTCTTGAGTCGTGAGGAACTACAGTTCTCTTTTATGTTTAGGGAAGTGCCGGTTCCTTGAATAGTACAGGAGGGTCTCTCGTTTAAATAGCGGGCCAAATTTCAGTTAATTCGCTCTATTGGGTTAACTTAGTTCTATGTGGAGATGAAGCCTGTAAAATGCACATGCAGTATCATTACTCACTATCTGTGGACTTGACCAGCGAGAAGGCGCTGCTGTGGCCATACTAGAGAGCACGGGTAGCAAGGGATTGGTTCAAGTAAATGGAAATGCTGTCAAGAAGAACTCCAGTTGCACGCTTAGCTCGGGGGATGAGATCGTGTTTGGCATGCTGGGGAACCATGCTTATGTATCCTTATCTTTCATCTCATGCTTGTCTAAATCTTTTGGTTCTGGTGTTCTGGTTCCGAAACTCTGTCATCTCCATGGTTACTGCATCATGAGTTCCTAGAAGTTGTGAAGAAGTCTCGTGGTCTTTTGAAGGAGAAAGTAAAATATGACTCTGAAGAACGAGAGGAACTCAGCAACTTTGGAAGTAAAAGTATCAATAAATAGCCGAAAGGTGGAAGCAGAAAAAATGAGGAGGAAGGATGGAAATCAAGAGAAGAGGAAGTGTGTATACAGAGAGAGAGAGAGAGAGAGAGAGAGAGAGAGAGAGAGAGAGAGAGAGGGGTTAAAGAAAAGTAAAAAGTAAAATAGCTGTGAGGTAGGAGAAAGAAATGGAGAGGGAGGGAGAGGTGAGCGCGAACTTGAGGAAAAAAGGGAGAGAATGAGGGCAAGATCAGAGTGAAGTTGGGTAAATGGAGTCTATTGAAGTGTTGTGTTTATCAATGAGGTTGAGGTTATTGCAATCTACTTGAAGTATGAAGTGAATAAAAAGTTCAAGCTTTCAGTAGACATCCAGAATAGTGCCAACAAAGACAAGAGATAATGTAATTAAAGTACACGATCAACACTTTTCATGACATAAGCCTTCTCATTTTGGACACATGGACTTCCCTTTGACTTGATTTCGGACCTAAAATCATCCCTTGCCATTGACTTCGAGGACTTCTAAATGTGGGGAAAAGAATCGTCCCTCGACATTCTCTTGGGGAATTTCTATTGGACATTAAATCATCACCTTATCGTGGAATTGGAGGATTTCTTGGAAAGTAACTTCTGGTGGTATATTGCATGTTATGTGTTACTGTCCACACTCTTTTTATAAGTATTTGTCATGCATTTTTTATGCATGGGATTTCCTTAATCTCTCTCTATCCAGATATTCCAGCTAATGGTATCTGATCTCACGGTTAAGGGCGCAGAGATGAAAAGCATGGGAAAATTCTTTCAACTTGAGCGGAGATCAGGGGATCCTTCGGCTATGACTGGGGCTAGCATATTGGCATCCATTTCAAACCTGAAGCCAGATTTATCACGATGGAAGACGCCTGGCTCGGCTTCCGTTAAAATCTATCAAGGACCTGAAGTCCCTGCTCATTCTGCAATTAATGATGGGATGGACATTGATGATGGCCTGGAAGGCAATTCGGCGCCAGATGTTGCAAGTGAGAAAGCAGCAGAAGATGGAGCAACGGACAAGAGTCTTCCTGTCGACAGCAGCCAGGACGCTGGCATAGAGGCAGGCAATGTAAAAATCTCTGGGGTGAATCATTTGCTAAGGCCTTCCTTGAGGATGTTTGCTCTATCAACTAGTTGTAAACTGAAATTGAGCAAAGTATGTGTTAACAGGTATTGGAAGAATCGAGCGAGAGGACAAGGGATTCACAACCAGCATCGACATCAGGCATGTCTTTACGTTGTGCAGTATTCAAGCAAGAGGTTCATGCAGGAATCCTTGATGGCAGAGAGATAGAAGTTTCATTCGATAACTTTCCATACTACTTAAGGTGGGTTCTTTTACTACTAGTTCTTGATGGTAAGAGACATGAGCATGTCTATGTGATTTTGGGAATGGCGATATCTTTGGAACTTGTCTGGCTGTTACTGGATGGAATTGTTGGTTGCAGTGATAATTTTTGGTGATCAACATTAGTCTGCATCCTGAGTTTGAACTTGAATGATTACAAGTTGTTCGTTTGACAATTTCAGTTTCCAATGTATGCCCAAAACAATGTTATGAATGTGTCATTTACGGGTTGAGAGATCGAGATAGAGAGAGAGAGAGAGAGAGAGAGAGAGTACTTTAGTCGGGTCACCTGGGAGAAAATAATTTGATTGTAAAGTGTTTCTTAGTGGGAAAAGGCTTAGTTTAAGTGTTGTTGCTCATTTTTTTTAGGTGCAACTCTGATTAAGAGGAGCTTGTGCTCTTGATGCTATTGGCCTATTGATAGTGCTCTTGGGATTATCTTTGCAAATTAATTTGCCTCTTGTTTTTTTATTAATCTTTGCCACTAGACCTGCTTCTTGTTTTAAAGCACAAGGAGGAAGATAATGCCTCCACTTGCGACGTGATGTTGTCTGATGGCATCTTATTTTGCTATAAATAGATCTAACAATAGCATCTCATGAATGGTAGAGACCTAATTTGCCCTTGTGGTTGATTTGCATTTGATCTGCTTGCTATGCTGACCTGTCAACAGTTAGAGAGTCATGGTCAGTTTGCTTTGTCCTGATATGGTTGATCATGAATTAAAAACTTTGAGGCGCCTTTTTTTGCAGTGAGAACACCAAGAATGTGTTAATTGCCGCTTCATTTATACATTTGAAGCACAGAGAACACGCTAAATATGCCTCGGAACTTCCAACGGTGAACCCAAGGATTTTGCTTTCAGGCCCTGCTGGTGTGTTAGTTTCTTTTCTTCCTCTAGTGTGAACACGAATATTTTCTTATTTGAGCAATCTTCTCCTTTTGAGCTAATTTGAATTTCTAAATTGTCAATATTTTAATTGTAGGGTCTGAGATTTATCAGGAGATGTTGGCAAAGGCACTTGCAAATCACTTTGGTGCCAAATTGCTGATATTTGACTGCCATTCGTTTTTGGGTGTAAGTGTTTTGCTTGTGCTTTATTTCAATGTTTTAACTTTATCCCCTATTAGTTTTCGTGAACACTGCCCTCTTCTGTGTACGTGAGAGAGAGGGAGGGAGGGAGAGAGATATTATTTAAACAATCTCCAATCTTGGCTACATAGGTTGAGGTCAATTATGTCACTGGATGTTCGACCAAAAAAAAATAAAAATTATGTCACTGGATGATTATGAATTTGTTGTAGGGTTTATCTTCCAAGGAGGCAGAGCTATTAAAGGAAGGACTTAATGTTGACAAATCCTGCAACTGCACAAAACAAAACCCTCTTCCAGCTGACTTGGTCAAGGCGATTACTTTGCCAATTGGTGATGGCAATGCACCTAGCTCTTCAAATGCTCCCTCGCCTTTTGTCCCAGATTCACAGCAGAAGGGCGAGAATGATAATGTAGCTTCATCCTCTGGTGCATCCAAGAGTAATTCGTTTAAATTAGGTATGCTACTTGAATTGATTATTGACAGATATCTTTTGTCATTCATTTTAATTTTCCTTAATATGTAGTTCGTATTAATGCATTATACTTAACACAATGATTTAAAACATATAGGCGACAGGGTAAGGTTTGTTGGGTCAGCTTCTGGTTCCTTGTACCCATCCTCCTCGCCATCAAGGTACTTCTATTATTGGCTACCTGTGTTTTTGTTTCTTAATTTCATGAAGATACCTTTATCAACATGTCTGTTTTGTCAACTCTCTCTACTGTCTGTTTTTGCCCCCTCTTGGTTAAGGATTATTTAAAAGCCTTTCTAGATTGGAATGTGAAATATGTCAGAAATAGGAAAACTTTGTAGAACTTGTGTCATGTATTGACTTTCATGTTGCTATCTGTAAACACCAATGAGAAGGGCTGAGATGCTAAATCTGAAATGAGAAGCAATAGTCTGGCCGGTAGAGTCCTGAGTGCATCTCTTATTATAGCAAATGAATTGTTTCTTTAGGACAAAGAATTGCTTGCTGTTAGGCTAATACCAAAGGGCGGATATTATATAGTGTATTGATGGTCATCCTTGTGTTTTCTATAGAAGTATATTTTTAAGTGGGGAAGTAATGTGATGCTGCTTATCTCTAGCTTGTCAGGTAGTTTAGTGTGGGTGGGTGTGTAGCTTGTTTAGGTTCTGGAAATGTGCATGGAGATACTGCAGAAGTTGTTACCACTGCTTTATATTGGTTGAGTAACATCTTGCGCTCCTTCCATGTGTATAATGACTTTTTTTTCTTGGTCTGCTTGTTCTGAATAGCTCATTTCTGTTTTTGTATTTTCACAATACCAGCAATATTACTGAAATCTCTGTGCATAAGGTTCAGTTCTTATCAGCATTGACTTTTCTATGTTTCTGATATGCATTTCGTCTTTCTAGTTTTCCTATGGATGTGTGCCATGGATCGTTTATTTGATTATGTTCTTTTGTGTTGTTTTTCTTGTATAACTTTGACAGGGGCCCGGCTTCTGGGAAATGTGGAAAGGTAGTGTTACTTTTCGAGGATAATCCTCTGTCCAAAATTGGTGTGAGGTTTGATAAATCTGTCCCTGAAGGAGTTGACCTTGGGAATTCTTGTGAGGAAGGTCATGGGTTCTTCTGTAATGGTATAGTTTCTCTCTTAAGTTTTTCTTCCGCTCAAAATCATCAGGCTATTTTATCTTCTCTAACCCTCTTCCTTTCATCGTTTGTTTGGTCCAGCTGCTGATCTTCGGTTGGAAAACTCCTGTAGTGAAGATTTGGACAAGCTACTAATTGACACATTGTTCGAGGTGGTTTCTCCTTTTCCCATTTTTGAAATTGTTAATAGTTGATAACTAGTATCTCTTTAGTTTTTTATTTGTGTGTCCTTTCTGGTGTCAGGCTGTCTCCAGTGAGAGCAGAAATTCTCCTTTCATTTTGTTTGTGAAAGATGCTGAGAAGTCTATTGCTGGGAACTCAGAAGCATTCCCTACATTTAAAAGCAGAATTGAAAAGCTTCCCAATAATGTTGTTGTCATCGGTTCACATACCCATACTGACAACCGCAAGGAGAAGGTAACTTTTATCTGGTTTTGAGAAATAATTCTTGCTGTTGTTTATTAGGTGATTCGTCAGTGTCGCTTGTTAAATTTGAGCGTGCTTAGTTGGATCTGATGCTTCCCATGGCTCTATAATAATTGGCTTTGGTTGTCATTTTTGCAATCTCTCTATCTGACAGTTTAGTCATTAGATGAGATATATGTTTAAATTCTTGTTCAAGTTGTAGTCGCGTAGAGGATCATCGGTTTTGTCTCCTCCTCCTCCTCGTTGATTTAATATCTGGAACAGAAGATGATATAGTTTGTTCAGTTTGTTGCGCTTTATTCCCTCAGCCCTTTGCTGGAGGATAATTCTTTTTTTTAAGCTGGCCTGGAATTTGCACAGAAGTATGTACCATCTTCTGGTAGTGTTTGACGTGTTTTCTGGTGGCAGTCACATCCTGGTGGTCTTCTTTTCACAAAGTTTGGGAGCAATCAGACTGCTCTTCTTGATTTGGCTTTTCCGGTAATGATTTTCGTTCTTCACCTTGTTGTACTGTCGTACCTGTTTTAATTCTGTGGGATTTAGGGCACTTATTCATTGTCTTACCTGGGGATGTTGGCATCTATAGGTTCGCATAATATGCTTGTAGATTGGCTAGACTGTCAATCTGAGCTTGGTCTTCCTCTAAATGATGAGCAGTTGCTAAGTTACTGTTTTTTGAGCCATAATGTATTCATATGAAGATACACCATTTCAGCTTTAACTTTTGTACTATGTGTATTGGGTCATGACTTGCTGACGTGCTATGATTTCAGCTTGGGAAAATTCCAATTAAGAACCCCAAGTGGGGTCAAATTCTCAAAAAAGGGTCCAAAGTGAACATTGTGTCAAATAAAGGCCTGAAGTGCTCAATCAGTCTCAAATAAGGACCCGAAGTGCCCAAAAAGTCTCAAATAAGGACCTGGGTCGTCGGCCGGCCAAAATACCTGCCGGCTGGCGAGAAAGTTACTGTTCCGGTGTTCCGGCCGGAACAGTGACTTTTTAATTTTATTATTATTTTCTTTCTATTTTTCCTTGTGTTTTTTTTCTTTTCCTTTTCCTTTTCCTTTTCTTTTTTTTTTCTTTTCTTCCTCCGCCGGCCATAGCCGGGGCCGGGTCGCGTCGCCGAGGCCGCCGCGAGGGGCGAGGCCGGCCCTCGCGCGGCCTCGCCGATTGCCGCCGAGGTCGGCAGCCCCTCGCCCGGTTTTGGCGAGGGCTCGACCTCGCCGGCGTCGGGCAAGGCCGGCCTCGCCAGATCTGGTGAGGGCTCGGCCCCGCCGGCCGCGGGCGAGGCTGGCGAGGCTCGACCTCGCCTGATTTGGCGAGGCCGAGCCCTCTCTCTCTCCAGCCTCGAAGTTCGTCCGGTCGAAGCCGTGGGAGGAGGAGCAGGGCCTCCTCCAAGGACCCAGGGCCTGCATCGCCGCCTTGAGCAGCATCGAGAGGAAGCGATTCCGGATGATCTTCGACTTTGCTTCGACCAGATGAACTTCGGCGTCGGGCGAGGCCGGCGAGGTCAAGCCTTGCCAGCGGCCGGCGGGGCCGAGCTCTCGCCAGATCTGGCGAGGCTCGACCTCGCTTGCAACTGGCGAGGCCCGGTCTCGCCCGACGCCGGTGAGGTCGAGCCCTCGCCAGATCTGGCGAGGCTCAACCTCGCCGGCAACCGGCGAGGCCGCCCTCGCCCGGCCCCGAGGGCGAGGCGCGGCCGACCTCGCCGAGGCCGCCGAGGCTCGACCTCAGCCCCAGGCACCGAGGCGGCCCTCGCCCGAGGCCGGCGAGGGCGGCCCTCGCCCGAGGCCGGCGAGGGCGGCCTCGCCCGACGCCTGCGAGGGCGGCCTCAGGCGACCTCCGCCGGCCCCGGCTATGGCCGGCGGAGGAAGAAAAGAAAAAAAAAAAGAAAAGGAAAAGGAAAAGGAAAAGAAAAAAAAAAAAAACAGAAAGAAAATAATAAAAAAATTAAAAAGTTACTGTTCCGGTGCCGGAACAGTAACTTTCTCGCCGGCCGGCAGGTATTTTGGCCGGCCGGGGACCCAGGTCCTTATTTGAGACTTTTTGGGCACTTCGGGTCCTTATTTGAGACTGATTGAGCACTTCAGGCCCTTATTTGACACAATGTTCACTTTGGACCCTTTTTTGAGAATTTGACCCCACTTGGGGTCCTTAATTGGAATTTTCCCTTTCAGCTTTAACTTTCGTACTTATGTGTATTGGGTCATGACTTGCTGATGTGCTATAAGATGTTTATGGAGACGCTTTAACATCCGGGCATTTGATTTTAAATATCATTTGATCCTGTGGCTGGGACAGAGACATAATAATCAAATGTGAAGACAGACAATATGACCATTCTGAATTTTATATGTAAGGTGAAGAGATTAAAACAGACAAGTTGATCAAATATTTTCTAAAATATGGATAATAATTATTATGTGGACTTGGTTTTTCTGGTGGCCTGCATCAACTCTTGCTTGACACATTTGTTTTGGGGACTTGAAGTATGTTTTTCCGTGGATGGCAGATGTTTGTACTCCACGTCTGACTTGCATGTTCATTCCACCATGCTTGAATTCTGTTCTCCATTGTATACCTTCAGCCTAACATTATTTCATATGACTTGTCGGACAAGGTGTATTTTTTTTTGTTTGGTTCTCTTCTGTCAAATAAAGAAGACACAAATAAAAGTTGTGGTTATGATGCTGACCTCATTTAATGGTCTCAGGATAGTTTTGGAAGGCTTCATGACAGAGGAAAAGAAGTTCCAAAGGTGACAAAACTTCTTACAAAGCTCTTCCCCAATAAAGTTACAATCCACATGCCACAGGTATGACTTCTCTCCGGTGGAGCTTGGATACTCACGTGCAATTGCTTCAGTTAACATGAGTCTTGGAACTGCAACTACTGATTGCAGGATGAAGTGCTTCTTGCATCTTGGAAGCATCAGTTGGATCGAGATTCTGAGACCCTAAAGATCAAAGGGAATTTGAATAATTTGCGAACTGTGAGCAATTTTCACTCCTATATTTTAAGATCATGGAGCATCTCGTGCCTGGTTTTATCATAGTTGGTTAATGAAATGAAATTCTAAGAGCGCTCCTTTTCTTTTTAATGGGCATTTTCTGATAAATTGAAAGTATTTCCAATCACGGCCATGTGTACAACATACATGCCCTGTAACAATTTTTTCCCATAGTACACCAGTTTCCGAGAATGTTGAAGAGGTTAAGCATGAGGGCAATCTTTCGATTTGTTGGCATTTTTAAGTTTGGCAGTCTTATGCAGCAGAGGAGACAATGTCATAGTTTCTTATCCTTATGTTCAGGTTCTTGGTCGGTGTGGAATGGAATGTGAAGGACTTGATACGATATGCATCAAGGACCAAACACTTACCACTGAGAGTATGTACATTACCATTGATCCATTTAAGTGAGGTTGCTCACCATGTTTCCTTAACATGGTGTTAAAATTTAATTTTATATTGGCAGGCGCAGAAAAGGTCATTGGATGGGCTCTAAGCCATCATTTAATGCAGAATCCTGAATCTAATGCTGATTCAGGGCTTGTTCTGTCCAGCGAGAGGTAAGGAATTGTTCCTTTCTCTGTCAGGATGCATGTTTTATCGGCTGCAATCTTTGGGTTAAATTAACAAAACCATTTTGAAATGTTTGGCAGCATCCAGTATGGCATTGGGATCTTGCAGGCTATTCAGAACGAGTCTAAGAGCTTGAAAAAGTCGCTCAAGGTTATCATATTTATTTGGCTACTAAATTTTGTGTAGCAGGAATACCTGTGTTAAGAATCACAAATTGTCTAACTGTGGGTCAGTTTTTTTTCTGTACAGGATGTTGTAACTGAAAACGAATTTGAGAAACGGCTTCTTGCTGATGTTATTCCCCCCAGTGACATAGGAGTCACATTTGATGACATCGGAGCTCTTGAAAATGTCAAAGATACATTGAAGGAGCTAGTCATGCTTCCTCTACAGAGGCCTGAACTTTTCTGCAAAGGGCAATTAACCAAGGTTCTGCTTTTCTCTATGAGCACTCAATTTGCTCCACTTGAAGTTTGGTCGTAATAACGGATTAATTAATTCTTGCACATACTTTTTGGAGCTCCGGCATTACTTGTCATTTGTAATTGTGTTCTGTTAATGACTATGATATGTCCACGTATATTGGCCATAATATATGTACTGACTTTCCTGGTTTAATCTTGTCTTTTTTTATAGAAATTTATAGGTGTTCTGTTCTGAGGCTACTATACGGTGTGCAGAAACTTTCTGGTTTTCTATTTTCTGAGGCTATAAAGCCAGTACAAATATGTAGAAAAGTTGATCTGCTGGCAAGAAGTTCTTTGATGCAGGATTCATCATGGATAATAGACAGTTGAGGTAGCTAGGCACCTGATAAACAATCAGCTAGCAACGTGACGTTCAGTATGTATTCATGTGGTAACCATCCATCCTGATTGGCTGCCCTGCCTGGTGCAGCCGCAGTCCGGCCCACCCCTGCCGCAGCTCACCCTGCATTACTTAGGCTTTCTTTTTCTTTTCTTTTAGACTAATTAAGTTATCTCTTATTGTTTGTACTCCTATTATTATTACTAGTTGATCACTCATCTCAAGAATGCCTATCGGCTTAAACTTTTGTTCAATATTAGAAAATTTGGCAACACAGGTTTTTTGTAGATTTATACCGTTATAACTAAGTTAACCGTCTCGAGAAGGATAACCTTTAAGCTGAATTTTGAGGTGAGATAATCTTGATCAAGATCTTTCGTTGTGTTAGATTTATCTTTTTGCGAATAGCAAAAACAGGGCAAAATGGTAGAGATGGTGCATGGGGTGGAGATGGGACAGGGTGTTGATGGTGATCCTGGCCTTGCTGAACCCCCCAAATAACTTAGTGTGCTTTAAGTGGCTTTCCTCAGCCAAAAGAAGCTGAGTGTTCTTCAAGAAATGCTGGTGTCATTGTTCCAAAAAGAGCTAATAGAGGCTCATTTCAAGTAGTAGGTACACAGGCACACCTAAGAATGCGGCCGTGTGGAAATATGAGAAGACATGAAAAAGAGACCAGTGTGGAAATACGAGTAGACTTGAAACGACACTGGCCATGTGTCAAAGAATTATCTGAAGTAAAAAAATTCTGACGGTTTAGGCTTCTTGAAAGAACAAAAAGCAGAAATTGGTTTAATGAGCTGCCTGTAAAAGTGGTTCTGGTTTTTCTCTATTTTTTTTTTTATAGTAATTGTCTCAAGTTCATGCTTGAAAACCTTTCTGTCTGATGTCATAAGCAGTCTTTTAAGTGCCTCTGTAATACAAGTTATTTGTGCAATGCTTTCATGGTGGAGATTGCTCTTAGTCTCACTGTTACCTTTCTTGTCCAGCCTTGCAAGGGCATTCTTCTGTTTGGTCCCCCTGGAACAGGCAAGACTATGCTTGCAAAGGCTGTGGCTACTGAAGCTGGTGCAAATTTCATCAACATTTCCATGTCAAGTATCACATCCAAGGTCAATATTGGGGCTGATCTCTTGTGATCATTTGAAATTTGCGGAGACTTAACGTCGTACTGCTGTATGCTCCAATTCTTCTTTTCTTTGCAGTGGTTTGGTGAAGGCGAGAAGTATGTGAAAGCTGTTTTCTCACTTGCCAGTAAAATTTCCCCGAGTGTTGTATTTGTTGACGAAGTCAGTTTCTCTATTCTTTCTTTTTGTTAGTTTAGGTTCCTAGTTGTTGTACTTCTCATAGTGTTTTGGTGGTTACCTAGGTTGATAGTATGTTGGGCCGGAGGGAGAACCCAGGAGAGCACGAGGCCATGCGCAAGATGAAAAATGAATTTATGGTCAACTGGGATGGCTTACGGACTAAAGATACAGAACGAGTACTGGTACTTGCAGCCACAAACAGACCTTTCGACCTGGATGAGGCAGTCATCCGTAGGCTGCCTCGCCGGTGAGTGTTACCATGACTTTTTTTCATGGACATATATATTGCAATTCTTACTTTCCTTCACATCCTCTTTCCTTTCCGAGTGGGCCTTCATATATCCCAAAAGCAGATGCTAAGTTTCGTCTTTACTACAGATTGATGGTAAATCTTCCAGATGCTCCAAATAGAGCAAAAATTTTGAAAGTTATACTAGCAAAGGAAGACTTATCTGCAGATGTCGACTTGGACGGAATTGCAAGCATGACAGATGGTTACTCAGGAAGTGACCTAAAGGTGACACCTTAGAATCTTAACTCACACTGTTCGCTAGTGGAGAATTCACTCTCACCTATTACTGTCTTATTACAGAATTTATGTGTAACTGCGGCGCACAGGCCAATTAAAGAGATATTGGAAAAGGAGAAAAAGGTCCATGTCTTCCCGTAATTCGATATGGCTACTTTACTCGTACTTTGATTATGGCTGATACTATTTGCAACTCATGGCAGGAACGTGCTGCAGCTCTAGCAGAAGGCAAACCTGCTCCAGCTTTGAGAGGGAGCGCTGATATACGGTCTCTCAATATGGAAGATTTCAAATATGCACATGAACGGGTAAAACTTTTTGAAAATGGCATATCTGAGATGTGGCACTTTTTTCTCACCATAGCGTGATAGTCCACAAACCTAGAGCTATTTTACAACTTAGTAGGAGTTCATTTTCCTTATTGTTGGTGAAGCTTCAATTGATTTCGTATCTGTGTTGTTAACATGGAAACAGGTATGTGCAAGCGTATCATCCGAGTCTGTTAACATGACCGAGCTTCTGCAGTGGAATGAACTCTACGGTGAAGGTGGTTCAAGAAGAAAGAAGGCACTCAGTTATTTCATGTGAAGTATTATTGTTCACTAATTCACAATTGCAATTTTTGACCCGCTGCTCGTCCTCCTAGAAGCTGCTACGAAAGTAATCCATTTTGTTTTTGTAACCTGGGAAGCCCCTTCTTTTAGTTTCTCCTTGTAATGTTTTCTTGCCAAGTTTTTTGTTTCCATTTTTCTTGGATTGTTGGTATAAAAGAGAGAGAGAGGAAAGCCTCCAATAGCTTTTAATTTGGCTCCGCATCATATCTGTCCTCTTTTGCTTTCTTTGCTGCTCTTAGGATTTACTGATTCTCATATAAATTGAACTTTTGTTCATCTCTTTTAGGTGAAGTCCTTACTGTCACTATGTTAATAGTGGTCAGATAAGATCTCTCCCTCTCTCTCGCACGCGCGGACACTCACACATAGAAGCACACCTGCGCTTGTGCACTTGAAACAATAGAAATGTGCGTTTATTTTGTAGAAGAAAACAAGAATCATCACATATCATGATCTTGAAAAGCAAATCACGCATTTATTTTGTAGAAGAAAACAGGAATCATCACATATCATGATCTTGAAAAGCAAATCACTATGCCTCCTGGCCTGCTCGGTATTCTATTCGAACTTTAAGGTGATTATGAACCCCTTTGAAACAATGCAAAGGACTTTAAGTTAAAGAGTTTTTCAAAATGTAAATTATGTTTGGTAAGTTATAACATAAAAGATCATTGCAAAGCAACTTTATGTAAAGTAGTGTTTGGGAAAATTATTTTTGCAAAGTACCTTTTTATTTTTTAATAAAGAAAAATTGAAATCCTATGCCAGAGCCGACGAAGGGCAAGCGGCCACTAGCGACCCAGATTTGGTGTCGGCGGCCGTTGTTTGAGGTCATTCAGCAGCCCCCGCCGACGAGGGATGGATGTGGTTGAGCGACCCCCGATGAGGGTCGCGAAACCCAAGCGAGGGTCGTCTAGGTAGCACGACCTCAGCCGGCCCTCGCTTGAATCACGCGGTACCTCTCCAAGGTCACGTGAGTTTCTGGTGAGGGCAGTCTAGGTCGCGCGACCTCAGATGGCCCTCGCCTGGGTCACGTGGCCCCTCACGGCGGTTGTGCGATCCCAGGCGACAGTCGTTGGGTTGTGCAACCACGCCGGCTCCCCTCTGGCTTGTTGCCGTCCCCTAATAGCCATGCCGACCGAGCTAAGCGAAGAAGATGATAAACAATGATAAACGAGGCCAAAATCAAAAAATAGATGAGAGTAGTTTTGGAAGAAATTTTTTTTACTTACCCGGGAGTCTTACATGCCGAGAAACCTGAAAGCCCAAGGTAGCCTAGGACTTGCCTTAGGCTTTCAGCCTTCACAAGGCTGACTTTTGCTGAATGGGATTTGTAAAACTGTTCCCAAACACTCAATTTTAGCTCAAAGGGCTTTGGACGTCCAATTGCACCAGACAGCCGTCAGAATCTTACATTTCAAAATCCTCTCTCAAGTTGGTTGCCTTCTCTTCTCCTCCTTCCATTTAGCTCAACCAAATTCGATCAACCGATTTAATTGAATCAGCAAATTTCCCTTCCCGTCAAACTCAGTCGTTGCCTTAATTCCTTAGCTATGGAAGATGTTGGAGTTCAGAGGCAAAAGAAAACAGAATGGTCTTTGTCAAAGTGAGCTTAAGAAGAAAAGGAAGAGGGGTTCCAATTATTGTTGCGCCAATCATATACAAATGATTAGCCTCCCACAAGTAGTATGAGTAATCCTCCGTATGTTAGCAAAAAGAAGAATTGGAGTAAACATACTAGGTTTTACATGTAATAGAAAATAAGATTTGGTTGGTGTATTAATTCATACGAGGGGATGAACAGAAGAAAAACCATGGAGGGGCTCTAGAAATTTCCATGGCTACCATCCTAAAAGATTGGATGCTTTGTAATCATTAAATGTTCGGGAATTTTAAACCTATGCTTAAGTCACGAGAAAGGACAGAGAAATTGCCTCGTCCACAGTGTTCGTCGAATCTATTGAGCTCGTTCACAATTCAATGCATGCCATGCAACACAGCTACGGAAACTAAATGAGGCACATATACAAATAAAAACCGCAGGCAAGCATATTGGGCAACCTTATAGTAACACCGTCATGGTTCACGCACCTGCATATACTTGGAGAGACAATAAGATTCACATTGTTAGTCTCTAATCCCCAGTTTCAACTGATTAGAAAGACATTTCTCAAAAGACGGTTAATGTCCTGAGCACTACAACTAGTACAATACAAGTCTTTTGGCACGGTTGTGGTTACATCTTTCCCTAACAGGGAACACCCCAAAACTTACAGCCTCTATGGAATTGGGAACAAAAACCCAAGCTCCCGTTTTAGTACAATGAGAAGTCAAGCTTCCACGGAATGTCCAGGAAACCACGGAAGTCCTGGCTGAATGCATTGTTTCGAGTCAGGAACTGGGACAATTGGTCCGAGGAAAATACGCCACAAGTCAAGTATGATTGTCACCAGCATGGCTGCACCCAAAGCATCGACGGCTACTCTTGGCAGGTCCCAAGGACTGCCTGGCTTCTCATCAATCCTGCAGGCACAAGTTTATTTTCAGCTGACGAATGTTGCATGAGCTCCAATGATTGACCAAGTACAAAACGTATGACTAGAAAAGACAAAGCTATGACTTCCATATCCTCTTCCATATTCTCCAATTTTTCCACTTCATATCAAAAAGAAAAAAAGGGAAAAAAGGATGCAATTGTAGTTTTCTAATGAGTAGGAGCATTATTCCTTTTAATTTGGATATATGAAACATAATGTATGAAAAACAACCACATAATTGAATACATGCCAGAGAACACGAAGAAAATGGTGTGTACAATGCAGATCAACCTTGCCAGAATTTATGGCTTGTTAACCAGATAATGTTTTCATCTGTTTAGATGATTGCATTTACATTTTTATATTGCCTTCATTCTGGCATATGGTTTCACTATTATGAAAACGCAATACTGATCATTGTAGTTATTTATCAATGAAATCACTGTCCGAATCGATAAACTACCGACCGTGCATTTATACAAGCTGGAACCTATTACAATTTAAATTCATTCTAGGACAAGTACATCCATATCACTCTTCACATGATTGTGCAGCTGTGATATGCACGTGTTACTGCTGAATCATGCATTTTTTGAAACAGAGAGGATAAGAATCCATAAAATAGGTGTTGGGCACATAAAGTTCTCACCTCAGAAACATTGGGAAGCTCACAATGAAGTATATGGCATAAAACAAGGACCCCACTTTATACATGGATGCCCGGTCTACAAATTCATAATAAGGAAACTGCAAACATTGAACGAAATGAATTAGGTTTGCATAATCCCTGCATATCACATTACTTTTTAAGTATCTGTAATTAACTAAATGAAATAGCGACAATTGCAATGTATAATGTCTTGGGTTTGTTTCACAGCAAAGACCTGCCTGGCACAAAAAGAAAGAACAGATTTCACAAGAAATGCTCCATGCAAAGTCGAAAGCTTGCAAAATAAATGTGACGTCATATGGCAGGCAGAAAGATGTCGAACTATCATTCTCATTACGGAAAATACAGAAACATGCTGAGGAATATAAGTTGAAGAAGAAAAGAATCAGCATTCACCGGGGATATTACAAAACAGATAACAATTGATATTCTTAATCTAACGAAATTTCATTTCAAGGTTGACTGAATATGTCTTGTCAAATTAACTGATTCTTTTCATGATAAGGCTGTGGATAAAGGAGAATGGCCAGAATAAGCAATCTTGGAGACAATGCATTGACAAATATGAACCACTCCAGTTCAAAAAGGCAATAAAATCAGCATGCCATCTATATAAAAAAAAAGTTGGATATAATTATAATGGATAGTAGAACAATTGGTCTGGACATACATTAGAAATGGCTACGGTCTCCAGGTATGCTATGAAATAGGAAAGAGCCAGAATCCATGCCGCCTCAGTAACCCACTGGATTTTTTCAGGCAAGTCAGCAATAGCATGCCTTAGCCTGCGGAGGGTCATGTTTGACGTAACATGGTAAAATAAAAAGCAAACATGAGTCAGGAGGAAAGTAGTATGCGGTACCTGCACAAAAAAGTTAACCAGACTGCATGATAAGAAACAGACAGATGATTAAGAAAAGCGTAACTAGTCAATGTCTCAAATTTATGGCTCACATTATTCATTTTCCATGATGGAAATGTATAAGAAGCTCCCAAAACTGTGAAGAAGTAGTGCGTCCAAAAGTAATTCCCAACGTAACTGAAGATTATTATCCAGAGACTCGCCTGCCAAAGCATGGTTAAGTGTTAGGGTGGAAGGGCAGCTCTTCTTTGAGATCCTAATATCTAGCTATATAATGTCCACACAAAGGCCAGCTTCATAACGTAGTGGATGAGTAAAACGTCACATATACAGTCTTCTTTAACTCAGAAAGGAGAGATACACAGCCTTCAGAGAACTTGCTTTAATGTGCTTTAATGCAACTTCTAAGTTGATGCTCCAGTTTTCATGTAATTCAGATTGTTTAATTAGACCATCGGCACTGAACACCACATTGGCAGGGATATAAAGCAAAGGCACTTAAAATTGCTCAAATGTTCTGCTAAATTGTAACAGCAGATACAAATTTTAAAGCCCCAGCTCTTTACAGAATCAAACTTGTCAGCTTTTCTTAAGTATATCGTGAGTCACAGGACCCACAGCAGTGCAATCTACCCATAAACAATTCAGGTTCAACGTGTTCTCTATAATTGCAAATCCAAATTTCTATCTGAACAGTGATCCAATATTACTTCCAACAGACCAACTCACATATTTTTCCTAGACACAAAGTAGAAGTAGCTTGCAGACTGTGCACATCATGCACGAATCAATAAGGCAACATGTGAAACAAAGCTGTTTTAGACACTTCATCACCAAAATGTGTGATCCGTCAGCGGTATACCCTATAATTGATGATACTGAGTGTAAATGTAGATGAGCAATATATATCATGGAAGTAGCTTCTAGAGCATTAAGAATATGGACAATTATACCCCAAAAAGCACTTGCCTTGACCCAATAGCGATCCTTCCAGCACAAACTGCTATCCGCCTGCCCAAGTACGTAAATTTAAGGACATTTCATATCAAAAGGGAGTTCTAGCACCTCAGGATCATATCTAATACTATTAAGAAAGAGAATTAGTTTCCAGAAGACCAGAAGTAATCTCAGTAGACACGACTATGATGAGCAAATTAATTTTTTTCTTTCTTGAAATAAGCAAATTCCAGTTTAACGCCTTGATTGTAGTCTTAAAACTGAGAACGCAATCAGAGTTCCAAGCACCGGCTTACGCAGTTTTCAGGGGAACCACAGAATTGAGTATACATGAAAATCCATACTAATGTTTAGGGGATGATTTCATTCTAGTGACATGTAAGTCCATTAAGCAAGTCAACAAACATACCTGCCCAACAAATACCATTGGCATAAGGAAAGCAGGAACCGCTGACACCAACCCCAGAAGCAAGTACTCTAACTCGGTAAAATTCTGTCATTCAATGCAAGGAGAAAAACACACAGATAATTAGATTCAGTTTATGCTCTTCACTCAAGCGTGTGCATTTTCTCATTTATGCGCCACATAGGTCATAGCATGGGAACATTTAAAAGTGTCTATTCAGCTAGAAATGGCTGAACAAATATGGAAATTTCTACCTGGAGGATATGTGAAATGCAAGATAAGAGCTGCAATGTATCACTCTAACGGTTCTTAATTACTTTAACAGTCAGTTTGGATGGAGTGATTAGAAGGGAAGAGAAGAATATAAAATGATCATGGGTTTGGATGGATGGGGAAGATGGATGGAGAAGGATTAGTGCAGCCAGTTTTATGTAGTTTCTAAATCCCCCCTTACATATATGGAGGGATCCAGAGGGATTTGAACAACATACATACTGGATCCAAACAACATTTTAGCTCGAACTTTTTATTTCATTTTGCATACGTTTCCGTTCTTTTCCCTCATGAGAATCCAAACAACATTTTAGCTCAAACTTTTTATTTCATTTCTTTTCTTTTCTCTGGTAACTATCCAAATTCTTTCCATTCCCTCCTAATCACTCCATCCAAACTGAGTGTAGAAGTGGATGAATTCACCACAAACTCGTCTTCATGACTTCCATCACTCTCCAACCCCCAACCGCCCCCAAAAGAAAAAAAGAAAAAAAAGAAAAGAGAGACAAAGACGAAGGGAATGATGGAAAGGTCTCTTGCAAAGCTGATGCATCATCATCTCTCTCCTCCGTCGACACAAACGGGAAGGAGAGAGAATACATAGATGATTACTCATTTCTAGAACGAAATGAGATGCTCGATTCGCTCCTTAACTAATGTAAAGCCACCTGCTTTTGTTTTTGCCAGTTCTGTCAATGTACCAAACTTTTTTTTTCTTTTTTCCCCTCGTCCAGAAAAGAAGTTAATAAGCTCAGCTTTAGACCGAAAGTAAAGCGACACACTTGCAGCGAAATGCGAAAGTCCTAATGCCTCCTGGAAAACTGGACTCACGACCATGAACCAAATAACCCACTCCGCTCTAGTAAACCAAAACCCCCCTTTTCAACCAAAACCCACGACAGCAAAATGCAATCGAACACGGGATTCGGGCAAGAAAAAAGGTAAAAAAAAAAAAAAATCCAAACTTGGTCGAGAAGAATCGAGACGGACCTCGTAGAGCTTGTAAGGAACGACGATGCCGAGCGAGAGGGTGAGCCAGAACGGGGTGTAGAGGAGGAAGAAGAGCTCGCCCCATCTCTTGCTGGGGTTCGGAGCGAGCCACGAGCTCGAGCTCGGCGGCGGAGGAGGAGAAGGAGCCGATTTCGCACCGCCTGCGCATTCGGAGCGAAACGAAGAAGCGCAGACCACCTTAGCGTTTGAGGGAATGGCCCGAAAGAGACGAAGATGGAGCTCGATGGAGACGAAGAAGGGATATACCGGACATTGCGAAGCGCCGGAATCTTCGAGAGGAGCGAGGTCTCGCCGTCAGCAGTAGTAGTGTCTGAGACTGGAGAGTGGGAGTTGGGTGGGTGAGGTCGGCTTTCTTGATGCCGGGAGGAGTGCCAGCCAGAGGAGCCAGCCCACGTTGTTGTCGAATCTTTTTGTCGTGCTATACGGCATTTGAAAATATAACGTAAAAGACAAACATGATAAAAAGGTAAAGATTAATACCATAAAAAACTCCAAATTAATATAATAAATTTATATTTGCTAGTTATCGTTAAATTTTATCATTAAATTTTTGAATTAGATGACACGTGCTAGTTTACGAATGTACCAATTTTGGGATTTTACCACTCGGTTTATAGTATTAATCCAATTTAATAGAAGTAAATTTGTCATATATGTACCGGTTTGGAATTTTTGATGATCAAAAAATTAATTTGGAGTATAATTGTCACAGGTATACCAGTTTGGGGTGAATTTGTCATATGTGTACCGATTAAGGGTTTTTCGTGATATTAATCAAAAGATAATGAGATATGCTCTTTTTTGATATTTGACTTTCGAAATATTGAATAACGCATGCGGCGAGAAGATCGGGAAATATTAGTAAATTTTTCGTATTTTGTGATATTTGTTGCAATGTTAAAACAATGTAATATATCATGTGGCTTTTCAATGACGAAAAAGAAAATTGTCACGTAAAGAGTCGCCCGACCGGCCTTGGGCGAGCTCTGGCCTGTGGCGAGGCTCGAGCGCTCCGATGGGCAGTCGCCGGCAAAGGAAGAAAAAAAGAAAAGGAAGGAAAGGTAAAGAAAAAAAGAAAAAAGAAAAATAATATAGGCTTGGCTTGAGCAGACTTTCTTGGCCCTCGAGTCACGAGGCAGGCAATCGTTCCTCGTATTGAAGTCGTCACGGATCCGTCAAAATCTACTTTCCGAACTTAAATTTAAATTTCGACCAAAAAAAAAAAACTTGAGTTTGAATCTCTCTAAATTAATTTACGTCGTCAAAATCTTTCTTGGCACGTGATTAATTTTTGAAATGTTTTTTTACGGCACGCGAGAGTTAAAGAATAAGAAGGATTTGAAAGTACAAATTATAGTTAGAGCCTAAAAGCAAGAGTGTACTGTACTGGAGATTTTTACGATCTCTTGAGAGACCGATCCACCATCCTAAAAATACAATACTCCGATGTCTATTATCATACTCCCTATACATTTCTTCCATAAAATTTTCCAAAGTTTTTTAATCATCAATCAAGATTTATTTTTTGCGATTCAGTGATCACCCCAATTCTTAGGAATCAGATTTTTCAAGGATTGTAGAAATGCTCGGGCCCAAGGAGATAACGGTGAAGTTGACTCATGATCATCGAATGCGCGCTTAGAGCGTGAATGATAACCATTCTCTTCCTGGTCCTATTTCTAACTAGTTCTCTAGACGAGTTCCCGAGCAAAAAGTAGCTTTTGATATCGATACAAAATTTGTGTTTCCGAAATAGAAATTCGCTTGATAGGTTACTCTTAAATTTCTGTTCCCAGCTGGCGGCGGCGGACGGGCGGCGAGTGATGGCAGGCGAAGGCGAGCAATAAAAGAAAGTTATTATTTATGTTTCTATTCCAGAAATAAAAAAGTAAAAAAAAAATTCACTTCTCAGATCAATTCCAAACTTATATCCGGGCTAAAAATTTATCCTGAAATAAAAAAAAATAAAATTGTGTTGTCAAATGAATTACTGTTTCATCTGTTCCCGAAAATAAAAAAATATAATAATTATCATTCGCCGCTTTTAAATTCCCCGAGTTTGTCATATGAGTTCGAGCACATCGCTTTTGATTTTGTCATCCTGTCTGGCGGCCGGGCTTAAGCATGTGCGCGAAATTATACGAAGCAGAGTAAAAGAGGATCAAAAGAGAACGGTGCCTTTATAAAAAGAACCCTAGTGGTTAAAGAGCACGTGCCCCGCTTGTCGCCACCCTGCGAATCGGTAACTCCGCAGAAGGAAAATCCGTCTCGGACAAGGGAAGCACGACAAAAGCTGCCCAAAGAAACCAAACACGCGCCCGCCTAAAACACTGGCAAAACCCCCTCAAAACCCTCCGCTGACCGCGACGCTATCTCCTCCCTCCCTCCTTTGTGTTCCCGTTTGGAAAGGCAGCTTCGTTTCGACGCATTTCCGAGGAATCGATCGCCCAATTCTGCAGTTCTAGGATCCGATTCCCAGCCGGGTCGAGCGCTTTGCCCAGATCAGCCCATCCGATTCTGCGAATCTCAGAAGGGGCGAGAGTTTGCGGACATGGCTCAGTGGCACGCGGCAATTCCCTACTCTGGCAACAGCGCCACAGTCTGTGCATCGGACAAAGGTATAATCTTTTCTCCTTTTGATTTGCCGTTTCTGTTGATACCCAGTTGCTGGATATCCTTGCTGCATGTGAAAGTTCGAATCTTTTGCTTCGTGGACATGCGTTTGCTGAGCAAAAAGATCGAAGCTTTAGCTGTACTTAATTCTCTCTTGACTCGTAGATCGAGCTATTGATTTTGACGCAAGTTTTTGTGATGGCCCGCCCGACTGGCTATGAGCAGAGTAGATTCTTAAAAAGAGAGCGAAAGAAATGCATTTTTTGACCAACGAAATTTGTTCTTTGCTTTTAGCTGACTCTTCCTTTTGCGTGTCTGATTGAACTTCCAGCGACACTTCTTATTCACGACAAGATAAGCTGCCTGAAAAGTTCATTTGTATCGCAAAAGGTATGGCCTTTATCATTTATAAAGTCTATTCCATGGACTTTGTTTTTCTTTTCTTCATGAAGGGAATGCCGATTTCCTTCTATGAGCAATGCTTCTTCTGAAGCAAAATAGTTGGGCTGATGAGATCGTTATAAACTTTTTTACCACAGTTTGGCGCTCGGTTGAGTTGCTTCCATGGATATCCGATTGGTTGGTCCCATGGCGGTATCACTGCTGAATCTCGTGTTAGAAAAGGTGAGGTTTGTTTTCCCTAGCCTTTTTGACATGTGCATACAAACTAAAGGTGAGGTTTTTTACTTTTTACCAACTCGATACTTGGTTATGTGCTCACATCCTCTGTCAGTTTAGTTGTGTGGAACATGTATGAAAAACAAGGGAAGGTAGTTCCACCAAAGTATTGCTAATCTGTTTGAACAAAAAAAGTCGGTTTAGGAGAGTTGATTATGGATTTTGCTGCAAAGCCTTTTTGCCAGAATCCTATGGCCTGCATCTTTTGATGTATGCTCTGCAATCTAATGGGTGTTGACTCTTGACTGCAGGAATTCAAGCAGTTTTGCCAAGTGATGCAGAAAAGGGTGGAGGTAAGCGTGGAAAGTTGAACAAAGTGGTTCTGGCCTACAGTGGCGGCTTAGATACCTCAGTTATTGTTCCATGGCTGAGGTAATTCTCTCTTCTCCGCTCTGTCTGTGCATATGCAACATGCCGTATTCACATCCATAACATTTTGAAATATGTGATGTACATTGCAAGAAATTTTTTTTTTAGATTCAGTTTGCATCTAAATGTTCCTCATACTTTGTTCTAATGCTTTCTTGGCACATTGAGAAAGGTATGATAGTCCGGTTAGCCTTTCCTTTTTTCTGGGATTTGGTTAGAGTAGAGGGGGCAGTGAAATCTATCTTTTTCTGAGCAAGATTTAATAGGGGAATAAATTTCATGGATACCAAAATGTACATTATTAACACTATTTTAATTTCACAAGCTTTTATAGGATCATGTTTTTATGTACCTTTCACAGGCTTTCGGCTTGAAATTTGAATTACATGACTTGCAGGGAGAACTATGGCTGTGAGGTTGTATGCTTCACTGCTGACGTTGGCCAAGTATGTTCTTTAATGCGTCATTGAATTATTTCAAAGAAGATATAGTTTCACAGAAAATAGTTTGTGTTTCATATGACCATCATTTGGATCGATTTTTCCCATGTTTCTTTTTCAAACCTGGAGGATTTTGTGCTTGATTTGTAGGGTTTGAAGGAGCTTGAAGGTTTGGAAGAAAAGGCGAAGGCCAGTGGTGCATGTCAGCTGGTGGTCAAGGACCTGCAGGAAGAATTTGTGAAGGATTACATTTATCCTTGCCTGCGAGCTGGTGCTATCTACGAGCGGAAGTATTTGTTGGGGACCTCTATGGCCCGACCAGTCATTGCTAAGGTTATGTTTTTTTAACTTTTTTCAAGAAGGTGGAAAGACTGTTATATGCATTTCCCCTTTCTCCTCATTGCATTTGAGAGTAATATGGTGGGGGTGGTGATATCTCACTGCTCCACTCAAGCATATGGTTCATTAAGTTTCTCAGAAAGCAATTTTTTTTTTATTTTTTGTCTTTATAGATTCATCCTTTGCTATTATAATCCTGTGTTAGGCTTTAGAAAACCCTTCGGTAGTTTTCGAAGTTCTGTAATGGATTTAAAATGTTTACATCTACTCCTTCTTAAGTTTAATCTTCACTGACTGTGTTCCTACCAGAAATTTTCTAAAGATCGAAGTTCATTATGTTGGCGCTATTTAAGTTAAGACTGTTTATGGAAAAATGGAAGGATTAAATACAGTACCTTATGACAGGTAATCAAGAAGATACCGAGTGAGCACTATGTTGGTGAAAGAATGCTGGACTGTCCTTGTTAAGAAACTTTGATTAACCTGTGAATAAGTTATTTGAATGTTCCTTCACTTTTCATCAGAAGAGTAATGCTTTATGCTATATTTATATTTTCAATTACTTTATATTTCTGATAGCATCAAAAACAGGGTAATGTTTGTGGTCCAGATGCATTGCTTTTCTATATTCCCTGTAGAGGTGTATGGTTTTTTCATTGAATTTAAGACATTAAGGTAATGAAAATTCTGTCTGTAAATTTTCCAATCAACACCAACATGCAAGTGGGCGTAGTTTTTGTCAAGGAGATTATCTGTTTTAAGCACTGTTTTCTTCTAGTCCCTTCCAACTCCAAACTTATCTTTTTGTCTTGGTAAGATTTTTCTATGTATTGATACATTTATTATTTAACAGGCCATGGTAGATGTTGCTAAAGAAGTTGGAGCAGATGCTGTATCTCATGGATGTACTGGAAAGGGAAATGATCAGGTCTCTATTAAGAGTTAACATAAATTTTGTGGGCGTGTGTATGAGAGAGATCCAGCTACAATATCACATGACAATCTGAAATCTTTTGCATAGGTTCGGTTTGAGCTGACGTTCTTTGCCTTGAACCCTGAACTGAATGTTGTGGCCCCTTGGAGGGAATGGGACATTACGGGGAGAGAAGATGCCATCGAATATGCTAAGAAGCATCATGTGCCAGTTCCCGTGACAAAGAAGTCCATCTATAGCAGGGACAGAAACTTGTGGCACTTGAGCCATGAGGTATTTCAGAAGTCATTATGTATTTGTTAAGTTTTTTGGTGAATGATAATTTGAGGTGGCATTACTCTTGAAGCTGTGTTTTTTGGTTCTTGCTGTGGCCTTTCTGAGATGCTGAATCACTTTCTTACTGAAGGGAGATATTCTGGAAGACCCTGCAAATGAGCCAAAGAAGGATATGTACATGATGACCGTTGACCCTGAAGATGCTCCTAATCAACCCGAGTGAGTCTTCTGATCGGAATCGCTGTGACGTTTCTTTCTTTCAAAATGAATTAATCACTTCATAGATTGTGATGACCTGCATTTTTCAGGTATGTTGAAATTGGGATAGTGTCAGGGCTCCCAGTTTCCATCGACGGCAAGAAGCTCTCTCCTGCATCTTTGCTTTCCGAGCTAAATGAGATCGGGGGAAGGCACGGTATTGGTCGCGCCGACTTGGTTGAGAACCGACTAGTCGGGATGAAAAGCCGCGGGGTCTATGAAACTCCTGGTGGGACCATCCTTTTCACTGCCGTGCGCGAGCTAGAGTCTTTGACCCTGGATCGGGAATCCATGCAACTCAAGGATAGTCTGGCCCTCAAGTATGCAGAGCTGGTGTATGCGGGCCGATGGTTCGATCCTCTTCGCGAGTCGATGGACTCCTTCATGGAGAAGATCACGGAGACTACGACCGGTTCAGTAGTCCTCAAGCTATACAAAGGATCTGTCGCGGTTACTAGTCGAAAAAGCCCCTTCAGCCTTTACAGGCAAGATATTTCGTCATTCGAGAGTAGCCAAATATACGACCAAGCTGATGCTGCTGGATTTATCCGGCTTTATGGTCTTCCGATTAGGGTGCGAGCAATGCTTAACAAAGATATTTGATTGGCTTTTACAGCTACTGATGACTGGTTTATCTTGGCTGTGATGTTGGATAGGCTCTGTTAAATGTTTGGCCTTTAATTTAGAATTGTTGAGATTTTGGTCTTCGATTTAGTGTATGTGGTAGCATGTGGGATGATTATTAACTTCTGAGTAAACTGTTTACAAATTGCTTCACTCTCTCTCTCCTGGCACAGTACATTTTATATTCCTTGGAATGGAGAGCGACATGAGATCACAAAAACGTCTGCTGTTATTTTTGAAGCAACTTGATCAGGAGATTACCTATTCCTTGGTAGAAAATTTAGAAGAGGTTACTAACAGATCCGGGGTTATAAATGGGAGAGAAAGTAAACATTTCGAGTCGGTTTGTTCGATGAAATACCATTTTCGGGAAATTGATTTGGCACTTTCAAGTGGTGGGATATTGGAAAATTAATCGATAGACGAAAAGAATAGGTCAAAAAGTTGAACTAGGGAAATGATCTCCCCTTCTTGCTGTGCGCTCATGTGAGAAGAATACGTTCCTTTATGTTTATTTCCTGCCTTTCGTTATTCTTTTTTTCTTTGTTTTGCCTGATAAGTCTCATTTGTTCTCTCATAAATCTTGTCTACAATCTTTTGAAAATAACTCGTCAATTCTAATGTTCTTCTACATTTCCAAAAAAACACCACTATAGATGATTTCATATTTCTTTCCTAATTTGTTTGTAATTTTTGCTATTTTGATGGATTTCACAATAAATAAAGAAGATATCGATTTTGGTTTGTTACTAATTACAGGTCATTTTCTAACGACACAAGTTGCCTTTAGTGGATTCAATTATTATCAAGCACAATAAAACCAATTTTTTTAAACTTGTTTTCACCACAAACAAACACCAAAAAATGGTTTACTTCCTCTAAAATTTAACTGTTTGAAAAAAAAAAAATTCTGCGATAAGAACCTTTGAATGAAACAAACGATTCCTTTGTTATACCTGAACTTCTATTGATTCTTCTTACTATTAATTAAGAGATCGATGATTGCCGGTACATGGAATGTGAACACATAAAATTGAGATATCACACGATTATCCAATCGAGATTATAGTTGAAATGATGAAGAGCCCTGCATTCTTTTATGATTCGAGAAAGCATAGGAGATTTTTACATTGAGAATGCAAGATATAGCTCTCGTGCCAGGTGATTTTAGGAAGAGAGATTAAAGATGAAGTCATTAATCGTGCATATCATGCGTGACAATGAAAAGATGATTAAACTCGCGACCAAGTATTTGGGCTTAATTATGCGGTCCATTGGATCTGAAAACTTTTAGAATCAGTTAACACTGCTGAAACAAGAAAAAGAAGAAGCTGAATCCCACATCTTCATGAACAACGAAGAAATACAATGGTTGGGCCAGCTTCTACGTTTCCAATTGTGCATACCATCCACCATTCATGTAGGCTATTGAATTACCGACCAAAAAAAAGAAAAATGTAGGCTATTGAATGGATTCCACGTCCTCATATCACGTCACATTCAAAATCTGACTCCAGCATAAACCTAGATTTCACCCCGCTTCAACAATGGGAAAAGCGATGATAGCTAAGGAATGCGGAACTTCCTTTGCCGTATTATATAGAGTCACTTGCACAGCCAAAAATTACAGGTCAAAAGTATATCCAGGCTATCTAGTTTCTCATCTCTCCAATACAATTTCACAACGAGGAGAAAAAGAGAACGTTGCCTGTCTCCTATAGCGCGACACAGGAAAAGCAAAACTGACTTCAAAATTAGAAAAATCAGTAGACAACAAAGAACATGCAACAGAAACTGAATTCCCCAGTAATGTTTCCAATTTGAGGGAGATGATTGATCAGGAATTAGCGGTATATAATGGGCGGGGGGTTTACCTAATTTTTAGCTCATCGGACTTTACCCCACCCACTCGTGAGTTCTTGGAGGCCTTTGTTCTTAAATGTGGATTTTGGTTACAGAGTATGGCTTTGTCCATCTCCAACTTAGACCCGATTAGCATAAAGCCTTGTCACTATTTTAAAGCCCGAATCGATTTGGTGTCGGGCCGCCCATTAATCAATTTTGGTTGGGATTGGGCAACTCATTTTCAGAAAAAAAAAACAGCAAGCAAGAAGATCCACACACTAATGCCTAATAGTTTATGAAACATTTTTATCATGTGCATTTTGTATTAGCATTTTGTATTAGCATTTATTACTCGTCCAAAAAAAATTCGACAAAACTGTACTTTTGTGATTTGTAACTCGTGAAAAAAAATTATGTTATTCATGGTTGAATTTTATATGTATAGGGAAACTTGCCCGGAATTCACTTGTGATCATTACTTAGGCTTAAGGTTGGTGTTAGTGCGAATAGTAAAAATGAGTAATTGTAAGTAAGAGAGGGCTGAGGCCCCCTCGCGGAAAGGAAAAAAAAAAAAAAAAAGAAAAAAGCGAAAGAGCGAAAATGCCCATGGACTAAATGCATTGAGGTAAATATGTCACAAAAAGCAAAGATCAATTTTTTTGTCTTGAAATCAAAAAAGTTCGGGAATGTGTGTCACGTATGTTAAAGTTTTGGGTTTTTTGTGGTTTTTTCCTAGTAAAAATGAGTAATTGTAAGTAAGAGACGGCTGAGGAGTGGGGTGGAGTGCTTGACAGGACTGGGACAATATAAACTCTTGTTTAAGGAGAGAGAGGTAGAAAAGCTAATATTAGAGCTTGTCAATATATACAAAGAGAGTTGTGAATTTTGAGTTCAAATAAAATGTTTAACGGATATTTATAGTGTCTTAACTGATATGATTAAAAAAAAATACAGAGATATCGCTACATGGCGACTGGTGGGTGTGACAAGTAGAAAAAGTGCAAAACTGCCCCGTCTTCGTTTTTCTTCTTCCAAGTTCCTATTTGTTTACTTCAATAAAAATCGGAAAAAAATGAATTCTTTTATGCGAATGAATCCGTACCAGATCCCTGGTGAATGAAAAGATTCATGTTGCTTTTACCCTTTCCTGTATAGGAAAAAAACAAAAACTGATTTTCTACTATTATATAAAATGTAATTGTAACGGAGAGCGCAGTATTATATCGTATTATCTCGTTATGTGTTATTATGTATGGGGTTAATATCATGAAAAATCCAAAATTGGTACATTTGTGACAATTTTACCATAAACTAATTTTTTTATTACCAAAAACCCCAAATTGATACACCCGTGACAAATTTACCCTCCGTTAAATTTCCGTTAAATTTTACGGTCAAATTTCTGAATTGGATGATACGCGATAGTTGACATGTATATCAATTTGGAGTTTTATCCTTATGTTTGTTATAGGTTTATCAATTTGCGGTTTTTCGTGGTATTAATCAAATTTAACGGAGGGTAAATTTGTCACAAGTGTACCAGTTTAGGGTTTTTGGTGATTAAAAAATTAGTTTAAGATAAAATTGTCACGTATCTACTAGCTCAAGACTTTGAGATTTTTCGTGCTATTAACTTTTTATATAAAGTCTTAGACTACAAGGGCTAAAAAGCCCATAGGCCGATGCACAATCGCCACTATTGATGCAGCAAATCAGTTGCAGCCGATCGGGTTAGCAATTGAATTTCTACGGATCCTTCCTACTTTTTATTACAAGAGATTGATGATACCCGAGATCCATGGATTTTGTTTGTTTAGTCGGTGAATAGGGTTTATTCTGTCGACTTTTCGCGGTAGGAAAACATCAGGACTTCCATTCACAATGCGAAAACCAACACTGTCACGTGATCATGTGAGCGATAAATGCATTCCAAACGATCCAAAAGTCAAAGTATGTTTTAACTACTTTGTATTAAAAGTAACACGTGTAATCCGTTGCGCCGACGAAGAGCTCGCGTTCTGCTACGATCCTATAAAATACATAGGAGATTATTTTCATTGATAATCTCGTATGCATCTTCATTTGGGGTAATTAAAAGAGAGAAAAAACGAGTAAAACTCGCGACCAAAACAGGAGACTTTCAAGTATTTGGGCTTTTCTCGACCCAAAAGAAATCATTTGGGCTTTCACTGCAAAGAACTTCGGGCCCAAATCCACAAGAGGACGACGGAGGTTGGCCCAATAGAGGCATATCTCCGACGGGGGATAAAACCGTAAATACACTGGCTTGCGCTGGTCGCCACGTAACAGTCGAACGGGTGAATAAATATACTCTCGTCCGTCTGCGCGTCCCGCAAAAACCATAAACCCTAGTAGTTTCTTCCTCGCTCCGTCTCTCTCTCTCTCCATTTTCCTCCCACCGTCGCTTGGAGCTCCGCCGGAGAGCGCGAGCCCCTCGCCTCGCCCCACATGGCGCTCTACCTGCTCTACGAGTCCGCCTCCGGCTACTCCCTCTTCGAAGCCCACGGCCTCGACGAAATCGGCCAGAACACGGAGGCCGTCCGGAGCTCCGTCGCCGACCTGAACCGGTTCGGGAAGGTCGTCAGGCTCGCCGCCTTCAGCCCCTTCGAGTCCGCGCTCGATGCCCTCAACCAGTGCAACTCCGTGTCCGAAGGTAAAGGAAGAAGGCCTCGCGTGGGCTTGTCAACGTGGGTTCGTGTCTACGGTCGTTTGTACTTTATTCTCGGGCTCTCGTTTGATATGCTTGGCTTTCTTCGACTGGCCGGTTTGTAGTATGTTTCCGCTGTCGATTGGTACATGAGAATAACTTTTCGTAATGGACATCTAGATATTGGTTTGTCATTGTCGGCCAGGTGGTTTGTCAGCCGAGCTAAACTTAAAATATGCGATATTGGCCGTCCGAACAGATTGTTAGTGCCCCGTTAATCCTATTTTGGATGATCGAATCTGTTACCTGGTCTTGTCATGTTTCTTCATATTGATAGTAGACAATGGCGAAGTAATCATACGTGCGATGTCAAACTCTAGGTAGCATGGTAATTGGTTGACTATTAACTGGTGATATGACGAGCTTGTATTCGCTTTTTCCCTTTAATTGCATCTCAGGGCTAATGACTGATGAGTTGAGGAACTTCTTGGAGCTTAATCTACCAAAGGTCAAGGATGGTAAGAAGCCCAAGTTTAGTTTAGGACTTGCGGAGCCTAAGATAGGATCTCACATCTCTGAGGAGACGAAAATCCCCTGCCAAAGTAACGAGTTCGTTCTCGAGCTTCTCCGCGGTGTCCGGCTTCATTTTGACAGATTTATCAAGGACTTGAAGGTTTGGTCTTTCTCTGTTTTCCTCCGCTGAGCTCGTTTTTGCAGCGTTTTTTTAGTCTCTCCTGGCAAATGATGTAAAGTCTTCCATTCTTGATGAAATGCTTCTGGGTCCTTTTTCATCTCTGTAGCATGGCGATCTGGAAAAAGCACAACTTGGTCTAGGGCACAGTTATAGTAGGGCAAAGGTCAAATTCAATGTCAACAGAGTCGACAATATGGTTATACAGGCAATCTTTCTTTTGGACACTCTCGACAAGGATGTCAACTCGTTCTCCATGAGAGTCAGGTCTGTCGCTGAAATTTATGCAAAGGAAATTCTTTTCTAACTTGTATTGCTCATCTTGATTGCTTGCAATTGGCAGCAAAAAAGCCTGTTATTTTACGGTTTTAATGTTGTCCGCAATATGAAGATTTTTGAGAAGTCTTTCTTTGTTGAATGTTTGTGGTACTTCCTGCATCCTCTTGAAAGTTTTTTTTTTCTTTTTTTTGTTAATTACCTTCTTCCAGAGAATGGTATTCATGGCATTTTCCAGAACTGGTGAAGATTGTTAACGACAATTATCTATATGCCAAAGTTGCTAAGTTTATAGAGGAGAGGTCAAAGTTGTCTGATGACAAAATCCCTGGTTTAACGGACATAGTTGGGGACGAAGACAAAGCGAAGGAAATTGTAGAAGCTGCCAAGGCATCCATGGGTAGATTCCTCATACGCGCTTTCTACTTGCTTAGCCCTCATTGGGTTTTTGTTTACTTCACGTCTATGATTCCTGCAGGACAGGAGCTGTCGCCAATTGACTTAATTAACGTCCAGCAGTTTGCACAGAGGGTTATGGACCTCTCTGAATACAGGAAGAAGCTTTATGACTATCTTGTAACAAAGATGAATGACATTGCTCCCAATCTTGCCTCTTTGATTGGTGAAGTTGTCGGTGCTCGTTTGATTTCTCATGCAGGTAGTCTGACTAACTTGGCTAAGTGCCCTTCTTCAACCCTTCAGATACTCGGTGCAGAAAAAGCTCTATTCAGGTTCGTTAGTTGTCTAAAGACTTCCGTCCAATTATCTTTCGTCTGGAGCTGGATCACTGAATTGACTCGATATTTCTTTGTTTACTCTCAAGTTTTAATAGGATCTAGTGTAAACAGCAGGAAGCTCTGCTATCAAGTGGAGCTTTTCCTCCCCTCCTTTTGGTTGTGTGACTTCACAATGATTTTGTGGAAAAAAAAATCTCACCGTCATGATTTTGATCCATTTTCTGACTTCCCTATCTTTATTCAGGGCATTGAAGACTAAAGGAAACACACCGAAGTATGGTCTCATTTTCCATTCTTCTTTCATTGGCCGTGCATCTGCACGTAATAAGGGCCGCATGGCTCGCTATCTGGCAAATAAATGTTCAATGGCTTCCAGGATCGACTGCTTTTCTGGTGAAATTCTATTTCTTTTTGGCACTTTCTCCCAATTCACTTCCCCTTGCCCGTACAGGTTTTGATGAATTTGCATGATGAATATGTAGAGAGAGGAACAACTGCTTTTGGTGAGAAACTTCGTGAACAAGTGGAGGAGCGACTTGACTTCTATGACAAGGGAGTTGCCCCTCGTAAGAATATTGATGTGATGAAAGCCGCCCTGGAGAGTACTCAAAACAAAGGTACCTTTTGGAGTATGCAAGTTTTTTAGTAGCAACAAGGAAAAGTGAGAAGAAAAAGTAATCCAAACATTGACCATCGAAAAAAAGTAATCGACTCATTTTGTATCTTAAATGACTTTCTTCTTGCCACAATCTGAGATGTGATTAATTTGTTTGGTTTTAAATTGTTTTGAAGTAAAATTGGTCAATGTCCGGAGAAATGCTTTCCCTTGCATTGTAACTCTGATTCTCTAGATACCACCACCACGACCAAAAAAAAGTTGACACAGATGCTCATGCCTCCTGTTGCTTTTTGTAGATGTGGAGATGGAAACTGAGGAAGCGCCCTTTGAAGTTTCAACCAAAAAAACCAAGAAAAAGAAATCAAAGTCTGCTGCAGCAGAGGATGACGAGACTACGGCTGAGCCTGTTGCAAATGGGGAAGCTACTGAGGAACCTAAATCAGAGAAAAAGAAGAAGAAAAAGGAGAAGCGGAAATTGGAAAATGAGCTGGAGGAAGCTGCAGCAGATGGGAAATCTAATGGAACGAATGGCGTTGATGCCGACCAGGATGGGACAATCAAAAAGAAGAAGAAGAAGAGCAAAGCTGAAGAAGGTGCAGATTTGCAGGCTGCAAGTGATATGAAGAAGAAAAAGAAGAAAAAGTCGAAAAGTGAGGATGAGTGACGTTTCAAGGGCGTTTCCGGGGATATGATTCTCGGCCATAATGACCGACTGCTGTGAAGTGGTAGTAGCAGCCTAGTAGCGCTAGCAAGTCGGCTGCGTTTTGAATTGTTTTTGTTGGAACCTCTGTATCTAAGGAACTTGGTTATCGAAATTTGTCTTCTTTTCAATCATGTGATGATGCGAGGTATTGTGGCATTCATTATTTGATATATGGCAGTGCTAGTTCTACTTCTTGATATCTAATTCATGAGGTGTAGTTGGCTTGGTACGCAACGAATGCTCTTCCCAAGCCAACGCATGCGCTCTGAATCCAGAGCAGCGAGCAATGGCATTCACGATATCATTTTTACTTGCCCGGGTTCATGGAGTTCCTTTCTATCCCCTGCTTGTTGTCCATGCTGTAGAACATCGATGCTGAGAACATTATTTTCTGCGGACGAGTTCATAAAGAGGTGGAACCGTACGGTAGTCCGAGCTCCCAATTTCTTCTCTATACTTTATTCTAACAAACAATGTTGTTCTTGAGTTTTTAATTTGTTCAATATAATTTTTAAATTTTTGATTTATGTTTAATCAGTCCTTGATTTCTAAAAAAATGGTCAATATTATCCTTGAATATGATTAATGGAAAGACAAAATTAAAATTTTTCATATAGTTTAGAAAACATGTACCAAAAATAATATATTGATTAGGTACGATATTACACATTAGGTTAAAATTTAGGAATCACACCCAATAAATACACGTGGAGCCAAAGTTCATGTTCATTTGTGTTATGTTTCCAGGTGACGCGGTCGGCTTTCCGTTGATACGTGGTTCGGTATGGTTGGTGGCTTTTTGCGAGAGGGGGTCTTAGATTCCCGTCGTTTTTAATTCCGGCTTTTTCTACGACTCTCCATGACAGGAAAGAATATCTCTTTATTGTCTCTAGCTACTCCCTCCCTCCCTCCCTCCCTCCCTCTCTCTCTCTCTCTCTGTCTCTGCTCGCGCTTTCTTCGTCGAGACGCAGAAAAACCCGAAGCGCCGCGCGCGAGAAGCGACTGCGAGGATGGCGGGCACGAGTGCGGTGAACCTGGAAGATGTGCCGTCGGTCGATCTCATGAGCGAGCTCCTCCGTCGCATGAAGTGCTCCGCTAAGCCCGACAAGCGCGTCATCCTCATCGGTAGTTCGCTTTCATCCCTGCCTCGCTCTCTCGTAACAAGTGTTTGTTCATTTATTCTTTCGTTGGATCACGTCTCTGTCTCGCGAGTAAGGTCGTATCTGCGGAATTTATGTGACGTTCGAAGGCCCAGTGCCGTCAAAATTCACGAGTCACTGGCGAATGTGTGGGTTTTGGCTGGGTTTTAGTAACTAGAGGCTCTGTTGGCTCCCTGAGAAAATGCAAGGATAGAGAAGAAGCATCATGCGGTGGCCTACTTTGAATGAACTCAATAAGTTCGGCCTTGTTTTCGCACGACGGTCTTGTCGCCGGCTTCATAATCATTCGATGTTAGGGTCTTGTTTGAGTGCAATGTCATGTTCTTTTGAAGTCAAACTTGGTAAGCGGAAAGGAGGAAAAGAGTTATGTGCTTCATTGTCTTATGGGCTGAAGTCACTTCTGTATTTGTAGTACTCATGAGTGTGATTCTATCGGATTGGGCTTCGGCAGACATATTCTACACAGAGAACTTGTCCCCAATTACGGTCAATTCATGGGAATGATTGTTCAAGGGTTCTTGCCTCTCTACCGAAATAAAACAGAGGTCATTGGAAAACTGACGTGCTCGAACACTTTCTTGGCCATATCAGTTCCGTTCTTTCATGCAAGATGTTCCTACAAAACTCTAGCCAATATCGTGTTAAAGCTTTAACATACTTGGAATCAATGTCAAGCGTATCTGAATATAGCATTCTTGTAAGGCTTCTGGGGGAGAAAAGAAGGTTTGTTATTGTCCGCTAGCTTAAATGTATCTTGATTGGACTCACACTTCATATACCTTGTTTTTTTCTTTTAATTTTTACCAATCTAAAAGGGACCTTTTAATTTTATAGTTTCTCTACAAAAATCGCCCTTCACATTTAGAAAGATCATATCAGGCGTAGTGGGTATTTCTGTTTCTACTAAAGAGTCAGGCCTTCAGATTTAGTCATAATATGATAATGTTGATTGGTGCTCGCTGATTCCTCATGTTTGTTAAGCTTCCTCTCTTCTTGTCACGTTGATTGAATGTATACCTAGAGCTTTTGAGATTTAAGCCCCATAAATTTCTGCACATGCCTGCATGCGTGAAACTTCATAAATTGTGTATATTTGTTTACTTCTCTGTATACACTCTTCTATTTTCAAAGACAATGCCTTGTCTTTATATATCTCTATGACAGCTTCTGAGATTCGCTATTGAGATAGCCAGTAGGCACTAGCAAAAAAGAAAAAGAAATAGATGTACTGAAGCGCAAGTTATAAGCGTCGGGCCTTTGTTTATTAATCTCAAATGTTGTTCTTCTTAGATGTTGAAAGTCTCTTGTTTCATTGGTGCTGAAGCTCATCTTAGCGGTTGTCAGTATGCAAGCTATTGTCTAGGTATTAAAATGGATAGGCTTTGGCTTGTGGTTCCTTTGAGAAAATGCAGGCCCTCCTGGATCTGGAAAAGGTACCCAATCACCGATCATCAAGGATGAATACTGCTTGTGCCACTTGGCTACTGGTGATATGTTAAGAGCTGCTGTTGCTGCAAAGACCGCTCTTGGTCTCAAGGCCAAAGAAGCTATGGACAAGGTATGACTTCTTTTACATTATTTTTGGCCTCTCCACTTGGAGTCCTCTTTTTGTTTCTATGATGTCTTACGGTATGTAGTTTGGTGTGCAAAACTGCTTTCCAGGGAGAACTCGTTTCTGATGACTTGGTTGTTGGCATTATAGATGAAGCAATGAAAAAACCTTCATGCCAAAAAGGTTTCATTCTTGATGGATTTCCAAGAACCGTCATGCAAGCACAGAAGGTTATGTATTAGTACTTTGGTTTATCAAATATGTCGTCTTTTGTACGTCAACTCCCTGTATTGTCTCATTTTCTCACAGGCTGCTCTGTTTTTTCTTTGACAGCTTGATAAGATGCTAGAAAAGCAAGGTGCCAAAATTGATAAAGTTCTGAATTTTGCAATTGACGATGAAATCTTGGAGGAGAGGATAACTGGTCGGTGGATCCATCCTTCCAGTGGCAGGACCTACCATACAAAATTTGCTCCTCCCAAGGTTCCGGGGGTTGACGATGTAAGCATTTTGGATGCTCATTTTTCTTTCCTTGGTTTAAAAGGTTTAGGAAACTGTAAGTTCTTGTGCAAGATGGCCTACTGTACATTAAGAGAGGGTCCTTTTCCTTTTTCAGTTGTTTTGCTTCAATTATTAAACTGTTTGTTAAAGTTGATCTGTTTTTAACTCCGGCCGCGTCTCATTACTTGTTTATTCTGTTGAAGGTTACCGGAGAACCTTTGATTCAGCGCAAGGATGATACTGCAGCTGTTCTCAAATCTCGACTTGAGGCATTCCATAAGCAAACTGAACCGGTACCTACACGTTTTCCTTCTAGTGCCTTCTTCAATTTCATGTGTTAGACGTTGGATGAATTATGAGACAATCCATTTCACAAGCTCGCATTCATTGCTTATTTCCTCCTTCCTGCTTGTTTAAGCCAATCGTGTTTCTCTTTTAGTTTAGTTAGCTGTCTAATTGGTGCACTTTGGATACAGGTGATTGACTACTACTCCAAAAAGGGAATAGTTGCAAATCTTCATGCTGAAAAACCTCCTAAGGATGTGACGGCCGAGGTTGAGAAGGTTTTGTCTTCTTGAAGATGGTGCTCCCACCTGAGAATTCCAACAATTATGCTGAATTTTACAGGATGAACCTTTGAGTTGCTGGTTCCACTGTTGTGTAATTGAATGTGGCAGCTGTTGTCAAATTGTTGAGGGATTTTTCTTATGATCCCGAAATAAAGTTCAGTACAGAATTACTCGTCTTTGGTCGTTTCTTCTGTAAATGCCAGATTCGATAAGCACCGATGACAATAAAGTAGGCCTTGATTTACTTGATTATGCCTTCCTTCCCTTGAAATATAGACTCCATACTTCACGAACTCTTCCGATTTTCCGTCTTTTCCTGATCTTTATGATTTGAGTTAATTAACGTTCAGTTTTTGGGCCTGGGATAGGTTATGGATGAAGAGAGAATCACAAGTTTGTCTAGTGAATCGATTGAGAGCTTCTTGAATCGTGAGACCCTTTTTTGTGAAATACCACTGTTGACTTTGAGATGAATATATTAGGTAATGGCGGTCTAGCTTGTTATCTGAATATATACTCACCAAACTGATGAATGTGTAGTATTCTTATTCATTCTGAGATTTTTGGGGTCATCCCTTGGAATATATGATCATTAATTCGGATTGAGTTGCCTATAATTGCGGCCAATTCCCTCTAAAGATCATCTCATCTGTGCAGTCCCAATGCCACATTATACATTCAGACTCCATGAGGGCAATCAGTTACAGTGGCAATGGTGAATTATTGAAACTCTTCAAATTATTATAGTACTAGTCTGACAAATGACAATCCTCAAGGTAACGTGTACTTCCAAAGAGGATATCACTCTGATAAACAGTAGTACAGCTCGCTATATGATAAGAAGATAAAAACAGAATATTCAGACTAAGGTGACAACAGTTGAGAGCAGCCAGTTAAGGTTGGTCATTGGTTATCTTGGAGAAAAGCCTTGTACCACTTGGCAGATGCTTTAGGAATGCGTTTGAGGTTGTCCTTATAGTCAGTGTAGTAGAGCCCAAACCTCGGTACAAAGCCCGACGCCCATTCCCAGTTGTCAGCGAGTGACCAGTGAATGTATCCTCGCACATTCACCCCGTTCCTGCATTGCCCAAATTGATCAGTTTGATAAGTTGTTACCGGGTGTTGGCTTCGAGCAGAGCTAAATTAAGAGTTTAAACTAGTCGCCGTAGTAAAAGTGGATCAAGCCACGACTTGCCACACGTATGCAATCACGAAGAACCGATACCTTGGTGTGAATGCAAAGAAATATTCCTCTCACCCTCTTTTGACACTTGTAGCAAATCCAACACACGGTTAAGAAGATGCTGCATTGCAGTGGCAGATAACCGAACTAGCGACGATCGCAAATGTGATGGAGTTGAGGACTTACTTCATCGCTATAAGGAGACGTGCGAGATGCTGCTTCAAGCAATCAATCCTGTGAGGATCATTCAGTGCACTGGCCAGTGGACGGCCCTCTACCTTTGCTTCAGTGACACCTGTAATAAAACATGTTTCCCGAGTAAAATGGGTTACTTCTATATGGGAGGTCCAAATATATAATCTGGATGATATATCACTAGAAAAGCGACTCCTACCGTTCTCAGTAATGTAGATCTTTGGGTTTTGGTACTTCCGCTTTATATAGTCCAAAATTTGCACCAGACCATCTGGATACCTATATATCCACGCAATCCCTTCAGCCTGAAAATGAAGATTCGTTTATTCTGGTAATAAGGTTCGACTGTCATGTGCTGCAATGAGGTTGTAAAAGCATATGTACCTTTGCACCAATTGGTATGCCGTTCTTGGTTGCTGAAAATCAGAGAAGTGGGTTAAAAATGACGGATTATCATACCTACTCGTCCAAATACATCTTTCATGATCTTGGCATGGTAAAGATATGGCTCGTCTTACCAGATTCCTTCACGAATGAGTCGGTAGAGTAGCTAGTTGGCACTTTGCGTTCGTCTTCTGGGACGTTTTGAGCATAGGTCGATGAATAGTAATTGATACCGATGAAGTCGAAAGACCCCTTCATCAGCTGCTTCTCCTCTGCAGTGAAAGTGGGTAATCTGTCTTTCACCAAGCTTCTCATTGTGCTTGGATAATCTCCATTCACCAAAGGATCAATGAACCTATTGAGAAAAAATGGCTTTTTGTCGAGCTTCTCCGAAAATGAACTATTGAATGGGGAATGAACTAGCACAAAATTCATGTGGCATCTATTTTCTGAAAGGCCGCTGGTTGTTCAACTTATATCTAAGTAGTACCGTCAACATGGATGCCCAGAATAGGACAAAAAGAAGTAGAAAAAACGTTACGCATTCCCCCTAATTCAAAAGGAATTGATAGAAATGAAATAATATATCCCCTAGCTAGCAAGAGCAGAAATAGTGGTAACTCTGTATCGATTCAATTTGCAAAGGCAATTCATCAGGCAATAGTAAGGGCCTTTTGTGTTCTCCCTGGTACGGGTAGAAAAAATTGATACACAACCCATCCTCTATTGAGTAATGCCCGAGTGGCAGCATCAATAAATGACTCGACCAAGACTAAAAGGATGGACTCTCCTGTCGACAGAGGCGAGCTTCAAATTTAGTGCCCTTCGATGAGTGAGTTGTAACATCGCTGAAATATGTCATTTGAATGCCAAGAGATGATTTTGGTTATGTGACTTAAGCAAGGCTAATGTGGAAAACCATGACTAGATAGGTAACTGAAACGATGTCTTATAACCAAGTATATGCACTTATAAATGTACGAACAATGTCATTAGACATCCGAAATCTCATTCGTTGTAGCTATATAAGAAGAAGGTATGTAAATCTGATCACGTCCACATGTGGAGATGGAAAGTTCACTCACCAACCCAAAGCAAAGTCGATAGCTCTTTCTGATGCAGCTTTGTCATCTAAGCTATCAGAGTATGGCACACAATTTTTTCCCACTAGGGTAATTCCAATTTCTCCTTTTTGGTCAGCCTGCAGTAGTATATAACCGTCGGGTAAATAGATTTCTGCGAGAACAGAAACACACAAGTCCAGCATTTGCGCAGAGTGTTGATTGGACAAAATGAAGGCAAAAACCCAGCATTAATTTGAACTGGTGCTTAATGGCATGCATAAGGGAACTCATATCGTGCGTTGACTCACCTTAAATTTTTCTCTGTAGAGGTTAACAGCAGTTGCATGTGCAAGCAAATGAATGTGGCTCACAATGTAAGGCTCTGTAGAAGAGTTACCGGCTCGACAATGTGAACACCGACCTGGTGCAGCTACTCCAAGGTCATGCCCAAAGAGCGCTGCAACTAGTGGCTCATTCATGGTAATCCAGTTCTTTACCCTATCTCCATATGTCCTGAAGCAGATCTCGCAGTAGTCCCTAAAATCGTTCCTGCATATCCAAGGAAACACCAAACCAAAACTTGTGCTTCATTGTCAAGAACTAATCCTCAAACCATTTAATCTACAGAGTAGCTCGTGCTTACAATATGGAACGGCTCAAGAATCCGGCATACTTGTCCTGCAAGGCTTGAGGGCAGTCATTGTGCATCAATGTGACAAAAGGTCTGATGCCTGCAAGTAATCACAGTGTAAGAATAGGACAAAACAACTTCCCAAAACAACGGTATCTCTCGGTGTCATCGTCATTGTCTTACCGGACGCTACCAGTTCATTTATCAAATTGTTGTAATAATCAATACCCTGTTGGTTTATACCACCACTGACTGATCCTCCTGCATGGGAATTTAGAGTGGCAAGCAGACCAGACCAGCATTAGAGTCTCTTCATCGGCTAATGCTTGATATCTTTGCATGCAATAAACATACGGTTGGAAGATCAAATGATACCAGTACGGTACTTACGAGGAAGAATTCTGCTCCAGGAGATGGAGAACCGGTACGTGTTTACCCCGAGTTCCTTCAAGATTCTTACATCTTCCTGTACACATGATGATAAATTTATCATATGCAGAAGACTGATTTATCTCAGGTTGTACAATGAACTATGTTGTTGTCTATGGTTAAAAAAAAAAGATGGAAGTCGACTCGCCTTGTAACGATTATATGAGTCTATAGCAACCAATGAATTACTCCTATCATCGATGTTGCCTGGGTTTGTGAAATTCAGGGAACAAGATAAGGAAAAACTAAAACAAGTCAGTATGTTTAGCTATAATCAGAAAGCTGCTTACAGGAAAATCAAATTGTAAGGCATATAGAAATATAATCATAAAACAATAAATAGTCGAAGTAAAGAAAGAAAGAAAGAAAGAAAGAACCTGGAGTGGCAGCATACTGATCCCACACGCTTGGTCCCTTACCTCCTGCTGCAGATCCTTCGATCTGTATAATAACAATTTGTGGTGCTTGTTACGCAGGAAAAACGAAAAAGCCACACTTGTTCTGCTGTTTAGGCCATAATAAATCATGTAATTGATCAACATGAACTCACATTTTCTAGACATGTATATGTAAGATTGAACAAATACTGACATACTAGTCTTCATACATTTATCATGTTGAAACGGATATTCACCTGCTGAGCAGCAGTGGCAACTCCAAACAAGAAATCATTTGGGAAGTCTGACCTCTTGACAGTTGGTTCTTCTATCACTGCACAAAGACATAACCTTAATATCTTCGAAAGATTTAGAACATCGTTGAACTACCGGTTAGAATATTCTTTCACAAGATACTAAAAGAAAAGATCAAGTTGTTTCCAAAAGGATTGAGGACTAAGGAGGACGTTTAGACCATTCTTTCTCCTGTATTGTGATTAATAAACATGAACATGCGTTTGGGTCAATCATAAAAGTAAGCCATGCATGTTACATCCAGATAATCTACTCATAGATTATCCTCTAAATTTATGTACCTGATATGTCCCATGCTAGATTTCATAAAGAAATGCACTCAAAGAAAAGGAAAAAGAGAGACCAAAGGCAACCAACCATCGGCCGCCTCCGTCGACGACGCCGACGAGATCAAAACAAGCAAAACGACCAAGTAGAATGCGAGTAAAAGGGTCATTGTGGGCAATGGCCACGAAGATGGCATGATCAATGATACATTTGAAAAGAGAGATTGGGGTGGGTGAAGAACTAAATACCAGAAAGCAATCTCCTTTTAATAGTAAGAACGAGAAACGGCAATAACCAACTTCAAACACAACGCTCCTAAAATGGTAAAAGCTCGTTCATCTGACAACTCTTGAACTTGAATCATACCCTTTCATCTCAAACACTCTTCAAACCAAATTCCTGTTACTCCCTCTCCCAACCCAACTCTCCAGTAGCCTTCTAATTTCCACTCCGGATATGGATGGTTTAATCCATTTTCTTTAATCTAACAATAGGGCCTCGCATAGCAAAAAACATTCTCCAAGGAAACCCATTGACGACATAAAAAAAATTTGTAAGAACTACGTATTATTTAAACCGAAAAAAGCTTTGTTTGATTTGTAGCAAAAACATCGTTGAACTGCTGGTTAGAATATTCTTGCACAAGATACTAAAAGAAAAGATCAAGTAGTTTCCGAAAGGATTAAGGACATAATGAGGACGTTTAGACCATTCTTTCTCCTGTATTGCTATTAATAAACATAAACATGCGTTTGGGTCAATCACAAAAGTAAGCCATGCATTATACATGCAGAAAATCTTCTCAGAGATTATCCTCTAAACTTGAGTATCTGATATGTCCCATGCTAGAATTCATAAAGAGATGCACTCAAAAGAAAAGGAGAAAGAGAGACCAAAGGCAACCAACCATCGGCCGCCTCCAAAACAAGCGAAACGAGGAAGTAGAAAGCGAGTAGAAGGGCCATTGTTGTTGATGGTGATGAAGACGGCATGATCAATGAAGCATTTAAAAAGAGAAAGTTGGGGCCGGTGAGTTACTGAATGCCCCAAGGCAATCTCCTTTTGAAGGCAGGAACGAGAAGAGGGCAATAACCAACTTCAAACCCAACGCTCCTAACATGGTAAAAGCTCGTTCATCTTACAACTCTACTTGAATCGTACCCTTACATCTCAAACAGACTCTCCAAACCAAATCCTGTTACTCCCTCTCCCAACCCAACTCTCTAGTAGCCTTCTAATATCCAATCCGAATATAGATGGTTGCATAGCAAAAGCATTCTCGAAGGAAACCCAGTTATTAAGAACTACGTATTATTTAAACCGAAAAAAGCTTTGTTTGATATGTAGCAAAAGTAAAAAAAGTAATTTTCTTTTTGTTTACCGGCCAATATATGTGAATTTACCTGTTAATATTTGTACGTTGAAGTTAAATGCGTATATCGCAAAAATCAGATTAAAAAAAACTAAAAAGATAAAAGTCAATCCAAACGGACTCTAAATTATTTTGTTTGGGCTTGTAAACATGACATATGGAACACTGAAACGAAAAATGAATCATTTGTAGACCTTGTTGGGCCTATGAATCTGCTGCATTCTGAAAATGAATAATTTGCCAAAAGCTTCACATTAATGAAGGTGGAGTTGATGGGGAAATTTTCGCTATTCATCTAGCATCTTAAAATTCACAATAAGTGACATGTTAGATTAATTGCGAATGAATGCCATCGAGGATTGATGAAACTCGCTCGATTATTGATAATGGAGATTTAGTGTGGCATAGTGGCTTTAAGCCGAAATTATTTGAACACATCGAAATATAACCAAGTTTAAGTATGTTTATTAGATTATCTGATGGTATAAAGTAAGTGAAACCTCGACTTTAAAGAAAATAACGAAGAAATGAAGGCTTCGTTTGTATAGCAAAGTATAAATGGTTCGGAAAATATTTTCCCGAAAATGATTGATCATATCGCTTACAAGAATGAATAAACCAAAACATATTTTTACCGTTCATGAAAATATTTAGATATAAATTATTTTCGATAAATAAAATATTTTTTATTAGTTAATTATTTGAAGCGATAATTTTTAGAAAAGCGTATTTTAAATACGGATCCGCAGTTACGGGAGAGGGAGGGGATATACAGTCAGACCAGCAGAGTCAAAGAAAGAGAAACAGGGGAGAGAGGCCTTCCTTCGAGATTTCAAGCGCGAATCTTGCACAACTGGTGACAAATTGAAGGTTGTTGATACGGAATCTGTGATTAAGCATTATATCGGAAGAATATCTTCTCTGAGGTAATGCTCAGCAAGTGCCATCCTCTTCCGAACTCTTTTCTTTTTTGCGGATTTCATGGAGCCCTTGTAGATTTTGTGCTAAATTTTGGTTTTTTTTGCTTCTGTGATTTGATGGTTGCATTGGGATTTTAAGGTGTAAAAGGAGAAGCTTGGATTGGGCAAGATGATTTGAACCCTGATTTCATTGAGCTTGGTTTCAAAGGGTTTTTTGTTAGATGGGCTAAAGTAGCGATCTTGCTGTCGAGCGGGTAGAGTTTTTGGTTGATTATTTGGACGGATGATTTTGGTTTAGGTTGTCCAGCTTTAAGGGTAAACTTTTGTGCTTCGTTTTCCGTAAGACTTGAAATAAGTAAGTAAGTCATATCACTAAGTGGTCTGATGCTGTAACTGTTGGTGAGTTTTTTTTGTAAGCTTGATGTGCTAAAAATGAAGGAAAATTATGAACAGAAAAGAAAGGAAAAGCTGGGCAGCAACTGGACCAACTTGGTCGTGAACTTTGAGTGCTGGAAATAGACTTCTGAAGCTTCATTTTGAATGGAAAATGCACTCAACTTTCACCCCTATAAGTTGTCGAAGTAATTTGGTGATTAGGGTTCAAGGTAGTGAGTTTTGAGTCGAGAAGTTTGAAGAATTAAAATGATATGCAGTCCGTCCGAAGCTGGACTGAGGCCTTTACGTGTGGATTTGGTACTTAATCCATGAAAAAAAGAGAGGCTAAATTTAAGTATCTAAATGTAGTTAAGAAAGAAAGAAGTTATTGGTTGACGATGGATGATTAAAATGGTGATTTTAGGTGACTTGGATTAAGGGAATATTTGCTGGGCCGTCTTGAAATCAAGTTCTTGGACCTTGTGTGAGTTAACTCTCTTGGTGTGAAATTGTTTGATCCCCCTAGCACTCGAGTGATTGAGTGTTGGTGTTAAATATTACTATGGTGAATTGTGTCTCTCCTCAAGTGAATGTGCGCTACATGTAATATATGATCAGTGAGTATATCGCATTACACGTGTTTGATGAATTGTGGCGATATGACTATGGCTGATGGTATATGCTCATGTGGATTGATGCGAATCACATTGTGTGCTAATTGGTCTATGTGGGTTTTAGCTATTACCTCGTTGTTGTTCTTATTTGCCGCTCTCACGAGCGAGGTCGTTAAAACGACTTTCTATGTGATTTAATGGGAACCTGTGTTATATGTTATATGACCGGACTTCAGTCCTTTATATCAACACCTGTTGATCGTGGAATCTAAGAAGTTGTGGCTAAGTGGATAAGTGCCACTCTTTCGAGGAATCCTTCATCAATGGTTGTGAATGACTGATTTTTTCTCAATTTTTGACCTTGGTTCCGTAGGAGCAAGTCAAAACGATTGAGGAATAGAACCATCTGATTTGATTCGTTCTCAATAGTCATGAGAGCAATACTCTGCTCTCAGGATGAGTCTCTAGCCAGACCCTAAAATTTTCTATACAAACCCACTTTTGTGTGCTTCATTTGATTAATGTGTTGTTTGTAGCATTCATGTGAAACTCATTTCATCTGCATGTTTGATACACGTGTACCTTGCGTCAATTGTGAAGGTGACTACTTATATCAAGTTATCTCTTTCAGACCTTGAAATTTCACTGATTGAAGTGGTGCTGCTCACCCCTTATTTAACATTTTCAGTTTTAGCTTAGAGGGTGTCTTCGTCACTTCTGGAGAGTTTATTGGGAAATTCTCAGGCACTAGAAGTCAAAGTGGATTTAGTTGGAGTTAGAGTTGATCAACAAATACTTAGCGTGTCCCCTTGCCAATTTATGTATAGAATTGATTTGTGGTCTACGTGGGCCAATAGTCCCTGTTTTGTCGTACAAATATCACTAGTTCCATCATGGCCAACAGTGAGCCTCCATGTTCATGTCCTGTAAATATGTTAAAGTTACGTTATTGATCAGCCGATTGTGTGCCTCCCAGGCTTTTCTATTGTTGAGACTTGTACATCAGCCAAGTTTGACCCAAGCCTTGGATCTGTTTTTGAAATGGCCTGCTGTGTACCTATTATATATGCATGCTATGAGAAAAATTAGGATTTTCCTTTACAGGTTGATTGATATATCAGCTATGTAGGGGGGACTCTGTCTGCTTTTCAATAAAATTATACTTTTATGTATTCGCTCCGCTGGTTTATAGTAGCCCCTTGGCATTTGCACATAGCGTTATCATGGGGTTTTGGGTGTTACAGCTCAACTCAACAATGCGCAGGAAAGGCTAGTGAATCGACATTTTTTGAACAATTAGCTTGTCCCCCCCTCCCCCTCTCTCTCTTTATCTTTTGGGCCAGTATCTATGCTTGCCCTTAGTCCTTGCTAGTTATTGCCTTTGTAAGAGGTTAGATTGTTCATGATATTGCTGTCTGTCTGGTGTGGCCATTGTTGTAGCTTTTATTTGAACTTAATCGAGAATATAGTGGGCTTTTGCACACTCAGGTTGCCATAGTTCTACCTAGTATAAGCACCCAGTGAGCAATAGATGGTGATTTGCACAGAACAGACTGCTTCTAGATCCATGGCTATCTCCTGTCATTCAGAAATTTAACCTATTTCTTGCAAGAAAACTGTTCCCCGATTTGTGGTTGACCATTCTCCAAGTTTGCATGAGATTTACCTCTACATATTATTGGGAGGCAAGCTTCTGATATGTCCAGTGTGAGTTTTCTGCAGGAATTACCTGCTATAAATGGCTTCTTTCCGAGCTTTCTTGAACAGTCCTGTTGGCCCCAAAACTACTCATTTCTGGGGACCAGTTGCAAACTGGGGATTCGTGGCTGCTGTATGCTTCTGCTCCATAATTTCTATTTCCACATGCGGTCACATGTCACTAGTGAAACATCCTAAAGCCTGGATCTTCAGCTATTTCACTAATGTTTAACTTATTTGTTGCTTCCAATAGGGATTGGTTGACATGCAGAAACCGCCAGAGATGATATCTGGCAACATGACAGCAGGTTAACAATTTCCGCTCCAAAAAAAGTAATCAATGTTATTATCTTCTTATCATGTCCAGCCAGACTCTGTGTTCACCTTTGTGTCTTGATTGCAGCCATGTGTATATATTCTGCACTGTTTATGAGGTTTGCGTGGATGGTGCAGCCGCGGAACTACCTACTTCTTGCATGCCATGTCTCAAATGAATCTGTCCAGCTCTATCAACTATCACGCTGGGCAAGGGCTCAGGGGTAAGTTCCTATTGCAACACTGGTTTAATACACTCTCCACCTGTCACCTCAAGTATGCACATATAGATCTGTTTAGCTTATTAGGTTTGATTTGTATCATTTGACTTTAGTTGCGTCGTGGCTTTGACTGGGAGATGCATAAACAGGTAAACATTGCGTGACTTGCTATTTTCTTTGTTATAGGTACTTGTCCCAAAAGAAAGACGAAGCCTCGTCGCAATAATATGTTGCTGGGTCTTTCTTTCCCCATTTCGTTGGTCTTATGGCAATTTCGTTACTGAGAAGCTTGCTTTCATGCTATCTAAACAGTAATTTGCTGGTCTTTAGTGATCGCAACTTGATATGTATATTTTCGCGTTGTAATTGACGATTTACTTTCAGCAAGTGATGCTTGCATGGAAACTTGATCTCCTGTTGGACTTGGATGCACAATAATACGACTCGAACCGTCGCATTGCCCTGAAAAATTGCAATATGGTTGTGCATTAGGCATGGTATTGGTCGGCATGGTTCAGGAGGACAGGTATGATTATAGGTATCGGCACATAGGACTACCCTGTCCGCTGTGGTTTAAGTGGAGATCAGATATCAGGATTTATGAAAGTGTTGTGCATGATAATCCATCAGTCGAAGATTAATGGGATAAGTGCACTAAAAGCCCTAAAACTTATCACGAAGGTGCATTTGAGTCTTAAAACTTTTAAAAAAATGCAATCAAGTCTTAAAACTTATCACGAAAGTGTAATTAAGTCCTAAAATTTTCAAAAAGTACAATCAAATTCTAAAACTTATCATGAAAGTGCAATCGAGTTTTGTAACTTTCAAAATGTGCAATCTATGAGATGACTTAATTGTACCAATTTGATAAGTTTTAGGATTTAATAATATTTTTTTAAAGGTTTAAGGACTCAATTGCACTTTCGTTACAAGTTTTAGGATTTGATTATATTTTTTGAAAGTTTTAGAACTCAATTGTACTTTTGTGGTAAATTTTGAGATTTTTAATGCACATATCCTAAGATTAATTGTTTGTGAGGAGATGGGACAGGAGGCAGTTCATGTGGTTTCATGGTGGAAACTTTCCTCTTAGCAATTTTAATTTGGTGGTTGGCTGGGTTATATCTGGTCCCCATCATAACTGGTGGGGCTTGGAGATGATTAAACAATGCATGCTTATGTTCCACGAGAGGTGAACAAAGTTATTTGATGTATATCTATTAACAGGAGATCAAATAAGTCGATTCTCGTGGTCCCACATTCATGTCGGTCTAGTCATCTTGTTCTCTATGTTTAGTTCAAGCGCCGGTTTCATTGTAGTAGGATGTGGCCGGTGCTATCGCATCAGGATTCAAGTAATCCTGTGGATAGGTGAGCACTGAGCAGTGCTTGAATTTTCACAGATTTACGCCTGTAATGCATTTGAATTGGCTTCTGGAGATGATTTTGAACTGATTAAACGAATCGGCTCGACGAAACTTCAGGTTAAGAGCAAATCTGTTCGATTGGGTTTAGGTCTGATTCCAATCTTAAGTTAAAGAACGTTCTCTTGTTCCCTATTCGAATAAAATTTGATGTATCGAGTATGGGCTTCGAAATCTTCACCCATCAATTCTTGTTTAATCTGAGCAAGTGAATATGTAAGTGCATTGATGTAAGGCAAATAATTCGGAGACGCATATCGTTGGTTTCGATTGAGGTGAGTCAAATCAAAACCAAATTAATCGAGCAATCAATTTACCAAACTTGAAGATAGCATTCGATTCGATTCGGGTTATTGGTTTTAAGTTGGGAAAACACCACCAAAAACCTCAAACTATGTCACTTGTGATAAATTTATCCTGAATTTTTTTTTATGACACGAAAAACCTCAAATTATGCTACTTGTGACACATTTACCTCACAATACTTTTGCCCAATGGTATTTTCGTCTTTTTCCTTTTTCTGTTTTTTTTTTCCTTTTTTTTTCTTCTCTCTTCCCTCCGCCGGCCATGGCGGAGGGAAGCCGGCGAGGGTGGGCGAGGGCAGCCCTTGCCGGACTTTGGCGAGGGTGACCCTAGCCCGACACCGGCGAGGGTCTCCCTTGCCAGATCCGACGAGGGTAGCCCTCGCCCAAACCCAACCCCAGCGAGGGCCGCCCTCGCTGGCTTCCCTCCGCCATGGCCGGCGGAGGGAAGAGAGAAGAAAGAAAAAAAAAAGAAAAAAGAAAACAAAAAAAGGAAAAAGACGAAAATGCCCTTGGGAAAAGTATTGTGGGGTAAATGTGTCATAAGTGATATAGTTTGGGGTTTTTCATGTCGTAAAAAAAAGTTCAGGGTAAATTTGTCACAAGTGGCATAGTTTAGAGTTTTTGGTGATATTTTCCCTTTTAAGTTATTGATCTAAAGCTTTTCTTGAACTCCTCGTTTCCTTACGTTATATATCGATCCTATGCACATTGGGGGTACTACTAGAGGAGCTGTTGAGTAAACTACAGAAGGTAGGGGGTGAGCGGTTTCAGGTTCCTTACAGGTTTCACATGGAACCCGGAACCTACCTTCGGGTACAGGTTTCCCATTTTTTGAGACCTGGAACCTACCAATCGGAATCTGGAACCTGGAATCTACCCTGTCACAGGTTCCAGGTAGGTTCTAGGGTCTAACAGGTTCTTCTTTTTTAATTTAATTTTTAGTTAAACAAAACGAAAATAAACGCAACGAAAATTAACAAGCTTGTCATTCACCAAAGAGAATACAAAAGACTAGTTTTCCTGACATTGTAGTTCAAACAAATACAATCAAAATGATAAGTCATTGCATGAATCAATACTAGGGGCGAGCGGTTCCATATTCCGTACAAATTCTACCTGGAACCTGGAACATACCCATGAGAACTTGGAACCTACTCTATTATAGGCTCCAGGGTCTACCTAGGTTTCACTTGTATTATTAATTGACAATTGCAGTGAATCATTACCTTTAATGAGTACCACTTGCTATTAGGATCCATTGACCACAACTTATATTTAGACACACGAAAAATATAAAACATTAAAAAGTTATAAAATGAAAGCTCAAACTAGTGGTTCTAGATTATACACTCATCATCGAACGCCATGAAACACCGCAGTATCACGTGAAGACATAGACTAAGAAAAAACACAAAAAACTTGTTTAGGTTTCAGGTTCCACCTACCTAAAACCTGGAATCGACTCATCGAAACAGGTTTCCCAATTTTTGAAACCTGAAATCTACCCTGCATATTTTGGAACTTGGAACCTATAGCTTCCCACCGATCAAGTTCTCAAGTTTCATGTTCTATCTTAGAACCATGCTCACCCTTAAAAGAAGGTCATGCTTCACGTGGATGAGGAGTCTGTCCAGCGGAGTAAGAAGAAACGTACTCCATGTCCTCCAAACCTAATAGTCGTCTCGATTGTATATAATCGAGAGGACTATTAGGAAATTAGTCGATCCGTCGTCGTCTTCATCTACAATCGAGAGGACTATTAGGAAATTAGTTCGACAATCGAGAGGACTATTAGGAAATTAGTCCGTCGTGGTCTTCATCTTCTTCTTCTTCGTTCTCAAGTTTCATGTTCTATCTTAAAACCATGCTCATCCTTAAAGAAGGTTGTACTTCACGTGAATGGGAGTCTATCCGCGGAGTAAGAAGAAACGTATTTCATGTCCTCCAAACCTAATAGTCCTCTCGATTGTGTTTAATCGAGAGGACTACTAGAAATTAGTCCGTCGTAGTCTTCATCTACAATCGAGAGGACTATTAGGAAATTAGTCCGTCGTGGTCTTCATCTTCTTCTTCTTCGTTCTCAAGTTTCATGTTCTATCTTAAAACCATGCTCATCCTTAAAAGAAGGTCGTGCTTCACGTGAATGGGGAGTCTGTCCGGCGGAGTAAGAAGAAACGTACTCCATGTCCTCCAAACCTAATAGTCCTCTCGATTGTGTTTAATCGAGAGGACTACTAGGAAATTAGTCCGTCGTCGGCTTCATCTACAATCGAGAGGACTATTAGGAAATTAGTCCGTCGTGGTCTTCATCTTCTTCTTCTTCGTTCTCAAGTTTCATGTTCTATCTTAAAACCATGCTCATCCTTAAAAGAAGGTCGTGCTTCACGTGAATGGGGAGTCTGTCCGGCGGAGTAAGAAGAAACGTACTCCATGTCCTCCAAACCTAATAGTCCTCTTGATTGTGTTTAATCGAGAGGACTATTAGGAAATTAGTCCGTCGTCGTCTTCATCTTCTTCTTCTTCGTTCTCAAGTTTCATGTTCTATCTTAAAATCATGCTCATCCTTAAAAGAAGGTCGTACTTCACGTGAATAGGGAGTCTGTCCGGCGGAGTAAGAAGAAACGTACTCCATGTCCTCCAAACCTAATAGTCCTCTCGATTGTGTACAATCGAGAGGACTACTAGGAAATTAGTCCGTCGTCGGCTTCATCTTCTTGTTCTTCATCTTCATCTTCATCTTTTCACGATGGCTGAAGCTAGTCACCACGCTAAAGAAGTCGATCCCACCAATGGCTTCTGCGCCAAAACCAAGACCTTCCGCAGCCTCAGGCCATCCCTCCCTCTCCCTCCTCCTTCCCTCCCCGTTTCGCTCACCGACTTCCTCCTCTCCATCCTCCCCTCCTCCTCCTCCTCCTCCTCCTCCTCCTCCGCCTTCCTCGTCGACGCCGCCACCGACCGCCGGGTCACCCCCCCGTGCTTCATCTCGCAATGCCGCGCTCTCTCTTCCTTCCTCGCGACCCGCTTCCCTTCCCTCTCCAAGAACGACGTCGCCCTCGTCCTCCCGCCTCCTTCCCTCCACGTCCCCGTCGTCTACTTCACTCTCCTCTCTCTCGGCATCGTCGTGTCCCCCGCGAACCCCCTGAGCTCCGCCTCCGAGATCCGCCACCTGGTCGGGCTCAGCAACCCCGTCGTCGCTTTCGCCACCTCGCAAGCAGCTCGGAAGCTGCCGACGCTCAGGCATGGCACCATCCTCCTCGACTCGCCCGAGTTCGAGTCCGTTTTCACCCGGGACGGCCCGAAGGAAACCGATCCCATTCTCCGCAATGTCAACCGGGTCACACAGGCGGACCCCGCGACGATTCTCTACTCTTCGGGCACGACGGGCCGGGTCAAGGGCGTACTCATGACCCACCGAAACATGATCGCGGGGCTCGCCAGCCCTCGCCCAGCCGAGGCTGGCCCGAACTCCGTTCTGCTCTTTCCGCTTCCCCTGTTCCACGTGTACGGGTTCATGGCGATATTGAGAGCGTTTGGGTTGGGGGCGACGGTGGTTTTGATGGGTAAGTTTGAGCTCCAGGCCATGCTGAAGGCCGTGGAGAAGTATGGAGTCGACACGTTGCCGGTGTCGCCGCCGGTCGTCCTCGCGCTGGTGAAGTCCGAGGTTACTGAGAAGTATGACCTCAGCTCGCTCCACACCGTCGTGTGTGGCGGAGCGCCGCTTGGGAAGGAGGTTTCTGAGCGGTTCCATCAGAAATTCCCGAACTTGGAGCTGGTGCAGGTAAAATGCTAGTAGTCTAAAGATGGCCGATTCTCAAATAGAACTAAAAACCAGCCTGAAATAACGGCCGGCTTTGGACATCGTTGATCATCCCTACAGAACACGATCCTTTTGTTTTCCTCTGTTTCATTTTATGTCAAGGTGATAGTGGTTAGTTTTTGCATGTTTAATCCGTTTCAATCCAGTCCAAAGGTAAACTTTCTTAAGCCAAAGTTCGTGAAATCTGCGAGAAATTACTGGTGCTTATAATGACCAGGTAAAAACCGAACTAATGTCTTAAACCCCAAATCGTTTACCACTGGACCAATTACTCAAATGCCAAAATGCTTGGGCATGATTTCTTTATTAGTAGGACATTCTTACTACACGACACTATTGCTTCCATTGGCGGCTAGTGTTTTCCTAGGATGAGCACTGTGTCTGCTTATAGACAACTGATTGTGTTATATGAGATCAATTTCATGTTACCCGACAACGTTGTCTAGGGGTTAGACACATTCTTGAATCAGAAACACTAAATCAAGGATCAATCGGAAGGTGCATTACGTACAAATGTACACTCTGAAACTTAACTTTGTACTAGTAAGCTTACCCCGGTAGGTATTGCGTGCGTACCATGACAGTGCCGTACTGCAACTTTGGGAGACGACACGGAAGAGTTGGAGAACCGAGAATATGAGGAAGCAAATACTGCACTTAGTTTTGAGTTGATGGATGCGAAAGATCAATAGATGTAAATGACTAATGGCTTTGTCAACTGTGAAATGTCCGAATAAATTTTTCAGGGTTATTCAATGACAGAGAGCCTATTAGGAAGTAGGATGATGGGGCCTGATGAGACCAAGCAATATGGCTCCGTGGGTCGCCTCTCCGAGGATATGGAAGCCAAAATAATGGATCCTTTTACTGGAGAAGCTCTACCTCCAGGCTGCAAAGGCGAATTGTGGATGCGTGGCCCAGCCATCATGAAAGGTCAATAGTAATACCACAACCTCTCATCCTGGATTGCTTTCCTCCTGGAATCTGTGAAGAAAACCTGTCTGGAGTTCCATTGCACTTTTTGTTTGAGCACATCAAGTTAGGAAACGCCCGTCTTTCTATTGAAATACTGACTTGCTTACAAAAAATTGCCGTGCAAAATTCGATATCCCGGTTTCTTCAGACATCGACAGTTACTATGCTGCTTCCTGCACAAGGATTCCTCATTTCACTGCTTGAAAACTCCTCTTTGAGCTTCACGTATCACTTGCAAAACTCGGATGTTGTTCTGAATTTTTTTTTGATTCCATGTAGGTTATGTTGGAGATGACAAGGCAACGGCTGAGACATTGGATCCTGACGGTTGGCTAAAAACTGGCGATCTTTGTTACTTTGACTCAGAGGGGTTCCTCTACATTGTGGATAGGCTAAAGGAATTGATAAAATACAAAGCGTATCAGGTAGCTGCGGTCATAAGGAATCTTTTGCTGATGAAATCTGATGCTTCCCATTTTTTTGTTATCTCATTCTCATCCCATCCAGCAGGTCCCACCTGCTGAATTGGAGCATGTACTTCAATCTCATCCTCAAATTGCGGAAGCTGCAGTGATACCGTAAGCTCCAGTGATTGTGTTATGACCTTCATAGAAGCATTGAGTTTGGCTGAGCCAAAGTTTCTCTGTCTTATTTTTATTCACCATTCACTGATCTTTAGATTACTTGGAGGACATGCAAAGTATTGGTTAGTCGATGTTCAAAAGGTCGAGAGTAATCCTACCATTGTGCGAAACGATGATTGCCAGAAGATGTCTTATTGTGTCTACATTTACTTTTGAAGCAAATCTTTATCTGCTTAAAATGTACTTGTCAAACTTTGGTGTGTTGTGAGATCCATAAATGTGCTTTCTTTTCGGCTAAGTGGCTCATTGCGCAAGTAACCAACGAGACTAATCCAAGTGTATTGCTTGGAATCAGGTATCCTGATGAAGAGGCAGGGCAGGTTCCAATGGCTTTTGTGGTGAGGAAGCCTGGTGCATATGTTGCAGAATCTGAAATCATGGAGTTCATTGCTGAACAGGTATGGTCCTCCTGGATTCATCTGTTTTAGAAGACGCTTCTTCAATTTTTAGATTTTCCTGGGGAAGGAGAGGAGTTGATGTCTTGAAGATGTCAAACGCTGACGCATCTATTCATTGGCAGTGAGAACAACTAGGACTATTTTTCTGGATCTCATAGTGGACGCTATTTGATTCCCAATCACTGACTTGTTTGGCAACTGGTGTTCTTAAGAGCATGCGAGAGATCGTTTGAGTACCCCGATAAGGAAATCGAGTTTTAATATCTCCTAAGAAAGCTTCTGCTCCAACTTTAGTTCTACTCCATGCTACCAATGTTTTTTTCTTCCTCCCCTTTAACCCACAGTTTGTCACATAACTTCTCGGCGGGCAGTAAATGCTACTAGATCCATCCAACAAGATTGACTTGGTCTTTCGTACTACCTTTGCTCGACTTGCTAAAGCTTACTCAGATAACATAGCTCGATCAGATGACTTGTTCCGTTTGAATAGCACATGTCGGTGTTCAGCCCAGTCCGAAACTATAGACAACTCTACTCTTTTCTTTGATTACATGAAACTCGATTTGCAGGTCGCTCCATACAAGAAGATAAGGCGTGTTGCTTTTATCAGTAGGATCCCCAAGAATCCCGCAGGAAAAATCTTGAGAAGGGAGCTCATCAGTCATGCTTTATCTGCTGGTTCAGCAAAACTGTAAAATCTTTGACCAGGAAAAGAAGTATAAATTTTTTTTAAAAATTAAACAGGCCATTATTATCAGTTCTCCTCTGTATTTGGCAATTTGCTGCTCCACGGTATGCATGTCGTACTTGTTTTTGGAAGTGATTGACCATTCCTTACTGAAGACCAACATGAACCTGCGAATTGTCTGCTCCCGACTGAATTTTATGCCAGTTCTTTAGGGAAGCCGTGGTTGTTAATACTTGCCTAAAGTGGTCGAGTTCGATTCTCCATCCGAGCCTTTCGATTAGATGCGAAGATTGACCCTATTATTGCGTTTTCTAATTGTTTTTGGATGAAATATGGCATTATCATCACCTCTGTGTTTGGTGCTCCAATCATTGTTTTTGGATGAAAAATTCATAAGGTATGAATGCATACAAAACCTATCTTATCAGTCACCTTATATAGATTAGCTACAAGACTTATATGGAGCACTATCGTTGAATTTTTCTCCCTTGATCCAATGTCTGAAATGCATCAAAAGAAGGATTTAATAATTGAACAATATCGAATGTATTAAAATTGATATAAAAATAAATAAATTTAACGATGTGAATCGTTTTATTATATAGGTCATGCTTAATGTCAATATCCACCTAGCTGTTATTTCACAATATATAGTCGAGTTGCTAGGCTCATCAATTAAAATTTTTTCATGATAAATACTAAAGTCGTTAGGCACATCAATTGGTATATGCACAACTTCCTGCCTAGAAGCTCCTGCCCTTCGCTTCGACTCTCTCTCTCGGCAAGTTGGGTCTTTCTTTCCCCATTTCATTTGTCTTGTGGCGATTTCCTCGCAGGAGTTCCTGAGAAGTTTGCTTTCATGCTATCGAAACCGTAATTGGCAGGTCTTGAGTGATTGCGACTCGATTTGTATATTTTCGCGTTGTGATTGATGATTTTTTTCTTTCAGCTAGTGATGCTTGCATGGAAATTTAACCTCCTGCTGGACTTGGATGCACAATAATATAGCCTTGAGCCGTTGCATTGCCCTGAAAAATTGCAGCATGGTTGTGCACCAAGCATGGTTTTTGTCGGCATGGTTCAGGAGGGCAGGTATGATTATAGGTATATCGTCACATGGGACTACCCTATCTGCTGTGGCTTAAGTGGAGATCAGATATTAGGATCTGCGAAAGTGGTGTGCATGATAATCGATCCGTCAAAGATTGATTGCTTGCGGGGAGATGTGACAGGAAGCAGTTCCTGTGGTTTCATGGTGTAAACTTTCCCCTAGCAATTATAGTTTGGTGGTTGGCTGGTTATCTGGTCCTGTCATTACTGGTGGGCCTAAAGTGGTTGAATAATGCATTCTTAATTTAATTGATATTAATTAACAGGAAATCAGATAAATCGATTCTCGTGGTCCCACGTTGACGTCAGCCTGGTGTTGCGCTCTATCATGAACAAGCTTTTTCCTGTACTTGGTACAAGTGGCAACGTTTGATCTCTTGACAATCGTATCTATTCTACCTTATAGAAGACACTATATTGTACTATTACCTCTGTTAAAACGGTTTGCCCCCAGATCTATAATTTGATGTCATGTCACTTCACGGCTTTGTGTCTTTTCAATTCCTCTTGTTATAAAATTGGGGATAAGTGCGATAAAAATCTTAAAGTTTATCAAGAAAATACAATTGAAAGTTTTAGGACCTAATTATACTTTTATGATAAATTTTAAGACTTTTAATGTACTTATTCATATAAAATTGAATCAAAAACTTTGATAGCTCTCCATAATTCACTTCTCTTTATACCGTAGGTTATTAAAAGCCCATAGATCTTAAAGTGGTGGGTGGATCTTGGAATATGTTTGACCACTCGAAGTGATGAGATTTGCTTTTACTCTAGCGATACGAATACTATGATTAGATCAGCAGATCTCTTAAGATATTCGGGATCCGTTTGTTTTGCAAAAATATAAACGATTTAGAAAATATTTTTCTAAAAATGATTGGTTATATCATTTGAAATAATTAGCTAGCAAAAAATGATTTCATTATTGATAATAATTTATGCTTAATATTTTTCGTAGACGATGAAAATATTTTTCATTGCAAAAAATGAATCTTTCAACAGTAAAAAAAGACATCCGGTTGAGATCTGATGTGATAAAGCAATTGCTTAAATATGAAATTATGTCCATTAATTATATGAAGTTAGAAGTGAATTCGACCGATCCTCTAACTATACATCGAGGGGAATGAGACTTAAGGTAGTTGAGGAAAATCAACAGTGATGATAACCCAACTTATGTGATTGGCGAGCCTATAAATTAGATTCATATGGGTAATAACAAGTTGCGTGTTGATCTAGTGATGCACTATTAAAATAGTGCAAGATTGCAATGAAAGAGTAGTTGAGCTAATCTCTTAATAAATTCCATAGCCATTATTGGTGATGTATTAAACTGAAGAATATACTCACCTATATAAGTGTGGAGTGGGGCCGCTCTATGAGAATTTTGGCAAAATCTCTAAAGCACTTACGAATAATTAGGCATGTGCATGGCCTATTGTCACACAACCATGTTGAACAACAAATTTATGGAGGTGTAATGTGATTGGTGAAAATTATAATTTAAACAAGAAATTCTTCATAAAAGTATTAAACTTCACCCATGATTTCATGAATTATATTTCATTTTTTCTAGATCTGGTAGCCCAAAAGGCACTATATCCAATGCATTGCATTTCATTAAGTTTAACCCAACATATATCTTTCCTTACTTTTCAAAACTTTTGAAATATGTGGGGAATTGTTGAATATTTCAATAGTTTTGAAAATCTTAAAGCAATTGTTTTGTAACGGTTTTGACAAAAGTGATGACTGTCGTCAATTTGTAACAGTTTTAAAAAATGATTATTTTGCAACGGTCTTATAACGAATTTATAACGCCTGATTTATTTATTTATTAACCCTTTATTCATTAGCTTATAAAGAGAATCTTCAAATCACAATCAAAATATATCAAAAATAAGAAATTAATTCCTTTTTTTTCCATTTATTTGCTTGGTTTTACATATTACATTGTTTTGTTTCTATTCCCTCGATTACTTTGTGCAGAGTAAAAATGAACATCTGTTGTATCCTGAAACTATAGCCACTTGAGTCTCACGTATCTAGTTTTGTATTTCGAGGGACAGAATAATCCTTAAGATGGTGCTTGCATGCCTTGAATATTTATTCTTTTTTAACAAATTTTCCTGCACTCCAAACCTAATAGTCCTCTTGATTGTTTAATAGAACGTCTATGATTGAGGCAATATCCTTTTCTTTCCCTTTTGTTTTCGGCTAAAAAATTGCCAGGCCCATAATCTGAAATGTCGTGCTTCACGTGGATCCAACTTTTAGACCATTAAAGAAAGAAGCAGCGTGTTATAATGTACAGAAGATATGAAATGTTTCTAACGCGAAGAGGTGTCCTTGGCCTAAAATACCCTACGAACATTAGTTTCAAACAGTACCTCGAGCTTCATAGTCGATGTCAAAGGGCATTATCTCAGATATAGCCCATCTGAGGTATTTTTCCCTAATCATAATTTTTGACTTTTACTCATGACTTGATGATGACTTTGAACTCCACGCAAGGAAATTTTTTTTTCTGAATTTTCATCGTTTTTACCCAATCTCCTTTCACTTCCCATGACAGGATTCATCATCCAGACCCAAAAGCGAGAATCCCCCGGGATGGGCGCATGGTCCGGAGGAGAACAGGCACGTCTGACGTGCGTAGGCTTGCCATCACTTTCAATGCCAAGTGTTGTTGGGGAGAGCGCATGAACATCACCCGTCAGCTTCTCGGCCATGAACAGTGTAAGCGTAAGGAAAGTGTAATTCTTGTTGGTAATTTTGTTCATATGTCATGTCATCTCGTGCTTTTGAGGTTTGACAAAAAGGAAAAATAGTGAGTGTTCGTCGTCGTCCCCATCACCTTCTTCTTCATCTTCTTCTTCATCTTTTCACGATGGCTGAAGCTAGTCACCACGCTAAAGAAGTCGATCCCACCAATGGCTTCTGCGCCAAAACCAAGACCTTCCGCAGCCTCAGGCCCTCCGTCCCTCTCCCTCCTCCTTCCCTCCCCGTTTCGCTCACCGACTTCCTCCTCTCCATCCTCCCCTCCTCCTCCTCCTCTTCCGCCTTCCTCATCGACGCCGCCACCGACCGCCGGGTCAACTACCCGTGCTTCATCTCGCAGTGCCGCGCTCTCTCTTCCTTCCTCGCGACCCGCTTCCCTTCCCTCTCCAAGAACGACGTCGCCCTCGTCCTCCCGCCTCCTTCCCTCCACGTCCCCATCGTCTACTTCACTCTCCTCTCTCTCGGCATCGTCGTGTCCCCCGCGAACCCCCTGAGCTCCGCCTCCGAGATCCGCCACCTGGTCGGGCTCAGCAACCCCGTCGTCGCTTTCGCCACCTCGCAAGCAGCTCGGAAGCTGCCGACGCTCAGGCATGGCACCATCCTCATCGACTCGCCCGAGTTCGAGTCCGTTTTCACCCGGGACGGCCCGAAGGAAACCGATCCCATTCTCCGCAATGTCAACCGGGTCGCACAGGCGGACCCCGCGACGATTCTCTACTCTTCGGGCACGACGGGCCGGGTCAAGGGCGTATTCATGACCCACGGAAACATGATCGCAGGGATCGCGGGCGCTCGCCAAGTCGAGCCAGACGCGTCCGTCGAGCCCGGCCCGAAGTCCGTTTTGCTGATTCCGCTCCCCCTGTTCCACGTGTACGGGTTCGTGGCGATATTGAGAGCGTTTGGGATTGGGGCGACGGCGGTTTTGATGGGGAAGTTCGAGCTCGAGGCCATGCTGAAGGCCGTGGAGAAGTATGGAGTCGACACGTTGCCGGTGTCGCCGCCGGTCGTGCTGACGCTGGTGAAGTCGGAGCTGATCGGGAAGTATGACCTCAGCTCGCTCCGCACCGTCCTGTGTGGCGGAGCGCCGCTTGGGAAGGAGGTTTCCGAGCGGTTCCAGCAGAAATTCCCTAACGTGGAGCTGGTGCAGGTAAAATGCTAGTAGTGCTAAAGATATTAAAACTAACATTAGCTTTCATATTTTGTAATTTGTTTGGCCAAAAAGATAATTAACCCCTTAATTTTAATCCCGAAAAAGAAATGGCCGATTCACCGATAAAACTGAAAATCGATCTGAAATAACTGCCGGCTTTGGACATCGTTGGTAATCCATACAGAACACGATCCTTTTGTTTTCCTCTGTTTCATGCTATGTCAAGGTGACGGCGGTTAGTTTTTGCATATTTAATAATCCGTTTCAATCCCGTCGAAAAGATAAACTTCGCTAAGATAATATCTCAATCAAGATATAAACAGTCAAAGGGAGATAAACATGCAATACATGTGGGATGTGTAAGAAATTACTGGTATTTCTAATGATGAGGTAAAGGCCAAACTAAAGTCTTAAGCCCCAAATCGTTTATTACTGGACCAATTACTTACACTCCAAAATGCTCGGGCATGAATTCTTTATTCATTTAAGAACATTTTTACGACACGATACTATTGCTTCCATAGGCTGCTAGTTTTTCCTAGGATGCTAATGAGTTTTGAGCACTGCGTCTGCTTAAGGATAATTAATTGTATGATATGAGCTCAATTTCAAAGTACCCGACGACGGGGTCTAGGAGTTAAGACACATTGTTGCATCAGAAATACTAAATCAATGAATCAATCAAAAGGCGCATTACCTACATATAATTGCACTCTGAATCTCAATTTCGTACCAGTAAGCTTACCCCGGTAGGAGCTGCATGCATACCATGACAATCCCGTACAGCAATTTTGGACGATGATGACACGGAAGAGTTGGAGAATATTAGGAAGTAGATACCGCACATAGTTTTGAGTTGATGGATGCGAAAGATTGATAGATGTAAACGACTAATGGCTTTGTCAACTGTGACATGTCTGAATGAATCATTCAGGGTTATGCATTGACAGAGAGCCTATTAGGAAGTAAGATGATGGGGCCTGATGAGACCAAGCAGTACGGCTCCGTGGGTCGCCTCTCCGAGAATACGGAAGCCAAAATAGTCGATCCTGTTACTGGAGAAGCTCTACCTCCTGGCTGCAAAGGCGAATTGTGGCTGCGTGGCCCAGCCATCATGAAAGGTCAATAGTAATACCACAATCTCTCATCCTGGATTGCTTTCCTCCTGGAATCTGTGAAGAAAACCTGTCTGGAGTTCTGTTGCACATTTTGTTCGAGCACATCAAATTAGGAAATGCCTGTCTTTCTATTGAATTACTGACTTGCTTACTGCGTGGTTTCTTGACATCGACAATTACTATGCTGCTACCTACATAAGGATTCCTCTTTTCACTGCTTGAAAACTCCACTTTGAGCTTCATGTATCACTTGCGAAACTCGGATGTTGTGCTGAATCTTTCCTGATTCCATGTAGGTTATGTTGGAGACGACAAGTCGACGGCTGAGACATTGGACCCTGACGGTTGGCTAAAAACTGGCGATCTTTGTTACTTTGACTCGGAGGGGTTCCTTTACATTGTAGATAGGCTGAAGGAATTAATAAAATACAAGGCGTATCAGGTAGCTGCTGTCATATGGAATCTTTTGCTGATGAAATCTGATGTTTCCCATTTTTCCTTAGTCAGATTTTGTTATCTTATTCTCATCCCATCCTACAGGTCCCACCTGCTGAATTGGAGCATTTACTTCAATCTCATCCTCAAATTGCGGATGCCGCGGTGATACCGTACGCTCCAGTGCTTGTGTTATGACCTTCATAAATGAATTGTGTTTGCATGAGCCAAAGTTTGTCTATCTTAATTTTGTTCACCATTCACTGATCTTTTTATTATTTGGAGGACATGCAAAGTATTGGTGAGTCAATGTTTAAAAAGGTCCAGTGTGTCCTACCATTGTGCGAGATGATGATTGACAGAAGATGTCCTATTGTGATCCACATTTACTTTTGAATCAAATCTTTATCTGCTTAAAATGTACTTGTCAAACTTTGGTGTGTTGTGAAATCCATAAATGTGCTTTCTTTTCGGCTAAGTGGCTCATTGTGTAAATAACCAACGAGACTAATCCAAATCTACTGCTTGGCATCAGGTATCCTGATGAAGAGGCAGGGCAGGTTCCAATGGCTTTTGTGGTGAGGAAGCCTGGTGCATATGTTGCAGAATCTGAAATCATGGATTTCATTGCTGAACAGGTATGGTCCTCCTGGATTCATCTGTTTTGGAAGACGCTTCTTCAGTTTCTAAATTTGCCCGGGGAATTAGAGGAGTTGATGTCCTGCGGATGTTAAATGAAAATGCTGAGGCATCTATTCATTGGCAGTGAGAACAACCAGGACTCTATTTTTCTCTACATAGGGGACACTATTTGATTCCCAATCACTGACTTGCTGGGCACCTGGTTCTTAACAGCATGCGGGGCGATCGGTCGAGTACCTCAATAAGGAAATCGAGTTTTAATATCGCCTAAGAAAGCTTCTGCTCCAACTCTAGTTCTATTCCATGCTGCTAATGTTTTTGTTTTTCCTCCACTTTAACCCAAATTTGTCACATTACTTTTCGGCGAGTGGTCAATGCTACTAGATCTACCAACAAGATTGATGCGTTCTTTCATACTATACCCTTGCTTCACTTGCTAAAGCTTACATAGGTAACATAGCTCGATCGGATGACTTGTCCCATATGAATAGCACAATCAAATTTGCTGGGTGTTCAGCCCTGTCCGGACCCATAGACAACTCCACTCTTTTCTCTGATGACATGAAACTGGATTTGCAGGTTGCTCCATACAAGAAGATAAGGCGTGTCACTTTTATCAGTAGCATCCCCAAGAATCCCGCAGGAAAGATCTTGAGAAGGGAGCTCATCAGTCATGCTTTATCTGCTGGTTCAGCTAAATTGTAAAATCTTTGACCAGGAAAAGAAGTCCCATTTGTTTAAGATAAACAGGCCGTTATTATCAGTTCTCTGTATTTGGCAATTTGCTGCTCCATGGTGTGTATGTAGCACTTAGTTTTTGGAAGTGATTGACCATACCTTACCGAAGACAAACATAAACCTGCCAATTGTGAAATCCCGACTGAATCTTATACCAGTTCATTAGAGAAGCCGTGCTTGTTAATACTGGCCTAAAGTGGTTGAGTTCGATTCCCCACTAGAGTCCTTCAGTTAGATGCGACAGATGAGCCTATATTCTTGTATTTTGTCATTGTTTTTGGATGAAATATGCCATTATCATCACCTCTGTGTTTGGTGCTCCGTGGGATGCAGAACGGTTGTTGGAAATGATTGATCATTCCTAACAGAAGACATATTATGAATCCGCAATACAGGGCAGCCTCTTGTGAATGTGTACATTCTGTTTAAGCGTCTAGTCTCTATTGCCCGCGTCTCTAGTTTGCTTATTCCCTTGTGTCGAATTGCAATGTTGATCTAGGGAAACTATTCTGGCGATTTTGTGGTGAGGGGAGACGTTCATAAACGTGAGTTGGCTTTCGGATTACATATATATATAAAGAGCGTATAAATCTTTTTGTCAAGAAGCGTGGGATATTTCAACAACACCGATGACTGAATTTAATACTAGTTATCGGTTTTACTTATCTAAAGTGGTTGAGCTCGATTCACTGCTTGAGTAGCTTTAGATGCAAAGGTTGGCGATATTGTGTTTTCAAGTTAAACGGTAACCTTTCGGTATGGTTGTGGCACTGCTGGCGATGACGTGGACAACTTTTAATAATATTTTGGGTTAATATCATGAAAACCTGATCAGTGAAATTTCAAAACTATTTTTTTTAAATTATAAATTTACAACTATTTTAATATTTTTTCTAAATTTTTAATATTATTATTTTTTGAATTTTTATTAATTTTTTTCTTTTTTTTTCCTTAATATTCTTCATCTTCAACCTTCTTCCAAGCCGAGGGCCCCAGTGAGGCTCGACTCGCGGCGTGGCGAGGCTCGACTCGCGGCGTCGAGGTCAAGCCTCGCCGGATCGCGAGGCTCGCCGCCGCACTCGCCAGGCCGGGTCGAGCCTCGCGGCGCGCCTCGCGATCCGCGAGTTCGAGCTCGCGCGGGCGAGGTCTCCCCTGCCCGAGGTCGCCTCCCGCGGCGGCGGGCGAGTCCGCCAGCCGACTCGCGCCAGGCCGTCGCGGCGACCAAGTTGAAGATGAAGAATATTAAGAAAAAAAAAAAAAAAGAAAAAAATTAATAAAAAATTGAAAAATAAAATAATATTAAAAATTAGTTGGGAAATTCAAATATCTCTTGGTTTGGTGGTCAAAAATATTTGTAAATTTGTCACATTTTTGGGGTTTTTAGTCAAAAAAATAGAATGTCAAACCTATGCATTAGTTTCGTATTAACCTAATATTTTTAACATTTTTCGAATATTTTTTAAGTTTTTTATATTTTTTTTCTTTTCCTTTCTTCTTCCACCGGTGACAGTGGAGGCGGGGCGGCGAGGTTTTCCTCGCCGGCGATGGCGATGGCAAGCCTCGCCGAATCTAGTGAGGTCGAGCCTTGCCCATGGTCGATGCGGCTTGACCCTCGCCAACCCAGTGCGAGGCCGCCCTCGCCAGCCCAGTGTGAGGGCGGCCTTGCGCTAGGCTGGCGAGGGTCGAGCCCCGACCACGTTAGATCCGTCAAGGTCGTGCCTCGCCCAGCTGCTGACAGTCGCGGCCACTAGCGAGGGCGAGCCTCACCAGAGGCCGGTGGGGCTCGCCGGCCCTGGCCTCCAGCTGCTCGTTGGACCGGCAACTGGCTGGAGGAAGAAGAAAAGAAGAAAAAAAGAAAAGAAAAAAAATATTTAAAAAATTCGAAAATATATTAAAATATTATTAAAAATTGTTCACGTCATCGCCGGCAGTACCATGTAAGCCAGCCAACGTCCACTTAAGCAAAATCCGATCAAAATTAACTGGAAGGACTGAATTGGCACAAAAATAAAAGATTTAGGACTAAATTGACATAAAAAAAAAGGATTATAACTAAATTGGCATCAATACAATAGCTTTAGGACTTTTTTTGATACTTTTCCCGCTGGCCCCGACCACCTCTGCCCAGGTATCAAATCCTTCTCCTTCAAAGAAATAGAGGAAATGATAGGTTCTACTTTGAGTTATCGTATCGAGGGAATGAAGATGCGCTTAGTAAATCTGTTCGCATTGCCGCGGTCGAGGGTTGCTGAGAGCGTCTTCCTTCTTGGACAGCCATTTTCAGCTCGTTGCTGTACGAGGCCTGCGAGCGGATCATCGACCCGATCTACGGCTCGGTCGAGCTGCTCTGGTCGGGCAATTGGGCCCAGTGCCAGTCGGTCGTCGAGGCGGTGCTCCAGGGCTCCTCCCAGTTCTTGCAATCGCCTTCACTCGACTCCACGGGGCCCCACCATAAGAACTGCGATGTCTGCCACGACTGGAAGACATCCGGCTCCGGAGACCTCCACAAGATCAGGACTGGGACCCGGTTCAAGCGGTCATCGAATCAGGCCAAGCCGAAGACGGAACCTGACGAGCTGTTCGGCGGTGAAGGGAGCAAGTGGATCTACCCAGGGCCCATCCACGGGGAGACGAGCCACAACTCGTGGGTGATGCCTACGGCAGCAGTGGTGGCGAGTCGGGACACCGTGGAGGCCGAGAGGATCTCCTTCGAGGAGACCATGGAGGCTACACTGGCAAACCTAGGCAAGCCGAACCGGATGCTGAAATTCGACCGGCCGGTGGAGGAGAGTCCGGAGAGTCAACTCCATTTGGAGCTAAGTCTGGGCATCAAACCGCCGTCACATCCGAGGGAGCTCGAGTTCAGCCAACATTGATCTAAGTGGTCGGTTGTGAGACGAGAGACGAGCAGTTTTGAGGGCCAGGTTGATGCCGGAGCACTCCTTGAAGGCCATTAATTAAGTTACCTTGAAACTAGTAAAACTTGGAGACAGTCAACCAACTATATATGTTTCTCATATTTTCAAGGTTTAGTGAGTCCTTATTTAATTATAGTTGTTTTTTAGTAAAACTAGTTTTGTCTTTTTGTCTTTCCAATGAGTGATAGTAATTACTCATGCTTGGAAGGTTGTTCCATGCTCATCTATATAAGCATGCTATGATGAATGAAAAGACGCGACTTGGTTGATTCATAAACTATTTGAGCCTTTGGCTTGAGAACAAGAAGTTTTTCTTGTTTTGCTCTTTATCCCTAGGTGGATTCCTATGAGTGACGAGTATTACTCTTGTCTCTTAGGTTGATAACCTATGAGTGGCGAGCGACCTATCCGTTAAGTTCTCAATTGTGTTACCTCATACTTCTCTATATTCTCTTTGGTATCAAATTGGTATTAGAGCAAGGTTCAATGGCTGGTCGTCATCGACATGGACCAAATGTCGAGTCTTCTATAGCTTGAGAAACAGACCTGCAAGACGTGGGGTGGATGATTTAAGGAGACAAGTGCAGAAACTATAAGAGTGTTTGCAACACTTTGAACTTTTGGAACATGATGATTCGTATCATGATTCAGATGATGCTCTCTTCAATAAAGAGGATGTTAACCCCTTTGCTGGTACTTGAAGTCATGCTTCAAGTGAGGAAGGACATCCTCGATGTCAGTATGGAATTTAGCAAAATTCTTATGTAAAGGTTGATATTCTTGAATTCGAAGAGAATATGCAATCGAAAGAACTTATGGATTGGCTGCATGCTGTAGAAAGAGTTTTTGACTACAAAGAAATTCCAAATGATCAAAAGGTGAAGCTAGTCTCCACCAAGCTCAAAATGGTGGAGCATTTGAAGAAACAAATAGATCGTGAAGGAAGAAGCCATATCGTAACTTCGAAAAAAATGAAGAAAGAATTGAAGAAAAAGTTCTTACCGATAAACTATTGTCAAACTTCCTTCCTCCAGTTTGACAATTTCTAACAAAAGGAGCTATTCGTGGAAGAATATATAACAGAATTTGATCACCTTATGATGCTTTGTGATGTTTCTAAGCCAGAGGAGTAAATTGTTGCTCGTTACATCGGTGGACTTTGATCAGAAATCGGTAATGTTATCCGACTTCAACCTTATTGGACTTCTAATGAAGTCTGTCAACTTGCACTTAAGGTGGAACGACAACTAAAATAAGCACTTGGTAATAGCTCTCGGTCTTTGAACAAAGAAGGCTATTTCAAAGGGGAGAGTATCTCTACTTCTAATACTTAGGCAACCGCTTCAAAGTCACTTCAAAAGAATGATGGAGCACCAAGTGTTTCCAGTGCCATATTGCCTCCGATTGTCCAAATCATAAGATTGTCTCTCTTGTAGAATAAGAGCTTGAAGAAGACAATCATGAAAGCTCCCCTAGTTCCAATGAAGGGTCGGAGGAGGAAGACGAAGTTACCTATAGAGATAAAGGAGAGTCTCTTCATTGGGTCTTGTATGCTACTCCTAGTGAAGACGGTGCTTGGCTTCGCAATAACATCTTTGACACTATATGCACTTCTCATGGAAAGGTGTGCGATGTTAACATTGATGGAGGAAGTTGCGAACGTAATGGCTAGCGAAACGGTGGAAAAAGTAGCATCTCAAGACGGAGAATCACTTACAACCTTACAAGCTCTCTTGGCATCGCAAAAGGAATGAGGTAACTGTTGATAAAAGATGTCTTGTTCAATTCTACATTGGAAAAAATATAATGATGAAATATGATGTGATGTTGTTCCCATGGATGCTTGCTTATTGGGAGGCCTTGGCAAATTTGATAAAAAATCCAAGCATGATGGGTTCAAGAATACTTACATTTTTAAGAAAGATGGAGTCAAAATCAGCTTGGTCCTTCCAAAATAGAGAGAACCCTAAACCATCTAATGGGAAGGGAAATAATTTACTCTCTACATTTGAAGTTGATTGTGATGCTTCTAATGTGGCAATTGATGCGATTCTTAGCTAATTGCATTCTTTGGTTTTGCATATCTTTTTTCATCTTATTTTCTTTCAAATAACACCACTTCCTTTTATTTATATTTTTTAAAAATCCATTTTTTAATTCTTTTTTCATTTTTCCTTTTCTTTCTCTTTTTTTTCTTCTTTCTCGACTAGTCGTCAACCACATCGACGGCCGACAATCGGCCATAGGCGAGGTTGAGCCTTGCCCGAGATCTCTAGAGCCTCATAGACATTTGACAACCTCAAGCCCCACTTAGCTCGCCTATGACCGGCAATAGGCCAAGGAAGAAAAAGAAAAAGAAAAATAAAATTAACTAAAAAATAAATTAAAAATTCGGATTTTTTTGGTAATTTTTCCTAAAATATCAAATCGGATACGAAATGACAAAGTATTTTCCAGTTCATTTTCATGTCCCAATTGAACAACGGAAAATATTATCATTTTCTTTAAAAATGTCATTAAAAAAACATTTTCCGAAAACTTCACATTTTCCGTATAATGGGAACCAAAGAGTGAATTTTCCATGATGAGTTCAACAGTTCTTAAAGCTTACGCAAAATAGTTTGCTTGACATGCATGGCACGGTAAGCTTGTCTTTGTATTTGCATAGTGTTTTTGGAGTCTGCCTTCATATCTTGAGACTACGAGAGGCTATTTCTAGCCTATAATTTTTATGGGCTTTGGGTAACTATCCATTCCTACGAGAATGGATGCCATTTTTTTTTTTTTTTTCAGCTCTGTCGAGGTGGGGTCACTTGTTAAGGAGAAAATATTCCATGGTTTACAATCACCACGTCATATGCCTACGTGGTGTAAATATTCTCGCGTGGATCCATTAAGAAATTGCCACGTGGCGTCTGACGTGGAGAAAGAGAAAGCCTTATCATGAAGACTCTCTCCTCTGAGAAAATATTCAGTGGTTTATTATCACCACGTCACATGCCCACGTGGTGTATATTTGCTTGCGTGGATCCATTAAAAAATCGGCACGTGGCATCTGACGTGGAGAGACACGGAGAAAGAGAAAGCCCTAATGGGAGGCTCTCTCTCCTCTACACCCCTACTCCCGCTCAAAGAAGACCTGGGGAAGGCACGAGCATTAATTGTTATCCTCTCTCCTCGTTCTTTTTCAAGTTTGAATGAAATGTCTCTCCCTCACTTTCTGAAACTCTTCTCCTTCCCAGATTGTTTCTCTCCCTCCTCCTTCGTCTTCGCTTGTGTTTTTTGCTTCCTCCTTCCGGCGAAAAGCGAACGGCCTATCCCCTCGTGGCCGTCGGCTCCGCTACGTCGCCGTCGCCTCCGCTACGTCGCCGTCGCCTCCGCCTCATGGTCGTCGGCTCCGCCTCGTGGCCGTCGCTTCCGTCTCGTGGTTGTTGGCTCCGCCTTGTGGCCGTCGGCTCCGCTCATCGCCGTCAGCTCCGCCTCGTCACCTCCGCCACGTGGCCGTCAGCTCCGCCATCGCGGACATATTCAACAAATCTCAGTTGTTTCAGCGTTGAAGAGGATGTCGAGTAGTCGGGGACTTTGACATCATGGATGTCACGCCATGGCCATTAGGTGCTGCCATGAACGAGGGTGAGGACAGGCGAAGACAAAGGTGGTGGCGAAGGAGAGGGCTGAAGTTGGTGTTGCCGTTGAGCATGCGAAATGGAGCCTTGTAGCAGGCGTTTGCTTTTGTTTTTTTCTTTTGGTCAAACATTCCTTTTGTTGAGTTGTTGAGTTTTGTTGAAGAGGTTTTGCTTCTGTTCACGGATTTGTACTAGATATGATTAGAACTGATGAGTTGTTGAGTTTTCTCTTCACCAAATGATGCCTGTTTTCACTCCATTCCAAGCTCTATAGGGTTGGCTAAACGAACCTATTAATCTCTACCTGACAAAAAATTTACTTCTCCAAAAATTTTCAAAGGTGTAACCCACGATAAAGCTCCCCTAAAATCTCCCCGAAAGCAGTCAATGTTGGCTGAAGAAGACCAAGCGATGAACTCGGAATTTAATCAACAAAATGGCAGGGAAAAATCCCACATATACACTTCACCATCTTCTATCACATGACTGCGGTCTTCCACCATTGTCATTTCAAGTTTCCAAGAGAGAAGCCAAACAACCCACCCACCATATCTTTAAAGCGTCTCCTTCATTTCCCCCATGAAACATCCCCATTGCAGTTATGGATTTCAAAAAGCTCCCATTGGCTTCCACCGAAAGGTAAGAGCCTTTCGTTTAGGAATACTAACATCGACCGAGCATGCACACCATCATGTGTTAGGAACACGCAAAACGCGGAACTTTTCACTCGAGATGGCAAAAGAGGAAGGAAAACGAAGTGCCCAACTTCTTGAGAACCACTTCTGGTCCGAAAGTTTGAAAATTTGAGCTCGATGCGCTTGGCTTGGGCGAGCTAGAGACAGAGAAGAGGACATTGTGATCGGCCCTCTTCAACAAAATATGAAAGGAAGAACAATTTAGTGCCAGAAATATAGTTGCAAAACTAAAATCTTATTCAAATTGTACAAGGTACAGATTAAGGAAAAAATAAGAAAAACTAGTGATAAATTCTAGTGCTCCAAACCAGAAATAGAAGCAAAACCTCTTCAACAAAACTCAACAACTCAACTCCTCAACAAAATGAATGCCTGACCAAAAAAAAAAAAAAAGCAAACGCCTGCTACAGGCTCCATTTCACATGCTCAACGGCAACACCAACTTCGTCCTCTCCTTCGCCACCACCTTTGTCTTCACTGTCCTCACCCTCGTTCGCTGGTAGCAACAACGGCCATGGCGTGACATTCATAATGTCAAAGTCCCCGACTACTCGACAACCTCTTCAACGTTGAAACAACCGAGATTCGTTGAACAACGTGCCCGTCGTTGCGGCGAGCATTGGAGTAGCAACGGACGCCGGAGCAGAGGGCCAAACTTGATCGAACACCTTGCGTGCATATTCAAGGCAACCCAAACCATGATAAACCCGGACAAGTTCCGCAGCTAAACTTGCTCATTGTAAGAGTCATTGACAAGATCTGAGCATGGACAAACTTGACTTCGATAATGTCCTTAGAGAACTCTCGCAGAAGAGACGAAAAACGACTGGCAGGAGCATCTCCGAGTGAAAGAGAACAGGATGAGAACGTAGAAGAAAAGGAAATTCTAGAGGGTATCTTCCAAATGAGACGAAGGATTTGGAACGCCGGAGCAGCAATGGATGCTGGAGCAGAAGGTCGGAGGAGCAAATTTTTAGATCGAAGGGAGAGATCCAAAATTTGAATTAAGGAGAGGGAGAGAGAGAAGGGCGTCCATTCTCAGAAAAGGAAAGAACGAGGAGAGGGAGAAAATAGCAATCAATGAAGAGAGTCTCGCATTTAATGCGAGGTGACTTGCTTAGTTTTCTTTGAGGCAATAGGTGCTCAGAGGAGAGAGTCTTCATGATAAGGCTTTCTCTTTCTCCACGTCAGACGCCACGTGACGATTTCTTAATGGATCCACGCGAGAATATTTACACCACGTAGGCATATGGCGTGGTGATTGTAAACCATGGAATATTTTCTCATATTGTTCAGACACCTACATCATCATTAAAAATGAAAAGAAGAAAATGGGGGTGGGGGAATGAATTGGATCGGGACGAATAGAAATGGCTCTAGCTTCTTAGGAAGCTTCGGTAATTCGGCCTTTGCTCCTCAACCTCCAATTGAGTTTGACTCCGTGGCTTAAAGCACATCGACCAAAAGGCCCAGATTCGGCCTCCAATTGGGCCCATGAACATAAACGAGCCTGGCTGTGGCCCCGTAAAGCTCAATACGGAGGTCTGATCCCAGATATGGGCTGATGCAACTGCCTGTCAATGGCCATTGCCATTTCTAGCCTGTGATGAGACTAGAGATGGGTAGTAACTTCATCAGTGGCTTGCGCATGCAAACAATTAGGGACAGTTCCAGGTGTTACACAGACAACTCTCACAATCATCCATCAAAAGCTGCTGCTCCAACCATAGTCACGCCATCTCCAACAAGAACTACCTATGATTCTTTACAAGGAAAGATCCAACTCACATTACCAATTCACTTTTCCAGCCAACCAATTATCACCCTTAACTAAAAATTTTCCAAGGAAAAAGCAATGAGCGTGCAATGCGGGTTAGACATAACTGTTACTTCCGGATACAAAACCACGTAGACAGCCTCAACTATCCGACACCAACACGCTTAACTCACCAAATTCAACAAAGCATATTAGGCAAGTCTACCTCAGTTCTGCACTGCTTGGCGACAACATGCGATTTACATCTCTCCTTGATCTCGGTCTGGGAAAAATTACCAGAAAAACTACTAGTAATGGAATTTAACAGCTCTCCTGGTTATCTGTTGTGAGTAGTATGACACAAACATTGCTAGGAAACAAGTAACGAGACCAATGAGAAAAAAATGAAGTTGAGATTGAAGCACTCGCCTCGCACTATGGCAGCAGCACCAGCTCCATAAGATGCCCTTCTTAAACATATACATCTGTCAATACAACCCAGTAGACTTAACATGAAGAGAATTCATCATATGCAAGAAAACTTTTTGTGCTAAATTGATAAATTCCCGAGGAGCAGAACAGACAGGTGAATTGGAATATTCACATGGAGGTGATCCTGTATGGCTGTTGTTCTGGAAAGGTTGATCTAGCGAAAGTCAGCTGTCATTGTAGAACAATACAGACAGATGAATAAAAGATCTATTCAAAGAATTTTGTAGCAGCAAAGACATACGGCAGAAACAACATCTTCTAACACATAAACTTATTGAAGCAAGCATTGCCAAAAGAATTAAAGACTAAGACCCCCTGATAAACGCAGGTTTGAGAAAAGAAGCACGCCATCCAACTAGTGCTGTCAAAGATGAAACTGCTCCATCAATTGCAGGCCAATTGACTACCTTCATCACAGCAATAAAAAGAATATTGTAAACCACACCCAAAAAGAAACTAACGGTATAACAAGAAGACATCGCAAAAATAAGCTTTCCACTCTTTCAGAGGCATTAAATTGAAGAATCCCTGCACTCCCAAAGCCACCATCCAGTGGATCTTCTAGAAGCATAAGTACAAAAAGAGCCCCCTTCAAAAGATAAATACAAGACGAGGGATGTTACAAATTCACTAAAAGGAGAGAGAGGCATTTTCAACTAGAGCACTTAGGACTTCAATCCTTTTTTTCTGAATTTGGACGGTTCCAACAACAGGTAAAATGGCAAAGCAGTAAAACGACTGGAGCTTCCATGAGGCAAATTTTAAATTTTAGGTAAAGAGGTACGAGAACAGGCATGGAGATATAAAGAAAAAGGAACTCCACATCTTAATAGGAAGAAGTCAACTCAAAGATAGAAGAGACCCTATCCGTCAGTTGATGCCACGAAGGAAAAAATGCTGACATATCATCATTCAATACAAAGCCTCATAACTTAGTTTGTCTTACAACTAACAAGGAATGGAATTTCAGGGCTTCTGCTCCTCCCTAAGAAATCTAAACAGTCATCTCAACTTCTGTTAGATGGATTAACCAATACCGAGGGAAGAAACTAAATGCAACCCGCCTTCTCACAACAACAGAAGCATGAGTTTATACAAAAGGAATCGAAAACCTTTGTCAGATCATTGCATATTCAATACCTTAAGGGATTTAATTCTCATAGGCATGAATACCTAGTATCGCTTGCATCTCTTCATCTGTTAGTAAGCTCTTGAGTACTAGACATAATGTCAAGAAATCATGATGCGAACATCATTTATCAGAAAAAAAGACAGTTGCATCAGAACTTAATTTGACTATTACTTTTGCATATTTACACAAGTTTGAACCCGTGATGGTTCAACCAAAAGAAAAGACAAGAAAAAGTTGGGAACCAACTTGCACACCTTGCAAACTCAAGGGAGGTGTGAAGATGTAATAGTAGTAAATTGTTCGACCGGAGCAGTTTCCCACTGTTACTACCATCAACAATTCCTCTAGGTTCCTGCCAAGGACAGAAAATGCAATTATGCATTCCTGCAGTTACTCTTCCTGCAGCGAGATAATCTTTCTGGATGCCTAAAAATCAAAGCAGGAGGTTTAAAAAGACATCCATCACAAACAAATCAAATTGTTCCAGGGAGCAATGGCAGGTTAAATTCTTCGTCCAAAAATCCAATCTGGCCGCAGGCAATCATCTAACAACAGTATGCAGAGGGGGAAATGTCGGCATGAAATCCTTAGAAGTAGGCAGTGGAACTTCACAAAACCAATCATGTTCAAGGGCTTCATCTGCTGTTATTCTCTGCATGTGGAAAAAAGAAATTGATAAGTACGGACAACAACGGCGTACTTGTAAGTTGTAAAGCACAAGCTTCACGAGAAATACCATCTCTGGGTCATATGTCAGAAGCCTGTTCAGCAAGTCAAACCCCGATTCGGAAAGAACAGTAGTTCCAGTAAAAGATGCAGCTGGAAACTTCTTTCGCAACAAATTATACCTGAAGAGTACACATCATATTCAAACAATGAGATAACATGCTGTCTTAAAAAGAGCCACAGCCAAGCACTAGATAGAATACCGTGAATACATAACACTTACGGTTGTTTAACAAAGTTTGCTTTTGAACCAGGCAATTCAGAGAATCCAGGCCATATTTTCTCACTGGGTGTGCCAAGAGTCCTGAAAATCTGCAAAGCACAGTTTTCAAATAAGAAAATCGCTGAACAAAGAGTTTGACAAAACAAGATAAAGGACCTATTACGCCTAAGTTTCTACCTTGTCAAGCTGATTGACTTCACTATTTCCCTTGAATAGCGGTTCACTGGCCAACATTTCAGCCATAATACACCCTATTGACCACATATCAATTGCTGTTGAGTACTGTTTTGCTCCCAATAAAAGTTCGGGTGCCCTGCACATCAGAAAATACTGCCAAAGCTCAACCACAATTGTATACTGCAAAGTTCAGAAGTACCAATGTGTTCTGCATGAAAAAAGAAAAGAAAAGGCAACTACAATGTACAAAAAGGAACCATAACATGACTAAGCCATCTCTATCTCTATGTACCCAAGTAGAGTCCCAAGAAGATCGAGCTTAAAATAAACAAGTGCAGGATTCTCTAGGCTGGCATATTGGAAATTACAATCTTTAAAGCAAATGGAAATTTGCAAGAAGAGCACTAAATTAAGTGATGTGGAATAATAGATGTTCATGAATTCCTAAGTATTATTAACCACTAATTGGTAACATGCTACTTGGTTCTTGTCATCCTCAAGAAGTAAGAATGGCCCAATTTCCCACACATGTTGCGTGTTTTTATTATTAGAAAAGGCATGAAGCTCACCTGTACCACATGGTAACAACCAGAGGAGTATATGGCTTCAATGGGCTCCCATACTGTCTTGACAACCCAAAGTCACATATTTTTAGCTCTCCCTTGTTGTTTAAAAGAAGATTCGATGTCTTAAAATCCCGATGAAGCACCCAATTATCATGGAGATACTTGACACCCTCCAATAGCTGAAGCATCAGGCATTTGACTTCACTTGTACTGAAAGGACGCTTCCTTGTTTCCATCAGCCCCTTGAGATCGTGTTCCATGTACTCCATGACCATAAATATACTATCAGCATCACCCATAACGACTTCTTTAACACCTACAACAGAAGGGTGATTTAAAGACAGTAAAATGTTTATCTCTCTCAATGATGTTAGGGGAAAGCCGCCGTCAGAGTCCTGTTTGTTCATCTTCACCTTCTTCAATGCCACTATTTCCCCCGTTTTCTTATCCCTTGCACGGTAGACAACACCATAAGTGCCTTCATTGATCTTGTTCAGTCTTTCATATTCGAAGACACTTCTGCAAGAATCAAGCATGTTTATACTTCGTCTTGCAGGCAACGAGGACGCTTCAAACACTTGATGCTCTCTATTGCTCTCATCATCGGTGTCATCCTGGTTGTTGTCTGCATTGCTAAGATAAGTGTGGTCAACATCCATGACGACAGCTTCACCACCATCTTCAGATTCACCTACACTTGCTCTACCAGCCAGCCCAATCTCATCAGATCCAGAGGACCTGGTCCGATGAACCGAGCCTCCTGGCAGAAACTCCCCACTCTCTGGACTTGACCTATTTGTGACCAATGCTCTATTATCCAGAGTCATTTCTTCATCGTCGGATGCACAGATAAGTCTCGGTGAATCACTATCGGATGCCCATCGTGACATTGAGATGTTTCTCTCATGAACAAATTCTCCATCCTCGACCATACTGTCATCTTGATCACCACCCTCACTTTGCTCCTGATGCAATGCCAGAGCCTTGCATCCAGACCCATTCATAGATATAGATTGATCACCCATAGGAAGATCAGATCCATGTACCTGATCCAATGAGATAGAGGAGTTCAAAACACAGCCACCTGACTCATCATTCGATGACATTGTAGATGGAGCCATGGGAGGGCTTAAAATAGTGCTAGCTGAAACCACTCTGTTCTTGGACGATATCCTGATTTCCCTGTCCTTGACGTCCCATAAAATCGGGGAGAACTTCCTCTTCTTCTCAGGGGGAGGCTGGACACCATCTCGGTACAATTTGGCACCACTCTGCACCTCAACAAGCTGATGCTCCTTATCTCGATTCTTGGACTCCATCTTGCGCCCATCATTCCGCTTAGCCACATGGCCACGGTGCAGGCTAAATTCGCTGCGACAAGTTGCGCGGACCAAATCGCGACCATCCCTTCTGGAGGAAGAGGAACAATCCAATCTCCTAGAGACACGGGATTTCCCTGTTGCCATATTGTTTGCAACCACAACCCCCTTTATCAAAAACCCACACCGACGTCTCAACACACAAAAAATAACCCACGATCCCCCAAACCGACAGCAAAAATGAAATAATTGAACGGATCACCCTTTCAAAACCCAATCATAAAAATCACACAATTCTACGACAGGAACCTAACCAATAGCCCGACCCCACTTTTCCTTCTTCTTTTTTTTCCTTTTCCCTCCGGTCAACAGCAGATCATCTAGGAACCTAGTTGCAATCTAAAAGTATATGAGACAGAACACGAAACGGAAGCTGCAGATCGGACGTCAATCGGCAACGGAGAGACAACCGAGAACCGATTCGGACAGATCGGCAACGAAACCGGAAAGGAAATCAGTAAAAACCTAGACGCGAAGACACGAGGCTTTCGGACCGTCGCTCCTTCGAAATCCGCAGGTACTGAAGGCCTTACCGGAGGATGAAGAGAGAGAGACACGCAGGAGAGGCGTCGCGACGATGAGGATCTGTACCGATCGCAATCGCAGGATGCTTCGAGGGGACGACGAAACCCTAAGAGAATCTTCGTCGACTCAACGCGTTCAATGTGCTTCCTTCGATGGACGGCACTACTTTTATTGTCCCGTGTCGGGTCAAGGTCGGTGGCTCCTCCTATTTGTCCTCTTTCGTTTTGCTCCCCAAATAATGTGATATTCCCGTTTTTGACCCCGCGGCGAAGGTGAGATCATGGGCTTGGGCCTTGTTTCATTTCTGCCGTACTTGGGCTTATGGGCCTTAACTGGTATAACGGGCCAGACCGATATGAATTAACATCCATCTATATTTCGAACTGTGCATTCCTTGGGTGGATGGGCCGAATAAACAAGATCGCTACTCGGTAGGCCCAGTATTATTTCCCCTTCACGAATTAACGTCCATCTATTTTTCGAAATGTGCATTTTGCTGCAAAAACACGAAGCAGATGGGATCCATTGCGTTAAAAATCGGATGAGTTATCGCAGTTTGTAACGGGGGCAATCGGTTCTAGGGTGGTCGGTCGTTTCCCACCTTGGAACTTAGGATAGGACTGGGCAGGTCGGTTCCCTATTTGTGGAACTGGGAACCGGCCCACCAAGATTAGTCCCGGAACCGGTAATTTTTTCTAGTAAGAGGGAGTTTCCCAATATTAAAAGAAAAAAATAATTTACTAATAAGAGTTTACTTTAAAAGAAAAGATTATGAAATCTTGGCCAGTCTACTGGTCCGGTCGGTTTCTTATGTGGAACCGGGAACCGGACTAGTTATTCTCGATTTCAAATTTTTGGAAACTGGAACATAGACCAGTCCCCTTGATACCATACAGAACCTCCTTGTTCGACCTAGTCCGATCCGATTCCCGAGTTGGATCGAGATCAATGCACCCCCTTAGTTTGTACCACGTTTTGTGAGGTCGATAACTTTCAATGTTTCTCTAAGGTTAGCTGCGAAGAAATTTGGGACATTTCCGAGTCGGACTCCCCATAGGACGAATTGAACCTAAGAGCTCTGCTAGATCAAAACCATTGTACTCGAAGTTCGATCGTGATCCTTCCGTCGGGACAACGCAGATTGGTCACTGCACAAAAAGATGTGATCAATGTTTGTATTATCTCTTGGAATCGAACCGGCGGGTGCGAAAACTAGGGCGACGTCCTGGAACAGTGATGGACATCGAACGGCTCGTTGCATGCCACGTGTCGGGTCTCCCATGCTTGCACCATATCCAAACAAGGTGCACCTCCCAAGGCACGCACAAACTCCAAGACATACGCCCTTATCGTCTCATCTCCTCCCCACTTCCAATTACGCAATGCAGTTTGGTAATTGTCCGGGAGGATTTCTACCTCTTTAAGAAGTAAATGGAAAGAAAAAGAACAATCAAACTTTGCCGGCGAAAATCAAGCTGATGATGAGCTCCTCCTGCCTGGCACGACTATCCAATTAGGTGACTTGAGGTCAAGCGCACTGAAGATCAAGAAAGTTGATCAATCTACAGGGTGTTGCTTGACTCAATTTTACGTCACGACTCTATTGGATTAAAGTGAAAAAAAAGAGAACGCACACGAAACTAATTTTACTGCTTTGTGGTGTGTGAAGATGTTAGGCTTAATTTGACCTTTGGGTAAGTATGACTTACTTTATTATGACACCTGTCGGGACAGTAGAGTGATTGTAACTAAATTACACCCTTAAAAAGGGCATTTGTTTTTCATAAGAATGACCAGCATACAATTCTCATGTCCGCTCAGAATATCCAAAATCGAGTAATGACCCAGTCACACAAACTATGAGCTTCGACCAAAAAAAAAAACTATAAGCAAGATGCTACATTGAGATGGCATATGGGAGCAATTTGAACTTTCTTATGTTTCAAATTGCTTAGGGATACGTGAGCAATATTAGTAATTAGGGGTGTGCAAAAGAACCAGAAATCGCCCAAAACCAGACCGGACCGGCCCATAATCGGTTCGGTTTCCGATTCTAATTTTTTGGAACCGGTGGGTACTGGTTCGGTTTCCAGTTCTATGTGTGGAACCGCCCACTCGGACCGGACCGGTAATATATATATAATTTGTAAGAAATATTTCCGACCCAAAAAAAGAAAAAAATTTAAGTAAAATGAAAACCCTAAAATCCCTAATTGAAACTCAATGCTCATCAACCTAGTGCTCGTCTCGTCTCACTCTCATCTTGTTTGAGTCGTCTTTCTTCTCTCACTCATGGCTTTGACTCTCAAGCTTAACACTCATTGACTCATGGCCACGCCTCCGACCGTTCATCGCCTCCCTCTCTTACTCTCGATCACCTCCATTTGCGTGAAACTTGGTGGGACAGGTTCCATGGACCTACCCGGGATCCGGACCAGACCGGACCGACGGTCTTATTCCAGGGTGGATCCATGGAACCAAAAGGTGATTCTCGATTTCAATTTTTTGAAACTAGTCCTTAGCGAACGGTTTCCAGTTTCAATGTGAGAACCGCCCACCCGGATTATGCTCACCCTTATTAGTAATTAGGTTTAAAGAGAAAATGATTTTGGTGTTTTGTTAAAAAAGAAAAAAACTCCAAATATAGACCATAACGATAACGCAGGCTGTACCTATCTACTTGCCTCCTAGTGTTTTGTTACTATGTAAGTCCACCGCCCCCTAGCACCTCTAGTCCTCATGTCAACATTCAAAACTTGCCAAGTTGCACTATCACTCCAGGAACATATGATGGATCGCGGGTCATTCGCATACCAATCGCCGGCGAACAACAGGGCCAACACCGAGTCCCGGGTACAACGTCCCTGAGGGGGTGGACACCAGAGAGGGCGTTACGATGCCCAATTCGCCAAGATCCTCACCAAGGACGCCCTGCGGTTCGTCGCCGATCTGCAGAGGGAGTTCCGGGGCCCCATCAGGTACGCCATGGAGTGCCGCCGCGACACCAAGTGACGCTACAAAACGGGCGTGCCGCCCGGGTTTGACCCCGCCACCAGGTACGTGAGGGAAGGAGAGTGGACGTGCGCGCCAGTCCCGCCGGCCGTGGCCGACCGGAGGGTAGAGATCACTGGCCCCGTCGAGCGCAAGATGGTCATCAACGCGCTCAACTCCGGCGCCAAAGTTTTCATGGTGAGCGAATTCTATATCTTCATGTCCATTCAATGAGAACAAAACACCGACATTTCCAACTCATTTAGGAGTATCTTGATGAACTTACTGATGCTAGAGTTCGAGTCTGAAGTCGATTATGATCACGATAACAACATGTTTCGTCCGTATAAATAGGCAGACTTCGAAGATGCGCTATCCCCGAGCTGGGAGAACCTGATGAGAGGGCAAGCGAACCTGAAGGATGCGGTGGATGGGACCATAATGTTCCACGACAAGGACCGAAACAGGGTCTACAAGCTCAATGACCAGATTGCCAAGCTCTTTGTCAGGCCCCGGGGTTGGCACCTGCCCGAGTCTCACATCCTCATTGACGGCGAGCCTGCGACTGGTTGCCTCGTCGACTTTGGCCTCTACTTCTTCCACAACTATGCCTCGTTCAGGAAAACGCAGGGTGCGGGGTTCGGGCCCTTCTTCTATCTCCCTAAGATGGAGCATTCCAGGTATATAACTAGGAATCTTTGCATGACGGGTTGTTCTTACATATCGATCGTCCTGACGAACAATGAAAGGGACCGTTGGATGATTTCAGATTCGGTGATCTTTTAGTCAGTTTAAAAATAAGTTTCTTTATCAGATTTGATGATCTTTTAGTATATTAAGGTATATTAACTTTATTTAAAAGTCAGTCAACTGATAAAGAACGTTTAGATATTACCGTAGTTTGCTAGGCCAGAGTGCCTCCTGAACTTTTCCATGATATTAGCTAAAGGCATTGTCGCATCGGGATCCGCAGGGAAGCCAAGATATGGAACTGCGTCTTTGAGGGGGCGGAGAAGATGGCAGGTATCGAGAGAGGGAGCATAAGGGCAACAGTGTTGATAGAGACGCTACCCGCAGTGTTCCAGATGGACGAGATACTGTACGAGCTGAGGGATCACTCGGCCGGCTTGAACTGCGGAGGATGCATGGGACTACATCTTTAGCTATGTCAAGACCTTCCAGGCTCATCCCGATCGCCTCCTGCCTGACAGAGTTCTGGTGGGGATGACCCAGCACTTCATGAGGTCTTACTCCGATCTCCTCATCCGGACTTGCCATCGGCGCGGTGTTCATGCCATGGGAGGCATGGTATGGAATTTTTTGAGTACTGAAGTAGAGTGGAGCCTTTGGCCATCGGTCTAACCAAAATCTGTCGTCCTAATTTTTTGACAGGCAGCTCAAATCCCGAGCAGAGATGATTCGGCGGATAATGAGGCGGCACTGGATCTAGTAAGGAAGGACAAACTCAGAGAAGTCAGGGCCGGGCACGACGGGACATGGGCCGCGCACCCAGGGTTAATCCCGGTGGTAATGGAAGTCTTCACGAATCACATGGGCAACGCGCCGCACCAGATCCAATCTGTCAAGAGAGAGGACGCGGCCAACATAACTGAGGAAGACCTCCTCCAGAGGCCGAGAGGGGTCCGGACTTTGGAAGGCCTCTGGCTCAACACTAGGGTCGGAATCCAATACCTGGCGGCCTGGCTCACAGGAACAGGGTCGGTACCCCTCTACAATCTCATGGAGGATGCCGCAACTGCCTAGATCAGCCGAGTCCAGAACTGGCAGTGGCTGAAGTACGGCGTGGAGCTGGACGGAGACGGGGTTGGAGTGAGAGTGAGCTTGGACCTGTTCGGAAGGGTGGTGGAGGAAGAGATGGCCAGGATTGAGAGAGAGGTTGGGAACGACAAGTTCAAGAAGGGATTGTACAAGGAGGCTGGCAAGATGTTCACGAGGCAATGCACTGCGCCGGTGCTGGACGATTTCCTGACGCTCGACACCTACAATCACATCGTCCTGCATCATCCTAGGGGGTCTTCCAGGCTCTGAGAGCCTGCTTCTCTCTTATGAATGGCCAAGGGACATTTATTGCTTTGTCTTTACCAATTTCCGCTGCTGCTATGCATGAATAAATTGCGTGTATGACTACCACCGGTCGTTCTGTTTCTGCAAAATTGAGACGATTTTTCTATGATATGGTAGAATAATTGTACAAGATAGACCAATGGTTCGCGTGAAATTAAGCAGTATTCTTCCTTTGCATACAAGGAACATGCATCATTTGAATTACACTTGGCCGCTTTTTGTACCTAAAAGAGTGAAGAAAGTGATCTTTGATGGGCTCGTCCCGCTTTTTGTGCTTATAAGTCAGCTATAGGCCCGAGGTGGCCCATCTTAAAACAACAAAGTGTACCTTATCAAACAGGAAGTCTATAGTGGAGAAAAGGAAATTCCACGAGATATCACCAATAATTTGGAAAAATTGTCCAAAAAGTCCGAGACCGGCGAGGTTGCCCCTTGCCAGTTGTTTCCTTTGGCCGGTCGCCGGCCATCGCCCAAGCCCGGTGACCACTTGGCGGAAGAAGAAGAAGGGAGGAAAAAAAAAGAAAAATAAAATAAAATAAAAAATTCGAGAAAAAATATTTAAAAAATCATTAAAAATTGTTCCGTCAGCATCGACCGGCTGTGTCCACGTCAGTAATTTACAATCAAAATTTGTCAGATAGCCTAAATTGGCAAAATGTAAAAAGGATTAGGACTCAATTGGCAAAATTAAAAGATTTAGGACTGAATTGACAAAAGTACAATAAGTTTAAGATTTTTTGGATAATTTTGCCCCAATAATTAACTTCGTTTTCATGCACGTTGACATATTATTAACAAATAAGATCACTTGCTTATACATATTAATATGAATCCTTTCTTCTAAATTAATATTCCTTACACTCTAAATTATTTGGATAGATAAGAACATCTAAAATTCTCTCCGACTCATGAACGATAAAATTGTAAGCGATTCTTCAACGTTCTCGAGTCATTTTTAGTCGAGATAAGCATTCGTCATCTTCTCCAACCTTTGTACTCGAATTAAAAAAAATGAGTCCTTACGATGCGGCATCCGCGGATTTAGGGGTTACCCTAAACGTAAGTCTTACTCAATATAATTTGAAACAAAGAAGATGATCCAAACCGGTGGTTGTGCCTCTTTTTCGTTGCCCTAGAGTAGAGAGACAATGTTTCTAGCGGCTTCATGGGAAAATATCATTATCTTAAAGTTAACACAAACCTATCCGGTCGACCTTCGGTTATATACATTTAAATTCCCCAAAGTGCTGAGTAGTTGGTACCCATGCGGACACGTGGCGCTGTTCGGAGGATATTTGCCAACTTAGTTAAATGTCAAAATGATCGACGTCGTCGTTTACTTTACGACTCATGATTCTTTCGTTCGACGTGCTTTACAACCATTGGCTGACACAGCAAAAATCATGGCGGTAGATCTGATTTCCTTCCAAAGACAGCGACAACAAAATCTACAGGATCTGCGGGGATCGTTGTACTTTCGTGACTTTTGTTCCTCTATAGGGCAATTTAATAATCAACGCCTTTAGGTGAAAGATCGCACATTATCTGCAACTCTTGGCCAGACACATGGTCTTGGCAAGCATTTTTCAGTAAGTATCAAATGAATCAATGATAGGTCCTAACTTCCACAATTAGAGCTGTCTTTACCCATTTCTTTCATGACTTGTTAATGATAAATGTATGTGTACCGTTCACATCGCGTGTCTCTCTAGATTTTATTGATTAACACTAATAAAGTATGCTTATACTTAAACTTCAAAAGACCATGAGATATGTGGTCATATATATATAATGCTCTTGTAATTGGACGTGAAGAAGCAACTAGTGATCTATTAGGGTTTTGCAAGTTTCACGCATGATGTGTTTCTTAGGATAATAATAATATGTTTGGGAGGTACACGCTATGAGTCAAGACATGACATACATTTATCTCTTTTCAATAGATGTTTGGTCACGTAATTGGGTCATGTTGGACCAACCAAATTCCAGGAGCTGTCATTCCTGTAAAGAATATAGGTTCTTTCCCTCCAACAAGAAACCCGAGAGTCAATCCTGGTCTTCTCTTCTGGTGTGAAATGTAATGAGCATGTACTATAGAGAAAAAGACGTAAGACCCCATCCACAAGGTTTTGATTATAAAAGTGTTAAAGCATAAAATTCATCTCCAATGATATAACTCCATCTAAGTGGCAGATTAGATTTCTTCACACGAATTGGTCCAAGGCATAGATGATTATCTTCACCGAGACCAGGGACATACGCAACGGAAGTTTCCTTCTTTGTCACTTCATCCGTGACTTATCTATACTAAATTAATCCACATGATAAATTATGTATGCATATCATTATCGTACCATTTATAAGATGATGTATGATTATTTAAAATCGATTGAATTGTAATGAGGATGACATTAGATGCATTTTTAAGTTATAACTTTTGCTTATGCAGGAAGCTGCCTGATCAACTCAATTTGCCACGCAAAATAATTATTCATGTTCTAACAAAACAAGAGTGATCTGCCTTGTAGCATTACCTCCACGGATTTCTGTCTCTCTCACTAGGGGAAACATCCTACCTTCGTACCGACCATTTCGGTTCTGTTCTGGTGAACGGCCACATTGGAATAGCACCGCTTGACGAAGAAAGGTTAAGGACGGATGTATGGAACCATGAAGATTTTGCGCAGACCATTTTGTCTTCTTTCGTTCTTGCCAATGACAGACAAATATCAAGAGCTTGAACGAAGGAAGGTTTAGGTCCTTGTCATCGTCGACAAAATGGGTGCTGCCTATATCTCAATAATTTACTCGGGGCACATGGCGCAGGAATAGAAGCCTTATCTCAAACTTCTAGATAAACGTTGAATGATTGAGTCCAAAACTTGGCCTGCAAGCATTGGAGAGAGCCAATTTATGATTCCATGACAAGTGATGTATGGCTCAAAACAGAACGTGTCAAAATGTCTCTGGCGGATCGATGCCTATGAAAAGAAAAAAAAGAAGAAGAGAAAATGCATCGATTTTGGACTTATCTACACCGTCCTGAGATATTGTTCGTGATTCCCGATTAGATTGATGCAAATATAATGGTGTGCTATAGACATCGGTGACACGTTTGCTTTTCTTCTTTTGTAAGTGGGGCTACTAAACTGGCAAAACTGCTTTTGGTCATTGGCTGTGACTTTGCTATTGTGATGTGAAGCTGACTGCTTTGAAGCATGGAGTTATTTGTCTATTCAAGAACTCAGGAGCCCAAAGGATTTCAATCCGTGCGTTGTAGAAGTATTCAATGAAATGTCTTGCCTGATGCTTAAGCATAAGCACGTCAATTATTGTGTAATTGGTGTACTAACCAAAAGAAACGGGTGAATGCCGAAACTTAGATCTGTGATGCTCACATAGTGCAATCATTTTACATTCCCGCGGACCATCTATATAAGACACGAAATATCCTCAGGAGTTTTGCTGAATTGTTAGGACATGATATCATGTTGGTGGCTTGAAGAGTGTCCTCATGACTTGGAGCACCATCAAAAGTAACTTTCTCAGGACCAGGCCAAGGGGGCCTTTTGCCCTAGTGATTTCAACACGTGCGATATAGATAGAGCGTGTTGAGAACCGATGAGATTAACCAAGTGTCATAAGAGGTCGAAACATCTAGCGAAATTCAAATGGAAAAGGAAAACGCGTAAGGCATGATGTCATGCTTTCCTTATTATAATCTAAAGCATGCATCACTCATCTTGAAGTATCTCTATGGCAACATTGAAGAATGACTTGTTCTTTGTTCTAGATGATCCATCGTTGGACCAACCAATGAGCAAACTTGTATTCGTGGATATGCCAGTAGAACTTATGAAAGTAAGCATATGTGAACTTATAATGGAAGTATAGGACTCGGTTCCGTCGGCCGACAACTATAATTAGATTGTTCCGTATTTTTACTTGACTGAAATTAACGTGTGAAATTAACATGACACTCGACCCCTTAAAGATGTAAATCATGAAAATATTGATCTCTTACGTATCTAAACAAGTTCCCTCGTGACTTTGGTAGAGATATAACTTAAGATTAATTGTTGCAGAGCGCCAACCTTATTTTCCTTTTTTGTAACAGAGTCAACCTAACTTTGGAGCAACTTTAAGATGACGAAATAATTCGACAAAAAAGCATTAAGGGTTGCAAAGAATAATCATGATAAGATAGAACCGTACGTACTTGAGCAACTTATTTATTGGTTTTCGCTGTAGATGAATTAACATATATTGCCGTATTGCCTCGCCCTCTTTTATTGGGAAAATGTATCGTCCTTAGCATAAACTAAGATTCCAAGAAAACGGTTTAGTAAAATCACAAACTTTTCATTTATGGTTGGTAAATTTTAATTAGAGATGATAATTATCCAAATTAGCCAGTAATTTCCAGTTAATTTCTTTTTTTTTTCTTTCTTTGGCACCGGCAACTTCATGAAAAGACCGATAAACCACGGATTTCTTGAATTATTAATGCGCGGAAGAACAAAAGACCAGTGCGGAGGCAAGTATATATAAAACGTGCACCAATGCTATATATTTCATGAAAAAGAGGTTGAGAAGACTCATTCTCTAAATGATATGGTATCGTTGCACATTGAATAGTATCAAATGAAATACATAGAATGAGTTATTTCTTGTGATATTCTAATATGATATAAATCCTTATAAGATAACTTCTTGAATATTGAATAAAATCTTGCCCATGGCCTAACTTCTCGAAAATTGTATAATATCTTGGCCGAGGCCAGTCCCTTACTCGGCCCACTATTATTATTATTATTATTATTATTATTATTGATTGTTTAGAATTCAAATCGTATCCGGATTAGTTTTCGTGAATCATAAAGGGTACCCTCTCTGCATCAGCTTAAATCCAAAATCACTAGAAAATGATTTTCAAGGGATAAGTCTTCATGTGAGCCTGTAATAATTTTAAAGGGATAAGTATATTGAAAGTCCTAAAATTTGTCAGAAAAATAAAATTGAATACTAAAACTTTAAAAGTGCAATCAAATCTTAAAACTTATTATTCAAGTGCAATTGAAGTGCAATCAGTTTCTAAAACTTATCAATTTGATGCAATCAAATCTTACAATTTATCAAGTTTGATTCAATTAAGTCCTAAAACTTGATAGTATTTTTCGTTTGTCAAGTTGGACGGAGTTAATAGAATGACTTGATTGCATTGATTGCACCAACTTGACAAGTTTTAAGACTTAATTGCACTTTTGAAAATTTTAAGATTCAATTGTACTTTCGTGATAAATTTTAATATTTCTAAAATAATTACCTCGATTTTCAATGAGACCCTTTTTGTTGTCTACCTCAACCAATGACTAATGAGACACGTCTCTCCAAACGGGTCCCAGTTTGAACCTTCTCCAACCAATAATTACTCTACTTCCCCAATCGGATCGTTCAATCGCTACATTGACTCAACACGCGTCCGCAATCACGTGGGTCGCCGTGCCTACACTTTCTTCTATATATATGTATATATGTATAATGATAAATGTCATAGCTCCATGCAAATAAAAGCCCCCTGTTCTCTTCCGATGATCGCTCAGACCTCAAGCAAACACAAACTAGCTCAGATCCTTAAAGGAATAGTTTTATGTGTACGTGTTTTGTAGATATATACAGTGAAACATATTGAAGAAGGAAGGGGGTGTTGAAAATGGCAACCGAGAGAAGTGGCTATTATTATTCTCGGTCGTCGTCGGAGATGGACAGGATCTTGCTCAGATTCCGGCCGATCGCCCCGAGGCCGGCAGCCAGCGGGTCGGGCTCCGGCGGATCTCGTTCCTCGCCCGAGAGCAGCGGCCGTTACAACGTCAAGCCGGTGATCAGAAAGAGAAGAAGATACAGCAAGCGCGGGAAAGATGACGGCAAGAAGCAGCCCGGCTCACGGCGCAACAGAAAACGAAAGTCGTGTTGTGAGGAAAAGATCATGTATGGATCATCAGGTGAGACAGATTCTCTTGGCTTAATGAAACGGATTATGTTAATAACCTTTACCTACGGACCAAAAAAAAAAAATAACCTTTACTTTTTTTGTTTTCCTAGATCGTTATAAGTGCAATTATCCAGCGCAGAAAAAAGTGTCAGAAAAATCCTAAACCTTTTACATTAGTGCCAATTTAGTCCGAAACTTTTTTTTTGTGCCAATTCAGTCCTAAACCTTTTGTCTTTGTGCCAATTTAGTCCTTCTAGCTAATTTTAGCCGGATTTTACTTATGTGGACGCCGTGGCTGGCTTACGTGACATCGCTGACGATGACGTGGATAATTTTTAATGATATTTTAATATTTTTGATTATTTATTTATTTATTTTTTCCTTTCTTTTTCGGTCCGGCGACCTGCTAGAGGCCAGGGGGCCACTGGTGAGCCCTGCTGGCCACTGGCGAGGCTCGCTGTCGTCGGCAACGGCGATGACAAGCCTCGCCAACGATTGGGCAAGGCTTGCCCTCGTCGACCAGCGCGAGACTCACTGGAGGCTGGGTGAGGTTGCCCTCGCCGGATCTGACGGGAGTCGAGCCTCGCCGGCCAACGCGAGGCTCGCTGGAGGATAGGGGGCCTTTGGCGAGCCCCGCCGGCCATTGGCGAGGCTCGCCCTTGCTAGATCTGGCGAGGGTGAGCCTCGCCTAGGCTAGCGTGAGGCTCGAACCCTCGCCAGGGGTCGGCCTCGCCTAGACTAGATCTAGCGAGGCCGACTCTCGTGTAGGCCAAGGCGGCCTCGCCAGATCTGGAGAGGGGAGCCCTCACCGGGGCTCTCCCAGCCTGGTCGAGTGACGGTGATCCTCGCCCAGGCAAGGGTAGCCCACCCGGCCATTGCCTGTGGCCGGTCATCGGCAAAGGGCGGAAGGGAGGAAGAAAAAAAAAAGAAAAAAATCAGAAAAAAATTAAAAAATCGAAAAAATATTAAAATATTATTAAAAATTGTTCATGTCAACGCAGGCGATACCACGTAGGCCAATCGGCGTCCATGTCAGCAAAATCCAACCAAAATTAGCCAGAAGACTGAATTGACACCAGTTCAAAAGGTTTAAGACTAAATTGGCACAAAAAAAAGGTTTAGGATTTTTCTGACACTTTTCCCATTCAACGCATGTTAGTAATTTCAAATTCTATGCAATTTTTCTCTTAAATTATCTGATTATGCTTTAGAATTCATTAATTTTATTTTTTTGAAGTATGCTTAACAAAAGTTCTGAAGACACCCACCATTAATATACCAATGAAAGTAGGTTCATGTTTTAAGACTTGCATGTTCTTTTGATGAACTGCTCTTTCTCGTGTGCGCGCGCGCGCGTGTAATTTTTTTTGCCGACTGGCAACAGTTGATGCAAAGAATTTCGTTTTTGGCCAACAACACTGATGCAAAGATTGAGCTCATGAATATATGAGGATGATGCATTAAAATTTCTCCTAATATATGAAGTTATGATGGATGAATATTAAGAATAATGATTGAAAAGGAAGAAGTCCTTCGCCTTTTGTTTCTCTTATTCATCGAAGTACTTTCAAGGATGCAAAAATAATTCACTCGAAAAATTAACGATGACCATAACTTCTTTTTACACTTTAATTATATGTAAAAGAATTTCTTCCACAAATATTCCTCTTCAAGCGGAGGAGCAGGCGTAGGCAGAAAGGAGAAAAAGATGGTCTAAGTTGAAATAATGGCCTCAGTATAAGTGAAAATGACAGAAATGGTCCCTGAACTTTGGCCCAATATGCAATGTGATCCATGAACTTTTAATTTATTCAACGTGGTCTGTCCCAGAACTTTAGCCCAATGTGCAATGTGGTCCTTAAACTTTTAATTTGTTCAAAAATGGTCCATGAACTTTTGGTACATGTTCAGTTTAATCCCTAAACTATATGAAAATGTTTAATATAATCCATAATCTTGAATTAATGGAATGACAATATTGAATATTTTTATATAGTCTAGGGACTACATTGAACATGTATCAAAAGTTTAGCGACTATATTGAACAAATTAAAAGTTCAGGGACCACATTGTATATTAGATTAAAGTTTAGGGACACATTGAGCAAATTAAAACTTCAAAGACCACGTTGCACAGTCAAAGTTCAGGGATCATCGTCATTATTCCTTAGTATAAAATACAACTCCATCTTCTTTTCCAGTTTCTTTCTGATTAATATATAGTTGCAGTTGCTGATGTGAGAGAGCTAAACATATCATTTTACTTTCTGCCCGTGGAAATCTTAGGTTTTCTTCGTATGGTTAACACGTGTGTAAGGAAATCAAAGTCAATTGCATGAATATCTACCATGTCTCCTTATACTCTGTTGGAGACACCAAGCAAAAAAGAGGGAACGAAAGTGGTTGTCGAAAATTGAGAAGGTCATTCAAATTTTCATGAGAGTTATTGCTGGGAAAATTCTAAATTTCCACTAATTCTTATTCCTTAACACCTTCATTATCTTTCCCTTGTTTCCAAACAATGCAAGTATCTAGCATACGAAAATACACACAAATGGGAAAATCAATGAACTTTTATTTCGTCTATATACAGTGAAAATTGTTAAGTTAGTGTTTCCAATTTTTACTTTTGATTGTAATGGCTTGTGCAGACTTAGGAGAGACTCCAGGACCTCAAACCCTCGGGTGGCTCTGCTTCGGCAATCAAGACGAAGCTCACGCCGAAGAGAGCTACACCCCCAAGAAGACGTCGATGACGCCACGTGTGCTCAGTCCGGCGCATCAGATGTCGGCAGTCCTAAGCCCAGCGACACCGCGGAATCCGACGGTTGCGTCAACGGTCAGCGTTGAATGGCTGACCGACTCGTGGGTGGCTTCGGATGCTCTAGGGCGCACGGACGCCGAGAGGAGGAGCAACCTGGAGAGGGACACATGTCCGGGATTCACATCCGATGGGTGGGGGAGGGTGACGTGGGCTAACGGGGCGTTCAGGAGGATGGTGGGTGCGGCGGAGGACCGGAGCAAGCTCGTGGTGTGGCTGGTGGCGAAGGAGGGAGTGCCTGAGATGGCGGTGTTCACGTGTAGGGTGAGGATGCAGTACGCGAGCAGTGGCGAGGGGAGGAGCTGCTCGCTCACGCTGCCGTGCGATGTGTGGAGGATGGATGGCGGTGGTTTTGCATGGAGGCTTGACGTCGACGCCGCTCTAACTCTCGGTTTGGGACTATAATTATATAATTACCAAAAGAGGAAGAATAACGAAAGGAAAATGGGCAAACACGAATCATGGGACGCTCAAAAGTTGTGAATGTGTGATGATATCTGCTGTTTCGCAAGATCTTTGTGTTGTGGCTGCTCTTATCCCTCCTTTGAAATATTGGCCTTTCTTATGATTTCAAACAAGAAAATGCTTTAATCTATCTAACTTCGCATTTCAATCACGTTCAATTTTGAAGTATTGTTGGGATTCGGATGATGAACAAATTGGAGTACGCCCGAGATATCGCTTTGGTTCGACATCTCTCTCTCGAGAGAAGATGGGATCGGAAGAGCAGAAGGAAAACAATGTATAGACATGATACATAATTTGATAAAAATGAATGATCCAGATATTTGTCTCCAAAGCCAGAAATATATGGACATAATAGTATTTCGATACCCGATCGATTAAGAAAAACTCTATCGACGTAAGACAGACACACAATTAGTTTTCATTTTTGTCAGCCATCAAGTAGAACTATGTATCAAGAATAAAACTTGAAGTTCTTGGCTTGAATTATTATCTCCCTCAACGCACCAATGGGGGCTAAAACCATTAGCAAAACGCCAAGTATAATGCAGATCTGGAAAAAGGCATTTTCATCAAGAAATGTTAGATTTAGCGGCTGCATAAAGTGCCAAATCGATATCATTTGCAAGATGTCGTAGCATTAAAGAAACTGTGTAAGCAACATACCCAGTTAGCGAGCCAAGAGAAGCTGAATTTCTCTGGCTTGTAGATAGCAAGCCACATGATGCAAGGCAGCTGAAATTATCATACAAAAGTTAAAAAATAATCAGCATATAAGTTATGTTTTATACAGGTTAATGAATGTAGAGCCAATTGCTTACATAATATGTTGTTGGAGCAAAAGCAAATCCTCCGAAGAAGCTGAGAAGCCCTCCGAAAAATGGGAATGTGATGGCCAGGAACATCGTCAAAGCTGATCGCAAAACACAATTCATATCCAATTAATTAAGTGATCAAAAATACAATTTTGAAAACTATCTGATAAAATGATGAAATGAGAGTTAGGGTCGGAATAAGTTTGGATGACTCACCGACATATACGTTGCGAGTAATGAACCGGAGCATCCTAGTCGGCTTGAACTTCATTTTCTTCACCAAGCACGCTTCCATCATGTCAAACACCGGTATCGCGAACACCTGATATCCACATGACATCTTGTCGGCAAAAGAAAACGGAAGAAAGGTGTACAGACATAGGTAATCAATTGAAGAGAAGGGATTGAATTAGCTATCTATACCTGATAGCTCCCGATTACATGAATCACAACAAACATATTAGCCGCGGCAATGAGCCACCGGGGCTTCTCGAGGGATATGAGGATGTTATCCTGGACTGAGTTTCCAAACATCCAGTAGCCAACAAATGCGACTGGGAAGTAACACAAGGCGACAATCCCGTAAGCACAAACGACTCCCTTCCACATCGGTTTCTTCGACGGCTTTTCGGGTGTCGAAGGGATCGTGGCCTGAATTTCCAGTACGACATTGTGACCAGCAAATGCGAACGCGATATCGCCCAGTGCGCTGAAGAATCCGAAAACTCGGCCCGTGGTTGTCGAAGCCCTACTTCCATATTGAACGTCTGGTTGAACCCCTCTGTGTGCTGATGCTATCCATGCGATTGTTGAGTAACTGCAAGGTTACATGTTATGATTGCTCTTTCAAGAATATTGCCATGAAAAAATCGCATGCTGAATGATGAAAACTTCACAGACAGTGTTTGGTCCACAACAAAAGCGCTTGATCAGTTACAAAAATTAGACGGAATTACCTAATATTTAGGTCGACATGAACTACCAGATTAATTCTAAGTGTATCCAAGGTGAAACAAAAGGCATCCTTTCAGCATCAGAAGATTATCCTACAAACAAGTAAAGTGCAGGATTATCAAATTTCTTAATTAACTTGACATGAGGTGCCTAGCTATTATGAGGCAATTTTCAGTCCCTTCATAGGAAAGCTCCACATCAAAATACAGAAGGGGAAACTTTGGATAGGTAACATGATTAGAAGCTACTTTAAAAGTCACTAAAGAAAAAATAGATGAAATGAGGAACATGTTGTGTGTACATTCACCAATAAATTTACAGTTTAAGAGGTTTAAAGAGATTTGTAATTATAAAAGGGAATGTTATCTGATATTAAAGTGTGCAATTGCCAAATTTTATGATTTCATACTTTAGGACGTGTCAATGAGAACCAAAAATAGTGTTTGGACTAATAATTCTTAGAAAATATAATTTCCTATAGTTACAATAAAAAGACAAAAAAAAAAAAGTTATCTGGCAATCCGAAGAATTAAATACCTCAAAGACATGACGGCTGCGGCGAGAGAGACACCGGTGATGGAATTGAAGCTGGGGAGGTGAGAGAGGACGAAGTGGACCGCTGCGAAGATCATGATGAAGTAGGTCGTCTTGATCGGCTTGCAGTCGGGGCACACTGTGTCGTGGAATTTCTGGAGCGATTTCCCGCCTGTGATCATGTACACGATGTCCACCCCGACCTCGACCATCAGCTGCTGCGGCACCACCACCCAGAGCCCCAGCTTGCCGCCGAAGGCATGTTGTCCTAGCTCGTGGTACCGGTCGAATCTCTTCCCCGGCACCATCTCATGCATCTCCACCATTTGCCACAGAGTGTATAGCGTGATGATCCATGACAGGATCATAACAGCGGCCCCAGGCCCCCTAGAACAGTATACATTGATAATCAGATCATCGAGATAAAACAATGAAAGACATTGACCAAAGTCACACGTGACAAGAACCTGGACCTAGATGAGAAGATTAATGATGCGTTGACGTATGAAAAAGAAAGAAAAACTGACCACCCAAGTTGAGATATGGCATAAGGAAGCCCTAGGACCCCAGCTCCAACCATGGCAGTGACATTGTGAAAGGCAGAGTACCACCACTTTGCGTTCCTGGACTTGGTGATTGGAAGCCAGTCATTGAGATCTTTCTCTGACATTTTCTTGTTGTTGAGCGATTGATCATCGATTTCCATCTCTGTCTCTCTCTTTCTGTTGTTTTCGTTTCACATCCGGGAGTTCTATGGAAAGAGCCAGTGAACAGGTAAAGGTGTGTCAAGATAGAAAAGATAGCTAGCTAAGTGCTTCGAAATATCTCAGGATCTTTTATTCTGTTAGCAACAGAAGATACGTGTTGCCAACAATCGGGGAAAATTTTTCTAGATACGTCCAGTTTGTGCGAGTCGATGCACCAAAGCCCTTGATTTTGTTGGATCTGGTGTCGGATTCACATGATCTAACGATCACGATGTATTGAGTTTAGCATGAATTGGTGCATCCAATCCTATACTGCATAGCTCTCCAGCGAAAGCTTAGATCCGCTTTGGACTGAGGCTAATATGGAATTTGATGTAGCTTCCAGATTGATACGAGAATGTGACCAAGCCTAAGAATATTAAAGCTACCTTTGTTCAGCTCTTTCTTTGTGTGTCTGTGTAATTTATTCCCCCATCTTTTGCTGAAAATTAGCATCTGAATCCATTAACCCAACAAAGCTATATCGGAATCATATTCTAGCCCTTGATTACATTATCGTAGATTCATTTTTGAGTCGGTGCTTGCTAGTGAACATGTCAATTTCAGGGCAAAATGTAGGGAACTGATGAGCCTTTGACTTGATTTGGTTTTGCTTTTCTTTTTCCTGCCAAGTGATTTTATTCTGGTGGCTAGATACCCCTAAGTGATCTTGAATTGTATAAATATGTATACAATTGATTTCTGTCTCTATCTCTTGTGTTTGATATAAAAAAAATTGCTAAGCTATTTTGCTATCAATGTAATTTTAAGAGAACTTACATATGGCAAGTACAGAGACGAGATCCTCACAATATTAGCTCCTAGACGAATGATAAGATTACATGACAAGCAATTTTAAATTTGACTGATTTGATCGGCGACAAATTTGTGGATGGAATCATAATCATTTGAGTTACGGCGCTCAAACCATGTATTTGAATAGTATAGCTTTTTCTTTTGTTGAGATAAGAGGATGTAAGTGAAGAACTCCATGGCGGTAACGAAACTTACTGAAAGTTACCCATAAACCTCCATCAAACCATTTAATCTTCGGTTACTAATCAATAATCTCCGCCGTCTGTCTCCTAATCAGATTCTCTTTTACGAGTTCCTACTTTTCATTAGCTTTTTAGTGTCTTCCAGATAGACACGATTCCTTCCTAATTGTCATACAAAATGATCGCCTCTTTTCCGCGACGTGCAATCGCTCGTGCATTACTAGTTTCGATTAAAAGAAAAGAGACTGCAGGACATTTCGGCACAAAATTTAGCCCACTGGAGACTGGACTCAATGTGACCTTCGTTTTAATAAAAGGAAGGAGCTAGAAATTACTCTCTTGACTTGAATTTTAAAACCGGGTGCATAAAATAGAATTTAATCTCTTTTGGAAAAGTATGTTTTGGTCGGAGTTATCATGGATTGGCAATAAATAACACAGCAAATTGGTATAAGCAATTGCCGTCTACATCTTCATCTTTTCCATCCAATGATGGTGTGAGGAAATTATGCTCCACATTGCGATCGATTAGAAACTTAGGAGTCGTCAAGTCCAATATCTCTCTTCCTCAACAGGAATCTCTACACAGAGTATAGCTCCGCTAAATTAGCCGTGACTTGTGCTTACTCGGACATAAACAGAATAAGCAATGAGATTGGTGCAGTTCTTTGCCGGCTGGACATTCTGACGCAGGAGAGACTGAGTGATAATAAAAGATAAAAGAGGCTAAACAAGCAAGCAAGTTAAGTAAATCTCTGAGAAACAAATGAGGGATATACAGCAGCCATTTTCATAACAAGATCAGTCTTGTCTATCAGACTATCTATATAAGGATAACAAGGTTGTTCCTCTTAGTAATGAAATAGAGAAGTATAAAGTACCCCAATCAAGTGTCAAGATTTAGATGCTTAAGTGGGAGCTACCAACGCAGCTGGAGAGAAATGGAAGACGGCAGGTTTGATCAGTTCGAGAATTTTCATAGTTATTAGGTCATGAAAGAACAACTTAGCTGCTCAAGGCTGTATTTACAACTCTCCATCCTCTGCATAATAGCCATCTCAGGATAAAGAAACACAAGTTTCAA